GGTAGCCCAAGACAAAATACTTCTTCGTAAAAAAAAAAATCTCGGAGAATTTTAAAAAAATGAAAAAGTGAGTCTAAAACGCACACAACCTTAATAAAGCATGTGTGTGTCTTAAGTTAGAGCACTATCTTTTCATGCCTAAGTTAGTTATATGCGGCGCAAGTGAAGCTAATAGTTACGGTGCGATTGTTTTGTATTTTTAATGAAGCGAAGTCAAAGTAAAGTACAAGAATTAACAATGCATTTCAAAATAGGTTTAAAAGAATAAAGTACAAGAATTAAGAATGTATATTTCAATGTGTAGCTATAACACGTATAGTCATGAGGCAAGAAGCAAGCACCTTGTACTCTCGTAACTTGCATCCGAAATCGCATTAAAATATCCAGTTAAACAGACATTGACGATCTAATTCAAAACTTTGTTGTATAAAGAGACGAACCGTGGAATATGAAATACGCGAAGAAAAAATAAGTTCTGTTTAAAAGCGCAATTTCCGCAGTTAACCGCGGTAACAAACAAACAAACAGCAGCTCAACAATATTACGGCAACGATTCATAATTATTTTATTTAAAAGTTCTTCGAAGAAAGGATTAATTAGAATAAAGAACAATAGCTTATCGACAAACGATGTGGTCGTCAAGCAGTTGTTAAGACGTTGAACTCTTCAGTCCAAAGGTTCAAGTATTAGATTAGCGTATTTTATATTCGAGGAATCGGCCAACGACCAGCTGGTATTTCGACTAGGGCGCATTCCTTCACGGTAAAAACGGCCAGACCGGTCCTGTTGTATTTCGGTACAGACAGATTACTGGTATTTTAGAGTGTTTCATAAGCTCTGCATTCAAGTATATCGTTATTTATATCTGCCTAGCACAAGACATTTAAAATATGACCGGTCTGACCATTTTTGCCGCTTAATGGAAAGCGTGCTTAGACTCGTCTTAGACGAGAAACTCATCGAAGACGGCAATCTCGTCTGATGTGAATAACAGACGGGTTTCTCGTCCGAATTTTCCTGTCTAACTTTCCCGTCACAGGTACGTTTGGACGGGAATCCCGTCTGGAAAAAAGCAACTCGTCTTAAATTCCCATGCATTTAGACGGATAAATCAGATGAGTTTGCCTATCAGCATGGTCAAGGACGGAACAAGGCTAAGAGAAACTAAACAAAATTCAATATTATCGTATAATGATTACTCATTGCCCGACCCATCATACGTATAAATTTATCCATATCCCAATTCATATTCATACGGGTTTTTACTATCAACTTTCCCGTCTAAGATGAGTTTCCCGCCCTAATATGAATTCGGCTATTCTTAATTCTTGTATTTTTTTATTTTCTTTTAAAATGCATTGTTAATTTTTGTACTTTCCTTTGACTAAACTTCATTAAAAATACAAAGAAATCGCACCGTAACCATTAGCTTCATTTGGGACGCATATAACTAACTTATGGGAATTGCGTAGGTACTGTTTTAGGGCACTTCACAACTGTAACTTATTTCAGTGACAACACAAATGGTTAATATTGTGTGCGTTTTCGACGAAAAAATTAATCATGAAAGTTAAAGAAATAATAAAGTGAATTGTTATTCATTTGAGATGCTACCCAGATGGGAATGTTTTTTTTTTGTTCTATTTCATCAAAGATCCTTCCAAAAAGGATTAAGTAAAATAAAAAAGTGTAGGCTTTCACCACAAGAACTGGTGGTGTAGTGGTGAAGTCGATGATCTGCCAAGTATACAGTCGATGGTTCAAGCCCTGGATAAACCGAAAAAGAACAACAAGGTAACAAAGTGAGAATTTGTGAGTGTGAGAGGAGTAGTGCGAGAGGGCGAATATGCCCTCGCCTTGGGCGAGGAGTAGACTGAGGGGGGTTCTCTTTCCCCCGGCTTTCCTGACTTTCAAAGCAAGCTTTCTTCAAACATTTAATTGTGTTAGGGGATAGTTAGGGGTATGTGAGGATAGGAAAAAGTAGGGATAGATAGGAGTAAATAGGAGGATAAATAGGGGTAAAGAGGTTTAAATGAGTACAAAAAGACTTAAACATTTTATATGCTGTTTTCTCACCTATACCCTCCCCCTGCCCCGGGAGCCGAGGCCCCCTTGCCCCGGGCCGCCCAATTACTAAGTCTTTTTGTACTCATATACCCCTCATTCACCCTATCTATCCCCTGATTTCCCTAAAGATTAACTTTGATTTGCAAAGATTAAGCGAGTACAAACCTCCTCCGAGTAACATGCCTACCATACCTTTTTTTAATTTTTTTTATTTTTTTTTCCACCGCCATGAGGAACGTACCATACTGTTCTTGATACCACGATCTTCTACTTGATAGTCCACGGCTTTACCACAAGGCTATCTGGTGATTGTTGGAAGCCTGCAACAACTTATTCTCCATAACCTTACCATGTAATATTCATAACTAAAATTTCCATCTAAAACGAGATTCGTACCTTCGACAGTCAACACATGAGACCAACATCTTGACCACTAGACTACAAGATCTTTTGCTGAAAGGCTATGGTTATTTAATTTACTCTATCCTTTTCACGAAGTTCATACTGAAAAACGGTTATGGTAGGATTCGAACCAGCGATTTACCACTTGAGAGACCATTGCCTTTACCACTAGACTACACGATCTTGTGCTGAACGGCGATGGTTATTTAATTTACTTTATCCTTTTCACGAAGTTCATAATGAAAAACGGTTATGGTAGGATTCGAACCAGCGATTTACCACTTGAGAGACCATTGTCTTCACCACTAGACTACACGATCTTGTGCTGAACGGCGATGGTTATTTAATTTACTTTATCCTTTTCACGAAGTTCATAATGAAAAACGGTTAAGGTAGGATTCGAACCATCGATTTACCACTTGGGAGACCATTGTCTTCGCCACGACACTACAAGATCTTGTGCTGAACGGCTGTGGTGATTTATTCAGGATTTGAACCATCGACTGTATACATGCCAGATCACAGTCTTCTCCACTACACCACCAGTTCTTAATCCTTTTTTTGAAGTTTTATATTACTTAATACCTTTTTAGTAAGATCCCATAAGTTAGTTAAGTGTGGCCGAAGTGAACCTAATGGTTACGGTGCGATTTTCGCTTAGCCTTGTTCCGTCCTTGACCGTGCTGATATTTACAAACTCGTCTGATTTATCCGTCTAAATGCATGCGAATTTAAGATGAATTTCTCGTCTCGACGGGATTCCCGTGCAAACTTACCCGTCAAAGTCAGACGGGAAAATTCGGAGGATAAACCCGTCTCTGATTCACATCAGACTTTTTGATTCAAGGCTAGTGTCCACTCAGGAGAAATCTCCTTTGGATCGGACAGGAGAGGAAAGTTTCCTTTGTTTAAACGTCGCCTAAGAACTCACCAACAAAGGAAATTTTCTTGTCCGTTCCGATCCAAAGGAGATTTTTCCTGAGTGGAAACTAGCCTTCAGTCTTCTGATTCACATCAGACTTTGAAAACACTTTTCCCATGCAAGATTCGAACCATCAACCTCCCAGTTGCGAGGCCGTTGTCGTCACCCCTAGACTATTCGCCTCACGGATAATGGACGCTGTTTTTATTTTACTTAAAACTTTTTTATGGCCATCGACTTAATACGCGCGCTAAATCAAAACTCACAGCGCAACGGGCGTGTTTGCAAGAGGAGTGAGAACCTGCTTAGTATATATGACATTAGTTAATGTAGTGATTGTGGGGTTATTACTCATTCACTGCGACTGCGCGGGATTGCTAAATACTTAATTTGAGTTTTTATCGTTTGGCAATAGCGTTTAAGTGTATTTAATAAACGTAAAGTGTCCTTTTTCACTAATTGTATTTAATGAAAGCTAAACAGGTTGATTTAATTAGGAAATGAAGCGATAAAAGAACATTTAAATTTTGTTAATTTCATCGAATAGTGCACGATCACCACCTGCACAGAACACATGTGTGGATAATTAAAGATAGCTGCAAATATGCTAATTATAGCATAACAAAGAAAGTGCAATAATGTACAACGAAAAGTGAAGATTTTTACGCCAATTTCTTCTACACAGGCCAGAACCAGCGTCTGTGGATTTACCACTTGCATCTCTTAACTACTACATGATTATGGCAGCTCTTGAAATACTTACATTTTTTGGTACACTTAAACATATCTTCCGGCACTTCCATGCAATAAGTACATCGAAAACTTCCTTTTTTCACGCCAACTTCTTCTCTTGACACTTCACAGGCTAGAACCACCAATCACTCACTTGTGTTAACCACAACACCATCACGACGGCTCATGAAATCCAAGCATCTTTTGGCACATTTAAAACTTTCTTCCAACACTTCCACCCACTAATTCAAACAACTTCTTTTTTTTCTCCTCTTGAATGCATCCTCATCATCATCATCATCATCATCAAATGCTCTCATTTGAGGATGATAATGAGGATGCATTCAAGCGCACAACACAACATCCAAGACCGCAAAGATATGACTAAAAATCATCAAAGGCTTACTATATGTGACATCACTCTATGTGGTGATTGTGGGGTTATTACTCATTCACTGCGACTGCGCCTGTTTTCTTAATACTTATTTTGAGTTTTTATCGTTTTGCAATAGCGTTTAAGTATATTTAATAAACGTAAAGTAACCTTTTTCACTTACTGCATTTAATGAAAGCTAAACATATTGATTTCATTAGGAAATAAAGTGATTAAAGGACATTCAAAATTTTGTTAATTTCATCGAATAGTGCACGATCACCACCTGCATACAGCACATGTGTGGATAATTAAAGATAGCTGCAAATTTCTAATTAGCATAACAAAGAAAGTGCAATAATGTACAACGAAAAATGAGATTTTCTGCGATTGGGCGCCGTACCATTTAATTATCAGGTCCGATTCTTGGTCTTTAAACTGTTTAATATTGCCTCCTGGGGATTTCCAGCTCCCTCTGACTGCCAAATTCTATTTTACAAATAGCTTTAACTCATCGAATGAACCAGACCACTGATAAACATCTCCGTCGACCGATAAATGTTTGGCAAGACTCATAATAATGTTTATTGTTAGCTTTTATGCCTTTATCATGGATTAAATGGTGGAAATCACAGAGCTCAAAAGGGCACGTCTGCACTGCTCGGAGGTCAAATATACGATGGTAAGGGGTAATTAAGCCTTACCATTTTGGTCAATTTTCATGATTTTTCAATGTTCCAAAAGCCAACAAAATATGCTCTAAAATGAATGATATTAGTCTTACGAAGCCATTTTTAGCATTTTAAGACAGTTGAAAAAATCGTCAAAATAGACCAAAATGGAGACCGAAACAACGGAGTTGGTACCCATCTTGATCATGTGGGCACAGAGCATACAGAGGTTTGACTGCCGTTAGTTTTGCGTACCCCTGGCTTAGCCAGTGCGCTCAAGAGAGGCCTTCTCCCCCCGGGAAAGCATGCATATGGCGGCGGCTTGAACACATGTATGGAATATAAACAGCCGAGACAGAACTATCTGGAAAAATCGTATTTTTGACAAAAACGTTGCTCAATTTTTTTCTCAAAACCAGATTTTGTTAGTTCTTATCCTTTAAAAGAGTATAGAAGAGTATAGAGTATAGAAGTGGGAGCGATTTGTTTATTTATATAGCGATGGCTATTTATAATGTTCGGGGGGGATAGGAGTCATAGGACCTCTCTTTAGCGCACTGAACATGGCCGCTAGGAACGCATAATTAATGCAAGGTCAAACCTCTGTATCCTCTGTGATGTGGGTTTAGAAATGTAAATAATTGTTGCAATTGAATTATATCATTTATATGATTACATGCAAGGCGGAAGTGCAAAAAGGTGAGACGTGTGTAGAAATAGTGTGGCGGTGGTGATGTTTTTTGACGATTAAAAATCAATCTAAAATGGGCAAGATTGAATGGGCAATGTGGGCAAACGAGCAAGCTGTGGCAAGTAGCGTTGGTGTGAAAATTAACTATTATCTCTGTCCTAAATCAGTAAACTGTTCAGTGTTCACCCAACAATTCTGTATAAAAACTAGTGTGTATTCATCATTTTGGGATTTTTTGCAGTTCTGTTTGTTGGTGGAGTCTTGAGTTGGATTGGAAAGTTCAAGAAATGGGAAATCGGTGTTTATGCCGTGTATCTATTGTACTTGTTGTGTACTTGTACGTGTTTATTGTTAATATTTACCTGCACTAAGAGCACCCAGTCAGAGACTATAGCAAAGTCACTGGTGGTAGACTGACAATTTATTTGCATTGCCTGTTAATATTGTTGACATCTATTAGCAAAATAGGTTTGTGAAAGCATACCTCAAAACACAAGATTCACCAGGAAAGTGGCCACCATATCTTTTGTTCCTAATTCACCAAATTAGATTTACAACAACTCAGTACAAGTACAATGTACCAACTACCAAACAAGCAAAAAATTAAATATTTACCTTTTAACCAATTCCACGAACTAATTGACAATTAATCTAAACTTTCAATCTGTCATGTTCATTACATTTCTTGACTCTCATAAGTTTTGCTGCAATCCTAATAATCCTGATTGAGTATCCCAGAGCAAAAAGACAGACAGGAAGGACAAAGGAACGGATGTAAGAGATTTGTAAACTCTTTTCATCTTTTATTGAATAAATTGAATATTTACTTTGTTTTGAATATTTTTGCAGTGCTCAGAAGTTTTTGACACCTGTAATAAAAAGTCTTGGCCCATTTGGAAGAAATTATTATGTCAGATTTCTACTGTATCTTGGGTAAGAATAACAAAATTATATGGAAATTATATAATGCATTAGCAGGCCAAAATGAATAAAAGCATTGCTTGTAAACATCACAGTATCTAAACATTCATGTAACATTATCAAATGTTTCAGACTGTCAATTCCTTGTGGATTTCTCCTCTCTACTCTTCTTGGAGGAGCTTGCCTGTGTATATCAAGCATCATATACCTGGTTGCAGCTGTGGCAGGAGAGGAATGGAAACCATGCATAGTCACATATGAAGCAAAACAAGAAAATACTTTGCCTGAAGCTCCCCAACAACCACCACCAAGATTACATCAGGTTTCTCGAAGTTCTGAGAATTTGTATGAGAATGCCTAGACTTCATAACAGAGGGTATGTTAAGGTGAACTGATGGCTGTGTAGCAATAGAAACAGCAGTAGTCTAACTATGGAAAACAGCTGGTCACTAATTGTGAACAATATACACTTAATGTATGCTCCTGAGGGAGGTAGTGTGAGTTTTGTTTTCCCAAGAGTCTTTGTCTCTGGACTTGAGGGAAAACAAAACTCACTATTTCCCAAGGTAGTGACATATATATAGGAACAAAAACATACATGTTACACAACAACTTCATTTAAAAAAACCCACTTTACTTTGTTATGGCAATATGCAGGCCACTATTTTTCACTTGTTTCCCTGGCGGGAAACATTGCATTTATTTAAAGCCATGTGATTACGAATGAACCAATCACATTAAAAATACACAGCACCTATAGAACAATAACCTGTTGCTATTTGCAAATCTTGTATTCAAGTGATAATTCAAAATATATTTTGTAATACCATATATAATGCAGTCCTATTATTTCATGTTTACAAAATTAAACATTTTTATTTTACTGTACTTGTTTGAGGTCACTGTGGCACAGTATTACTAAAAATAACTTGTTGGAATGTAATATTACAATACATGAATCTTTAAATTTTGCCAAAAGTATTATAATTGTGCTTGCCAATACAAGGCAGTGTTTTTCAAACTAAACATGTTTGAAATTAAAAACTACATGGAAACAAAATAGTATAAGACTATCATTTGTGCAAACCAATTTATGATACATAGTCCCTCCTAAAGATAATTTAGTTTTTATTTCTAACGTACATTATATTTCGAACGTACATTCTAGCCAGTCTTGATTAGTTTATTATTATATAGGTATATCACCCAGACATTTCTCTATGTACAATTAGTGAAGTGTAGACCTGCCTTGTCACACCAAAATGACATCTGAATTCACAGCCATACCGGTATTGTGATGCCATGCTCTCCAGTCTTTGAGAGACTCGTTAATTGTGTTCAGCCATGTAACTTTATCAGCCTTGGTGTCTGCTGACAGCATATACCTAGGAAATATAGTGTAGCTATTAAAAAAATGCAAATGAATTCTATCTTCATATACTTTAAATATAAATACTTGGCATTTATACAGTACTATGTTATGCTTCTGGCTATGTGGAAAATTTATATATAAAACTATGAGCATCATCCCAAAAGGCATATACTACATATATACTACTTGGAATGGCAGTTTCAAAATGTAGAGTTGTTTTGTTATGTGACATGCTATAAGAAAAAATTCCCTCACTTGATAAGCATTTTCCCTCCTGCATTCACGGCTATCAGTGTCTCTCGATCAGAAGCTGTCTGCGGTTTTTCCAGCACAAGCTGCATTGTATGTGGCCGAGCACAGATATCCCTTCGAACTATTGTGACTGACTCGCTAATGCAATTGTCAAGGTCAATGGATCCAATCGGGGGCTAAAAAAGGAAAGACAATTATAATTACTAATTTGATACCTTGTCTATTGTCAGTTCCTGTCCTTTCAAGTTCTTCAATTTCAGAGGATTTGCAGTGTTCAGGTCAAGGACATTGAATTGCACACTGTGTAATGCCTCAGTAAATGTTGATGAAAATTTAAATGAATACTTATACGTCCTAAACAAAAGGGTCTTTGAAAGAGATGGAGATTAACTTCACCAAAGATCTAAGAGAGATTGACAAATTACCTTGATAAGATCATCATCTGGATATTTCCAATACTTCAAAACACTTCCATCAAGTATGCACCAGTACCTCAGCCAATCTCCCAGACCACCAACATCTTCAAATATTGTCTAAAGATAATTATTTTGCAGTTACTTTTCAAAAGTTTTTACTTCTTTCTACAACACTTTTGCCTTCAGAATATTCTGCGAATGAACTGTGATTAAATTTATTTGAACTTACAAGAAAACCTTTGGCTTGATTTGTGTATTCTGGTTTGCATTCAATTTCTAAATGAATGTCCCCAATCAGAGCAAACCTCTCATCAACCTGTAATATTATATAAGAGATAACATTTCTAAACAAATTCGTTTAAAATTTAGTAGAATATAAAGAAATTAATCTGCAAAAAAATACCTGTTGCATCTGATATTTTTGATTGTGTATATTTTCCAAATCAATATGAGTTGTTGAAGATAATGTAAATCCACTAGTTCGAAAGACCGGGCCCTGAGTTGTGCCTGGTGTAACACCTGAATAACATTAATGTTGTCATTATAACATTAGTTAAAACAGTTGAAATGAAATATGTAGTTAGGAATCATACAAGATTAGGTATTATATGAATGATCTATTTCATTAGTAAAGAATCCATATTACCTTGTGGGGTGCCGTCACTGCCTTTCCTCTGAAAAAACGAAAGTTGCATGACGAAAAATACTTTGTAGATAATTTATCTGATGCTAATAGTACTTATACTTTTATATTCATTTAAGTATTTTTTTTTTCATTTTAAAACTTGTTTATATCAAAGAACTGTTTACTGAAGACAACTTTATAAATCCTAGCTTTTTAGACCCATCGCAAGTCTGTAATTTTGTGCTAAAAATTACATGAAATATTACATGTGAAATCCTTCACATACCGTATTGCTGAGGATTTGTTTAATTTTCGGTGAATCTAAAACGGACTGGGTAAAAATATGAAACAATAGTGCAGGTTAAAAAATCGCTTCATGAAAATTTCTTTATTAGTTCTGGTTATTAAATTAGTTGGCTACTTTACAATCAATCAAACTTCATTTTTATATAGGCAGTCAGTTAATTTGATCATGTGAAGAAAAAATTATGGTTAGCAATTATTTGGGTTAGTGCAGTTATCATTTATGGTTAGTATAAAATTGTTTCAAAAATTATTGAAGAGAGCTTCCTTAAATTCTTTTTCATGCAAAAAAAGTTAAAAAACATATTTTTGATGCAAAAGTATGACATGGATCAATGATGATGATGATAAAATTATTCACCTTCGTAATCATGCTTTTCTTTCTATTTTTGTTCTGTGGTAAAACCAAAGGCAATTGGGTTTTCTATGAAAGTATTTTGATACAAAATTATAACTGGTTCAATTAGTATGTCACAGAAATACAACACAGCAATTCTGGTCATCAAAACCCCCCTATGACAGTATGTACACTTACGAGAACAAATATTTGGATGTCCAGTGTGAAAGATGGCTTGACATTTTTTCTGAAAAACGAAAGTTGAATAAGTTATTTTCACCTGGCCATGGCCTTGCGATTTTGAAAATAAATTCCGACATCGCCTGAATTAACCATAGCATCATTGCGCGTTTTAGAATTGTGCGATGAAGAATCATAGAATAGTTTAATAACATTCTCAGAAGTCGTACATTTCAAATTCATCATCAAATGTGATGCAACCATTTTTGATTTCATTCGAGGACACTGCTTTTGTACAGTACATCTGTTTTGGCGTGTGCTTCAGGATGCATATAAAACTGTAAATGCACGGTTCTAAAAGATAAGATTTATGTCAACAAAAAGCAATACGAACAAGGAAAACCGATTACAATTTTTATTCTCCAATTATGAAATTTCGGGACGAACCTGAAGAATTTTTGTTCGGAAGCATTTTCTTATCTACTGGAAGTTTAATTCCTAAAGGATGAGATCAAACTGTTACGAAAACAGAACATGTTTTAATAGAACCAGTTTATATCCAGCTGCGAAACAACTATTAATTTTGTAAATCTAGGTTATTCATTTTCCAAGTCATTTCAGTAAACCAGCACGCATGTACCTGAAATATTTAACGTGGCTTTACAAGGCAAATCTTCGTCCATATCTTCGCTTCCTACGGACACAGCGTCATCTTCCTCTGCACTTTTCAACTTTTGTACTTCATCCAAGCAAGCCGTACGACGTTCAGCTACGACAGAAAGGTATTTATTAAGGGTGATGAAACAATTATGTTATTGTTCTACTACGATGTTTGTTTTTTTGAAAAAATGGTTCCGAAAATACTTACTAGAAAATCTCAATAATCTTTCTGCTTCGACTTCTTCCGAAGATCCTGTACTCACTCCTTCATGAAGAGCGAGGCAAGTGTTGACGGCCTGACTGGCCTGCAACACAATGTTTTGTTGATAGGCAGCTTCCTCGAGCATCATCTAAAACATCATTTGATAATAATGAGCATAATAGCATGCATATTACGTGAAATTTTGCCGGGCAAGTCTATATGATACCAATATTGTTACGATATACAAACAAACAAGTCAAGAACCAAAGCATTTAGCAAAACCGTGTTCAAGCATAAAAAAGCGCCAAACCAATTGCTCGATTATGATTGGCTTCAGTGTGTTCTGGTGGCCAATCAGCGGCTTTGTTTACATATATTTCTCGGTCCGCAAATTTTAGTTTTACACAGTACGCTCGGTTGCAATGGTTATAAATATAATAGGTGAATTCAAATATAGACATTGCAGGTTGATTTTTGATTAAATAAATGTTTATTAAATGTCGCTCAAAAAAAATACCCTTTTTCACTGTTAACAACCGTTGAATCGTTTATACATACTTGAATTTTTTCGTGCACAGTAAATTTTCTTGTCGAGGTAGATCTGACTTTCTTGGCCTTGGGTGTCACCGTTGCGGCGTATTGATCACTGTTTGAACTGTGATAACCAGATTTATGCACCCCTTTAAACGTTGCTTGAACTGGTGCGATCATTTCGTCATCAAGTTGTGCGTCATGGTTACTACACGACATCTCACTTTCCTATATATATAAAGTATAAAAAGGTCTGAAAAGGTCAAAACTTTGCTGGAATGATAGCTGAGTGGAGTGAGGGTCACGACAGTAGGAGGATAAGACTCATGAAAATTTATGATTGCACTTTCTCGTTTGACTGTGGCAAACATCTGTTGTGCAACGATCTTAATTCGCACCCATGAAGATATTTTCGGGGTTTTGCAGGATCCTGTCAAACCGATAAACGTGACAAAAACGATTTTGAAAACGTTCGGAAACGACGCTGCCATGCAGACTGACTTAGGGTACATTAGAATTGATAGGGGAATGCATGCTCAAAAATGTAAAATGTAGTGTAGAATGGAACGGTCATTAGGCTGTTTATTATTATTAATTATCATCAATTTATTTATGATTAATCATTATTTGACCATTAGGAATTATTACCAATCAGGAAATCATTCTCACCTCTGCCTTCTTAACACTTTCATCATAAGTCATTTGAAACATGTCTTTCTTATCCTCTTCCAGGACTTGATCGAATCCCGTCATCGAAATATTAAATGTTATTTCGTGCGAATTTAAAGATGTGTCCATGTCATTCAGGCTTATGGCAGAAATCTTCTGGGACTTCAAGGTACGCTTGAAATCTTCGCTTTTCCCCTCGTGTGTTGGAGTGCTTTCATTAACCGTTGAAACAGCGTTGTGTTTTTCCAAACAACTTCCAGTTGGGGGTGCCAGCAGATCCTTACTTGGAGTGGATACTGTATCTTTCGTTTCAAGAGCCATGTCTGTTTTGGTATCATTTTTCTTTTCAAGGGTCGACTTTTTTGCGGGTATGTCACTCTCGACCTCGACTTCGCAACGTTTCGATGCTCGCTGGATAGATTCGCCTACAACGGAGATTGCATTTGATGTGGTCTATTACTTAATTTTAATAATAATTTCCGGAAGACTTTAATGTGCCTCACATTCCTAATGAAAGTTTGAAGAGACCCAATTCAAACCCCACATAAGAATTTCTCTGTTTTCCGAGGTACCAAAGTTAAAATGAATCTTGATTCTTGAATCACAGAAAACATGTTTTTTTTATTAAAAAAGTTTAACAACTAAATTTCTTTCTACCTGACACCTCATCATCGGTAGGTGGTACTGGGGCTGGTCGTTTCAAGCTTATTATAGAGACACTGGATTGCTTCACTTTGTCTTTGCCTTTGGTTTCACTTCCGTCATTATTTTGAGATTCTGAAATCTGGACTCTTGGTGGCTTGGAAGGCGGATTACCTTGACTGGCACGAGGAGGTTTGACTGGGGCACCGTCGGAAATCTTTCGGGTAGAAGTCGTGATCTGTTCGGGTTCTATCAATTTGGCTGTCACTGTAACACGTGGTGGTTTCACTGGTGTTGTTTTGTTTGCAGTGTCAGTTGTATGTTTGGAGTGTCCCTCGCGCGGGTTATTGCGAGGATCGTGGAAAAATCGTCCACCAGCAAGACTGGATCGTGGTTCTTTTACGGATGGAAAGACTTTCTCAGATTCAACTGGCTTCAACTTAATTTGATAAAAGTTTAATTTATTATTTATATTATTGCCTAGGCCTAGGCGGTGTGGTTGTGAGCGTCTTCGTTTACGACTGTTGTAGCACAGAATACCTAACAGAAGTAGAACTCTATACTATTTTTTCGTAAGTGTGATTCGTCATGATTCGTCACTTAGCAAGTGCATTTTTTTGAGGCAGTCACCCCCCTGCCAATACTAAAAATGCCCTGATTTTAAACATTGGCAGGGGGGTGACTACCTCAAAAAAATGCACTTGCTAAGTGACGAATCATGACGAATCACACTTACGAAAAAAGTGCAGGAGTTCTACTTCTGTTAGGTATTCTGTGGTTGTAGGGTTAAAATTATAGGTTCGATGAATGAAGAAAAAGTCGCGAATTTACGTTTATGCGGTAAATCGAACCTTTCATAGAAAAAAACAGACAAATAACATGCAGCGTCGACAACGGACTAACTCGGTTAAAAAAGCGAATTTCGTTTTTCAAATGCTATATATTTTTCGATAAAATAAAACGATAAAAACTCGTCTGTTTTGCAAGTTAATTAACTGTGGAGTACTGGAGTTAATTGTTACATTTTTGGAAGCCATTGCACGATTTGGCGCCAGCTCGTCTAGTCACACAGGCTTCTGTTTGGATTTTGGAATCGTTGCTGTGAAATGGGTTTCTTTAAATCTCATCTCGATGAAACATCAATTGAATCACAGTAGGGCTATTATAGCTATGTATAGAGTATTTGGAATTGCAAAGAAATTTGGGGAGTTTTGACATCAAGTTTACAAACATGGCACATACGGTCATCATCCAAATTCCGAAGTTGAAAAGCGATCAACTAAACGTTCCCAAACGGTAACAATTCAACTTCATTTTATATCTGCAAGTGCAAGCGTTGCTCCCGAGTTACTAACCGAGTTTGTAATACGCGGTTTTTTTAATTATATTTTTGAAATTTCGGTTTGCCGGATTTGTTCTCGTAAGTCCGTCAGAAACTATGAACAATTGCAAAATTCACAATAGCTTTGTGCTAAAAGTTAAATCTTAAAGGAATAACAAAATTGTTGTAGATTCACTACAAACCTGCAACGGCTTCTCAACTTGACTAGGAGTAGGGCTAACTTTGGCAGGGGCAGCACCTTCTTGGACTTGTTTCATGTACAATGCTTTGCGATCCTGCAATATTGAAGCGTAAAAATCTAATAAGTTAGACGCTTACTAGGAATGAAGATTCTGAATTCATACCCTTTCACCCGGCCCTCATAGACGTACACCCCCTTCTCTCCCCCAGTGAGGAACACACTTTTACACTACCTACCCCTGCAAAAACCCTACACGCATAAAAATCATGTTGATGCAAGTTGTTAAAAACAGGAGTGAACAATGTTGTGCTGCACCCTGTGAACAGTTTTGTTAACAATGTTGTTGAAGCTTGTTAAATCATCAATGTTGTCGCAACTTGTTACAACAACATTAATGCATCAATATTGATGATTCAACAAGCTTCAACAACATTGTTAACAATACTGTTTGCAGGGTGCAGCACAACATTGTTCACCACTGATGTGACAACCTGATCAATTTTTGGCTATGTACATGTGTATGTCTTGGTGATTACCCCAAATGATATCAAAAAATAGAACTTTAAGTTACACTTAACATGTATATATACAAAATTTGCAAACCTTAACTGAAGGACTGTCCATATTAACAACTTCATCTTTCAGGGCTTTCTTTAACTTTGGCTCATCACTTGCCACTTTCTCCAGATTTGTCAAGCCTTTATCATCAATATTTCTCTTCTTTGGTGTAGGTTTTAGTGCATTCTTGGCATCATTCAACTCAATAAAACATTCCTTCTGCTGAAGACTTGCTTGTTTTGCAAACTTCTCGTAAAAAACAGTTTTTGGAGTGCCAGCAACATGTTCAGTGGTCTTGACGACAGTCGGTGGTTTAATTGGGGTTGTGCTGACTGCTGGCCCATTTTTGACAGGAGTGGAACCAGAGTTCTTGTTCTCTGATAATGGACGCCGTGGAGTGACAACAGGACTACGACTTGCCACTTCCTCACGTTTCTTGGCCAAAGCTGCTTTCCGTGCTTGAGTTCGGGCTAGCAGTTTCTACAGAAAGCATAATTGAGAGGATAAAGATTGATGCTTACCTTTGCTAGTGTTCCTGGTTAAGACAAATTGTGCATTAAGGTCACGTACATGCAATATTGTAATTATAGACTAGGCACAGTGTACTTAACACTACAGTATGTACCATACAAGAATATATGCAATATGTTTAGCAGCAGTTTCTTTTGTAAATAAATGTATATGAAATGGCTTATTGGTATGGTCAGATAGGACTAACAGTTATCAAAAAATCATCATGTTTATGCCAGTTGCTCAAAACATTTTGTTAATAATGGTTGTTGATCGAACCATCAATACTGTTGCAACTTGTTGACATTCATGTCAAAAAGTTGTAACAACATTCATTATTTAACAACATTGTTCACAATACTTGTTCATGGGGACGGGGTACAGTATTGTTCACCCTGATGCGACAACCTGATTAATTTTTGCTGTGTATCAGGTCTATCAGATGGATGATGAACTAATTTCACTTCCTCATATCCATCAAAATCATACCCAAAATTGCAGCAAAACTTGCTAACGTGACAGCTAGGGCCTATAAACTTTATACGCTGAGTATACAGCTTTTCAGTTTATGATTTCAAAATTACTAGCATATGCCAGATCAGTATTTTCGTTATTTTCAGCCCCTGCCTTTAAATCCTTGTCTTTTATATATATAACCACTGTGTGAACTGCGAACCAAACATATTAAATTGTACTTGTACAAAACATATTTTCTAAGATCATAAGATCTCCTATTTTAAACATCGCTGTTGGAATCAACTACAAATGCAATTACTTAGTACGGACTTGGATAACTCAAATTTGCACATGTTTTCATTTGTTAAATGAACCAACAATTTAAAACATAAACAAACTATAATGCAAACGGCCATCATATTTTTGATCAAATATTACTATCGATAAACCTCCTTCCAAAAGCACAATAAAAAGTTGATCGTCTACATAAGCTATACTGTTACAATACCTCTGTGAAAGGATCCATTTATTGAGACGATAGTTCAGTATTCCAAGCAAAATAATGTAAAATGTGACTTTGATTTCTTGTATAATTCCAACGGAATCGTTCCTCTTCGATTCGTTCGAAATTTTGAATCGAAGGCGGGAAGTCACGTGAACTGTGAACAGCGCACCCGATTCGGACGTCTGATGCCGAATGTCAGGCGCAGAAATTGTCAACGGAAGTTGAAGCTCGAGATTGAAATAGCGGTGCCTCTCCCCCCACCCTGGGGACCTTTGGCCATAGGCGTACGGGCATATTTTTTTTAGGGGGGCTGCGCTCAATTTGCCCGAATGACATGACGTCATAGATTTTGTGACGTCATCATAAAATTATATAATCTGAGAAGACTACAAATGAAAGGATTTCCTTTGAAGATTGACAGACGTAATATAAAAAGAAATATCATCCCTAGCCATTTAAATTCTAAACTAAGTATATTCATTACAATTTACAACGAAAGAAAAAGTGACTAACATAATAACATTTTATTTGATATATGAAATTCCGTCATGTTTTGCACTAGACATGCAAGGAATTTAGTTTTGTAAAACTATAATCTAGACTAGAAGAAATATGATTTACGATTACGTCGCTGTCCAAAAATGTCAATTATCTTTTCCATATCGTTCTTTAAAGTACTATTTGCATAAGCTCTCTCAATATTGATAAGGGCAATGCTGTTTAAGCGTTTTTGCCCCATTGTACTTCGAAGATAGGTTTTCAAGCGGCGAAGAGCGCTAAAAGATCTCTCAGCAGAGCAGGATGTTGCAGGGATCGTGGCCAGAATCGAAAATACTTTGTAAGCAACAGGAAGAACTTCATGAACACCATTTTCAAACATTTTCCTCACAATTTCAGCGGCGTTTTTTCTTTCAGGATCAGGGTTATCAGCATCAATATTCTCATAGACGTTTTTCTCACTGCCAAGAAGCTCACTGTCGATACTATAGAAGTCTGATACCAACTCAATATTCTTCATGGTCGGAGAGCTGCTGAAGACTATGCCTGCAAGTGCCAATAGCACCTCTTGATCATTACCTTCAAATCTATATTTCATCTCCGCGACAATCCTGTCAATGCTTAGGTAGTAACATGTGATACGATAGTGGTCTTCCACTGTTCGGTACTCCACTTCTGCATTCACTTCAGGCATTTCGCCGACAAGTGTCTGCAGCCGGCGTGATGGCTGTTTGAGTCTTGGTATCTTTGCATCTTTGAAATTGAAATCGGTACCCTCAATTTGTTCCTTGATTTTGTCTGCCATGATTTCAGCGCGCGACCACAAGAGATCAAAATTTTCCTGGGTACGACATTCACTTAGTGTTTTGATCACGCCATCAACACTCTTCTTTGCCGTTACGACATCCATCTGCTTTCCTTGTAGGTATCTGCTCAAACCATCGGTGTTGGACAAAAACAACCTTTAATACCATCAAACCAAAAACGAATCGAAAGTCACAAATCGAGTTAAGTAGGGAATTGCTGTCATTGTACGTCTTCGGATCACGATCTTTCGAGAGTGAGAGAAGAGCCTCGATGATCTTAGGCATTTGGTTTACCACTGCCTTTACAGCTGCCCAGCGACAAGACCATCTAGTAGCGCTCTGCGATTTAATTGTCAGTTTAAAATCTTCGCACTCATCTTCGACTTCGATATCCTTGAAGATAGCGTGGCGTTTGGGACTTCCTTCCAAAAAATTATGGAGACTCTGGATCACGCCTAAAGCTTTTGAAGTGGCTCAATTGTGGTCATAGTATCTTGTAGCGCCAAGTTAAGCCGATGTCCATGGCAATGAACGTAGATACTAAGAGGTGAACACTCCTTCATACGTGCGGCAAGCCCTTTACGAGCGCCACTCATATTTGCAGCGCCATCAAAGCATTCTGCAACTATGTCTTCTAACTTCAACTCCAGCTTGCTAATGGCTGTCTTCACTAGCTCATATAATACTTCCCCTTCCGTGGATTTAGTTGAATAGAAACCAATAAATGTCTCTTTAGTTTCGCCATTGAAAACATATCTAAGGAAAATGGATACTGCTCTGTTCGACTGATATCTGCTGTTTCGTCTACAACTATTCCGTAATAGTCGCTACTTCTCGCTTCAGCTGCTATCCTCTCAAGCATGACGTTTGCTACTATTTCTAGTAGTTCATTTTGAACAACAGGCGATGTCCACTGAGCATGTAACTGGAGCTGGCTTTGCAGTTTAGACCTCAGCCAAGGCAAATCGTTGCATCTTATGCAAAGTAACTCGAGAAAGTTCCCTCGATTTATGTCAGATACCTCCCATATATCATTCCGGGTCTCTTCATGACCTCTAATCGCAACATTCTGTTGCGCAGTATACATCAAGGATTGTATGATTACTTTTAAGTATTGTCTGTTACTGGCAACCTGGTCCTTGTGTGCAGTACTCAGCTGCTGTAGGACGGAAGTTTTGTTTCTCTGCATTGCTTTGAACTGAAGCCATCTTGCCATGGACCTGACATGGTTCTCGCTCTTGCCGTGTTTTGCTAGCTTTGCTGACTTCTTCCAATTCTTAAACACAAATGAAGTATCTTTCCCAAATTCCACGCAGGCAAAACACACGCATGCATCCTTATCCACTTCATAACTTATCCACGGATACTTCTTGTACCATTCAGATTGAAATCTTCGCACAAATGTTTCATTGCCGAATTTTCTTGCAGGATACTCCGCTAATATAGGCTGTTTTGGGGCGTGGGGACGAAATCTGTTCTGTATTTTCACTGGGAATGGAAACCTTTTCAGGCTGTTCGTCTAGAATATGTGCTGGTGAACTAAGATCATCCATTGGTGTAGCTGCTAGAATACTAGACATCGTCATTGATTCTGGTGTAACATTTTCGCTATCTGTCACTGTATTCTGTTCACTATTTTCTCTGAGCTGTGACAATGCATTTAATTCAACATCATCAATGAACGCCGTTATTGGTCTTTGCTCACGAGTTCCTTCACATTTTTGTCCGGCAGATCTTCATCAAAAGACACTGTGGCTGCAAAGTCTTTACTACCACTCGATTCAGTTCCAGGTTGGGTTATGTCATACTGCAGGTCATCGTCCTTGGTTGTCATGTTACTTTTTAGAAAGAAATTACTGATTTTCGACTGGGATGAGTCTGATGATTCCATTACTGGATGGCATTTTACTTTTTTACCATTATGAACCAATCGAGAATGCACCTCTTGATAATCACTATCGATTTCCTTATTGCATTCCTCGCACCGAACACGGTGTCGGTACCGCCTTTTACGAGATGCCATACGCTTTATTAGAGCTTGGTTATTGAGTTTTGTAATATTCCAGGCGATTATTTATATAGCGACGAAGCGGTCAAAAAAGATAAAGGCCTGAGGAAACTGGAAGACTAGTGTAAGTTTACTTCACATGCACACACATGTGGTTTAGATCCAACTCTATTATTCAATATTTCGCATTTGGTATTTATGCTCTCGTTCCATAGGGCGTGTACACTTCCTTTATTATCTAGAATGCTATATTTATTATCAACTGCTATATTTATATATTAATTTCGGACGCACTTGCAATGGTGCATCCGCGGCAGCTTACTTTTCCTTATTCTATTAGTATTAGCCTATATTTACATTTAATCCATTATCCGATATCCGTTACACTAGTCTAAACTGTGTGGTATAAAATTACTTATCCGATTGTGATCAAAACCAAATCCGGTTAATTTATAGCACTTAACCTTTAATAAAGGTTAATTTGACGCACATGCTTGAACCAGTTATGCGATCTATGCTAATATACACAACAGTTTCAGTTTAGCGTTATGGGTGAATAGATTCCCCGTCTAATCACCAGACCGTCGTAACGTCTTTGCCCGAATGACAAGACTCTTTTTGCCCGAATAGATTAATTCCCCAAAAAATTGGGGGGGCTGCAGCCCCCCCAGCCCCACCCCCCCGTACGCTTGCACCCAAGAAGTATTTGATAAAAGAGCGTTTTGTAGCAGGCTTACCATTTTAAACATAACTGCTTTATTATTGTCGTAGAGCTACTCTTGGGTACCCCCCCAAGGCCAAAATTGAAAGGCACTTTTTTATAATTTCGTCCAATATTGACAGATCATGAGTTATGGCTGCATCATCTCCTTGTAGTTCCAAGAGTTCTTTCATATTAGTGACTCTCATCGATCAGTATCACTATATTTTTAAAATACTTAGCTTCAGGCATTCATACGGTGTGAAATTATAAAATTGCCAATACAGATTTCACTTTGTCCCAAGTTCCCCATAACACTCTCGGCCACCCTGAGTATACGGCTGGGAATCGGAATAATTCAATTTTCAGAATTATGTGCACTTTTTAATTTCCGTTTATGTAGGCCAATGTTTTTAAGTGTCAGTGCGATATGACATTCATATTTCAGTGTCATAATGAATATATGGGCAAATATACAAGCAGGTGGAGAGAGCACAATATTGGGTTGCAAATATGAATCATTTCATGGACACAATTACGTCAGGACAGAAGCAAAAAAGACTGAAAATTATTTCAGCATGAATGCCTACTTCATTCTGAAGAACCAAGGTCAGCCTGAAATAACTGAAAATAGATTGACGAGGCAAATGCATCAGTATACAAAAATTGATACATAGTATATTATAATAGTTTAGAGAGCGCATCATGTATTCAAACTGTAGTACATCTATAAGTTATACAATTTATTAAAATGCGGAAATACATTCCATATTCCTTTGATGTGCCAGTCAAATTGAGTAAACGATTGACATTATAATGTGCATGCCTTTGTCTAAATTATATATTTATTGACTAAAAATGAGTAGAGATAAAAAAAAATGTTAAGAGCACAATATCACAATGAAGGCAACGACAAAATTGGTTTAATAGAATATCACATACATCCGTTCCTGGCATGTCATAAAAAGAACACTGTATAATGTCTGTATAGCTGGTGCGACGGTTTCATTGCTAATTTTGGACGATTTACTGTGACGCGTGGAATATTGTTGAATTTGGGAATACGACCGACTATAAAGTATAAACTAAAAGGTTTTCTTATATTTCCTTTAGTTTTCAATATTATTTGCCACAAACGTTACGGGGATTTAATATACACTGTTACAAAAAAGTGAGAAATATCGAATCGATTTTCATACGTTGTCGTGTGGAGTTCGTCAGTTTGCTAAACGAAATTGAAAAGCGGTGGGTTGCTCGATTGAGTTATTCTATTTCCTATTTAAGTATAAATGTATATTTATATGCAGGTTCCTGGCAATAATTATTATGTCATGTCCATCATTGACTGTATATCTAAACCATATAAAAATCCAAACTAAAAGTACAGTGATAAGCCGACAAATATATGCACAGTCTAACTTTCCTACACACAGAGAGTATAATATGTAATGTCTTTGTATAACGCACAAAATTCGGAAGACGTTCTAGACCTTTGGTAGCAGAAGTCATTGCAAATTTCTAGGACTAGACATAGACTTTCCGTTTTAATCATATATGAAGAGTTAAAGTAGACATGCACTACTTACTGAAACTCCACATAACCAGAAATTTAGGGGCCGGTTGTATAAAAGTCTTTACTACATTTTGCATGGTTAAATCCTAGTTAATCTCAGAAATACACGACTCTGATTGGCCAATTCTGTCCTTAACTTCAGTTAAAAGCCGTTAACAACTCTTTTATATACAACTGACCCCAGGACATTAATTACCATTAAAGTTCATAATGCCAGCATTTCGCAATCAAAGATGGCTGCCTTAGAATTATATATAAGGCACGAATTTAAGCAACTTCTATCTTAACATATTGCAGTTGCGGACTTCGATTTAAGACGGGCAGAAACTGAGTACTTTTATGAAAACTTTTTCATATTTTTATACTACCTTTAACAGGTTCCCCAATAATATCATTTCACCAACTAACCAGTATACTTGAAATATAATCGTTAGTTTCTGACTGAATGACATTAATGAAAGGCTACCGAGCAAATGGATAAGTATTTTCCTATCAGCTAAATCCTTGGTACTGTATAATGTTTAGCGTTAGGTATGTCCACATTCACCCCCCCCTGCTGGGTTACCGTTTCTGTTGTACGTACGTCATTGCCCCCCCTGCCACAAAAGCCGATAAAGAAAAGAGAACCTTCAGAACTATGTCACTACCGTTCAGCTAATGTACCAACCCGTTGTACGCTGACATCCCGAGTCTCTGATGCATTAGATCACGTTCATATGCTAAACATTACGTATACGAGTGTGCTCTTTAAAACAGACAAAGCATAAAAACATCTGTCGCTGATGACAATGTAATGATTCGAGGCGCCTGAGCTGAAAACATACATATTCCGCTATAATCTTCACTTGTTTAGAAATGCCCGGACGGTTCAAAATGATCAAACTTCCAAAGAGTTCACACACCAGAAAGATCTTAACGATCAGCGCCCTTCAAATTGTAAGTAGTACATCTATATATACCCGTTATATAAACTGTAAAGACTCAGTACCGACGCAAAAACATCGCAATATACATGCATGCTGCCAAATTTTCGATTGATCAAAACACAACTACAAGTTGTAAAATAGACAAGATAAGATGAATAATATAGAACACTAAAGATTAAAATTTAGAATACGGTATTGTATAAGCACAGTCGACTGCATGTAAATATTGTCTGGGAACATTCAACACGCGAAACATTTTGGTCTGGCTTTGAAAGTTTGCAAGTGAATCCGTGCCGTATGTTATCGTGAAAACGGATGAGAAAGCCGTAAATCATAATTGATTTAAACTAGAATCAATCAAAAGCTCACAAGATTAATAAACCAAGCATGTAGAAAACTCGAAACAAAATTGGTAAACATTTACACGCTTCATGCATGAACTATGCCCACGGTTTGCAGATCGTAGGCGGATGCACGAAGCAATGGCAATGAATTTGTGTCCATATATTGTGCGTATTGAAGAGAAAACTGTTAATTTGCATCTCACCGATGGAAGAAATATATATACATGTGAATACATATTAAGTACTATAGTCGAACTAATACGTTCAGAAGTTTAGCTTCCGCTCTGTCGATTTCAATTGTCTTCGATACGCCAGGCCGGAGGTCAATTTGATAATGTATTTTTGTATCCTGGAATGGGAGCTCCCCTGAAAGAAGATTCGCCGGTATCTTGCAGTCAATAAAGAAAATTCTATTAAACAGGAACAGGGTACTTATGGCGCCCCCCTATAGTGAAAGCCCACTTCGCTATGTCGCGCAGAATTTACCTCCGTGGACTTCAATATCGATTGCTCGATCCCGTATAACAATGGGGTTGCCTATCTTCCTTTGTAACCTTATATATAAATGCTTGCTGAAGGTTTATAAGACTATTGAATATATGAAAATTTTGAGTTACAGTTATATTGGCTGTTTCGTACGAAACAGGTGCAAAAATAGTGAATTCATGCTTTAATTGTGTATATTTTAACATTTGCTTTCCTAATGCCATGCAGTAATGGCAATGCGCGTATGCTTCGTTTTTGCAAATTGTCAATAATAGGGGTATGTGGGTGTAAAAGACGCCTTTATCTATAAGTTGGACGTGGGCGTCCCGTGTAGATTCTGGAGAGCAGCTGAGAATTAGTTGGAAAAAACGTTGAAAAACAACAAGCTTCATAGATCCCACTTCTCAAAATTTTCCGTATTCGTGTATCTAAATTATACAACTGGTTTTGGCAAAAGTGAAATTTATGTATAGCACTGTTTCTGTAAATACTTTCTCTCAACCGCTGGCTTTTGAAGATAATAGGGGGCTTTAGCATATGATAACGACTACGAGCTGTACAAGATTCTTTATTTTCGCGCCGAACTCTGCATGCCGTGCTTTTGTCAAACTCACAGTCGTTGGGCTTTAAATTGAATACGAAATTATTCTACTAACCCGTACTCAAAAGCTCCACTACTACAAGTTTCAGTGGCTGATAGAAAACAAACAACACTCAAGAATGCTGTACTCGTATACTATAGTCACTGCTAAAGTTCCTATATTAGCCTATGTTGTGAACGGTGTAAGGACCTCCGGCATAACGATTTCTTTCGTAGCGAAGTGATTAATATCTGGAACTTTAAATAATTATATACTGCAGTGCGAAATTAAACACTCATAACACCGAACTTATCATGTCCATGCATGATAATCAGTCTCTTTTTTGTAAAACATTTGTGGCTACTTCAGGCGCACAGTATTAGGTGCAGACTTGCTACAAGTTCACCTTTGCTTTGATCTTTGTTATTGTTTCCAATACGTATGTATAATATGTCATATTTGTGCTTTTCGAAGAAAAATTAAAATCGTTTATACTTTTTTAACTTATATTCTGAATAATTATATAGATTGAAATCATATTTATCAGTGAAAATTGAAACGAAATAAAAAACCCCGTCATATTATAATAAAATTGGCAGCAAAAACTTATCTAAACCAGCTTCTTTAGTACTATTTAGTCGCTATCTTGTTTTTCTCATGATTATTTTCTTTTCTCACGATTATTTTTCTCCCCGCCAATTTGTATATATAAATAACATAGTATTCTCGTCATACAGTTACTGATTATTCGAAGTCTGTTAAATTTTGAGAGAAATGTACACAGGAAATCTTCGAAAGCATAACTTTTGCAAAATTTTTAATCATTTTTAAAGTATTATTCAACTATAGTGGAATAGAAGTTTTTAGACTAGTCCAAACATGCAGTGACTGGATATTTTTTATTTTCTATTTTAGGCAGCTGTGATAATCGCTGTATGCTCTGTAATTGCCTACATGTCTTATAGTGGACTGTCCAAAGGTCGCTGGGCTTTTTTTATTTTCGTCTGTATCTTGGCGCTCTCTTATGCTATCTCCATGCCGATTATATTTCTCAAGAAAATACCACGAACGTTCCCTAATTGGAACTGGAACATCATGGTATATAAATTGTATTGTTATATAGGTGCTGTATATTTTAAATGTGATTGGTTCATTCGTAGTCACATGACTTTAAATAAATGCGATGTTTCCGGCCAGGAAAAATTGTGCCCGCTTCTTGTCAAAACGAAGTAAAGTGTTTTTTTTTTAAATGAAATTGTTGTGTAACATGTATATGTATAACTTGTCATTTTCTCTTCTATATAGTTGCCCATACCATCAGTAATACTAGTTGTACTTCTCCTGGCTGCATCCATCGCCATTTCGGTTCATGTTGATCACGGATGTTTGGAATACTGCGGTTTGGTCTCTTTTATCGCGGTAAGTAGACTTAATGCGATTCTCCATTACCGTTCGCTTCACCCGCGCGGGCGAAGCGGCCTTTGAAATTCTGCCATGCGACCCTAAAAAACAAAGCGCGCTTTACCCGCGCGGGCGTAGCGGACGTAATGGAGAACCGGACGCGATCGCCAACGCGACGAGATTTTAACGAACTTTTCTCTTTTCAAAAGCAACTCATTTTGATCCTGGTAGTATATATAAGGTTATTGATCATCACCTAACGATAGTATAACTTGACATGTCTGTGACCTATTAGCCCTCAAAACTTCCTTCCAGAGTGAGTTTATTACGCTTTAGAAACTAGAAATTCGCATCGCGTTGGCGATATTATGGTATAGTGCGCGTATGCATGTGTGTATGGCCAAAACGATAACTATATCGACGGTATCCAACTCGGTTATCTGGACATTTTAAGCCCTCTTTTATAGTTGAACACACTCTTCTGATCTACACTTTATTTTCTGCTTATTTTCAAATATTCTAGGCAATCGCGTTTCTTTTAACATTGCTCTTCTTGGTCGAGACGCTGTTGCTATTGAGGAAAGCCTTAAAGGATCGTGATTCGCGACGTGAATCCGCCATCGTCAACAACATGGAGACACAGACCGAAACACATACCGACTCACAGACATCCACTTCACAGCTATAAGACTGTCAGACAGAGCTACAGATCCGGAAAAACGTTGCTTACAGCTTACTGCATGTGTACTGTAGACCTAAGCGTTTGATTTGCCAATAGGAGCATGCGCAGAGAGTGGCTTAGAATCCTTAAATGCTTTCTACTTCCGCACGTCGCTGCAGGCGGCCTGGCGAAGAGGACAAAGAGCATTGGAAGTCATGGACTAGTTCAAAAACTAATAAAACGCTCAATTTCATTTGCATCATTCTTTGGTTATATAAACAAGTTCATTTACAGTACTGTCCAGAAATGGCCTAACAAAAACCGCGGTCCAAACTCCAACTCCAACCGCGGTGAGACGAGGTTGACCCTCGGCCTAACTTGTTTTGACAGACATTTCTTAAGATTTTTTCGATTTGGTTATTGTGTTGTCCTTCTCAGCCGTGTTTATAACATAACAATTCGTTCGGAAGCGAACGGCCACTGCGAAGGTATTTTTTCCCTTGCGGTCGTCTGCGATTTCTATCGATCAAGCGCAACCGCAGTGTTAGATTATTTCTGAACAGTACTGTAACATGCAGTACTTTCTTGATACTTTGTAATATAATATGCATGACGAAAGAAAGCTGGCTTTCCTACGATAGATTCATGGTTAAAGAAGTGATATGCATTCATGTACAAATGTTAAATATTCTTTCTTCCCGGCATAAATTTAATAGTAATCCCAAATATAAGGTGTCCCGATGTTAGCTATCAGTCGATAGTTGATATAGTTCTGATACTTTCATCTACAGTGCACGCAGATATGACAGATCGAGTTAAAACAGGTGCATGTTATTCTGAATGCAACTTTGGTACGAATAGATTTATAGAAGCGTTATGAAAAGCACATGCAGCAATCCAGACAATGAATCATAGAGCAGTCGTCCTTCAGTCTTGAACTGAGATTTCTTGATGCAAACAGTCCTTTGAAGTGAAATAAAGTATAAAGAATATGGATCGTTCCGTGTAATTCAAACTTCAGTCAGACCGTTTGCGCCAGGCAAAATTTCGCGCGTGGAGCGAAAATTCCTGTGTTAGTCCTTATACCTTTAACACAGAACTGATTGTGAAAATGACGAATCTTGTATTCGTACTCGTAGTCTTGGCTAAAGCTTCCTAATGCAATATGATATGGGCAGCCTATATTTTAATCAAACTTGATGAAACTATAGAGTAGTTATGTACCTAATTGCTCAATTATTTAACACCGAAATATTGCAGCCGTATGAAATTGGATTTCCTAAGGAATCATCAATCACTGTGTATTAGAAATCTGACCTTTAGGTCCTATAAATAAGGCCTATATATAATAATAATCAGTTGCTGTTTTCTATACGAAGATACATACTTCACGCTCAGGCAAGTCATATAGTATTGATATTTAGTCTCAATATAATCAGCGTCCCTTCTATACGAAAATCTATATTGGCAAAAACCCGGTGAAATTTTTACCACGAATCCAACGTTGATATTTATACCTGATATTATCATAAAAATATCAACACCGCACCAAATATTGTTTATGGTAACACCGACGATATATTTATTTGTCACAATATGCACAAGATTTTGTCAAGATAGTTATCACTCTGTTTAAAAGTAACATATGGCTCATATTCTTTCGAGATTTGAAGGGCTTTGTTTACCGCCGGTTATTGCGAGCGAAGATTCCGAGTTAATAACGAGTAAAGATCCATCAATTGTTCATATTATTGCCAATGTGAATGCTTTAAACGCATTAACCCGACCATTTAACGGTGACCTAATGCCAAATTTGTAACATTCCTATGACAATTTTAGACTAATCTTGATGACTGCATATGGTAAAAAATTAACGTTAAGAAGTGTGGAAATACGACATTAGTTATAACCCTGTATAAAAGATCGCATTACTAACTTAAGTGGAAGAAACGTCGCCGCTATAACAATTTTGCATAGTCTGTCGAAAGATCTCGCAAAGGCAAGAGTATTGGTTTTGTACACAGCAGATGTCAGCTTACAGTAAGACGAGTTAAACTATTCACTTAATTGAAGAGGTTATCAATTCAGCAATAAAGAAAATAAAAACCCAGACATGACAGGAAGGTAGGCAATTTATCTATGGGCAAATATTTGGCAAAGTATTTAACAAGTCTCGGTTACTTTAGTGGTGTTTTACGCGTGTACACAAAGCGAAACTTCAAAGCAATGGCGTCTGAAACTTCAATTGTTGATGTAAAGTCATCGTTCAATCAATTCTATTAGTCGACTGTATATAGTTTTTGAACAAAACAAAAGCTTTGGTACCTGTAAAAAACTGTTGCTATGGTTTGTATCAAATCTGTTTGTCGCGAGATTTATATCGAACAAAAGCATCTTCTCAGGATGAGAAACTATATGAAATAAATGTTGACTCTTCGAAACATATTCTGTTATGTGACCCAAATTTCACGTGCTAACCCTGGTTTGGTATTTTTTAAAAGTTCTCAGGAGTAAGCCGTAAGGACTCAAATAAATTGTAAAATTGACATTCTGGAGCGGTTCATGGACAATGTAATATGAGTAAAATATGCTCTTGAAACACTTGGCAACAGCTCGATCATATAAAATATAACATGGTGCTGTTAAGTCTTAACCTAAAACTACGGGCCTTTTACGAAGAAATTTAAGGACTGTGACAGAAAATCGATTTGATTTGGATTTGCCATCATGCATTGGACTGAAAGTGTTATAGCCACTAAAAATAAACGTGACTTACCAATTGAGTGTTTCAGCGCCTTTTTAGCGAGGCTCGTGGCAAAAATCAACCTTTGGGACCCTTTCCTTTTGGACCAAAGTAATTGCTCGACCTCTTAATTTTACTTTGTGTCACATCTATTTACCTCATATTTGTGGAGCCCCCGACCCCCCGTTTGCCCAGCAGCCCGAGCTCTGAGAGGTCTTTTGAAAAATCAACTATACCTGCTGCATATAAGCCCCATTTCAACTGAAACCTTGTTTTATCAAAAGCAAATTTTTCAATGCAAGAAACATATTTTCCCAACAGAAGACGTATTGCAAAATTGACTTAGTTGAATCGCTTCGACAATCCTGCAGGAAAGTGACAGTTTTCGGCGTTCAAAAAACTATTTTAAACGAGCAATGATGAATGACATCATATCATGTTTAACTATTGATATAGGAAGTACAAGCCATGTGCGACGATGGTTTTAGACAAGGGTCTTAACTACATAACATCCACTCCTGGCATTTTAAAGATTTTTGAGTTTGTAAGTATATTTAAGTGCACGCGGGATAATTTATCATGCAAGCCTTATATTTATTTCTTTAACTCGAGCACAAACACGTTTTGTTAAGCCATCAACCATCTTTTTTAACGATGTACAAGTTTATCAAAGTTAGAGTAAAGTCTATACACACCTAAAAGTTCAATTTTTCACCCTTGTCAGTTATTTTGGAAACTTTTACTGCCTTTCGACAATCACTTCCCAGTCGAATTACGTCGAGTGAATGTTTTGACGCCGTTGATGACGCCATGCTATCGTGGTTTATAGCCAACAGTATCACAGAGGAGAGATGGACAGAGAGTCGACTCGCGGCTCCACGCGTCCCCACTTTTTTACTCGCGCGCGCTATTTTCTTTAGAAAGCCCAGGGATGATATGCTTGATGAAAATTTGATCAAAAAAGTTTGAAAAATGACTGAAAAAGTATGTAATCGAACGGCAACTCTGCTTGAGAAGTAAAGATACATAATTATGAATGTTTTCAGTGAATGTTTGTATCATCAAATGGTGCTAATTATTAAGAAACTGATATCCTCTGCGAGTTAAAGTTATATCACGCCTAAAACTCTGTTTTGTTTTGAAATGTTTTGCTATGTATTTTGTCGATATTTTAAAATTAAAACGCGAATTTAGAAGTATTCTTTGAAATTCGTCCTATATTGTTATCTCACAAATATGCAAACACTCTGCCTGCTAGTTGACAAACAGTAAAAAGCAGCTCTGTGTACGTTTTACTTTGGCAAACACAATTTGACAATTCGGGTAAAAATATGGCAGTCGACAAGGGTAATCAGAACTCACTTACAAAACAAGGATTTTAATATTGCTTTTAAAAACAGCACGATCATTTAAACCGAACAAAACAAACAACTCACCGTTCATCTCCAAAATTTTAGTCCAAAAATGGATATAATCCGACCAAGTTCAAAAAAAATCAATTTTTCACCTATCGAACAGCGTTTTTTCTACACTTTTGTATTGAAATTTGGCCGAAAGAGCTTACCAGAAGAGAATCGGGTGGTTGCGTGGCGCGTGGAAATGACGTGAGAATGACGTGAATATTAGGCAAAACTCGGGGACACTCGTTTCAACATTAAATCGGAAGAGTCGACTCTCTGTCCATCTCTTCTCTGTGACAGTATTTCAAATATTTTAGATTTTTCTGCTGGTATCACTGGCGTGTATCACAGGATTTATGAAGCCTCTAAATAACATCAGAGGAACTTGGAATTTCTTCCTTTTCAGCATCGCCGTGACTTGGGTTTTGACAATGGTCTCGTTTCTATTTTTCACTCTTGGCGGACATAAAAAGTTTCCTTCCATGAACTGGGTGCTTGCGGTATGTGGTTTAACTGATAGATCATGCTTACCAAAGACAAAGTAAATGGTGAAAGCAAGCTGTTTTAAAAAGCATACCCTTAAAAATTTTGCTCGCTGTGAAAGTGAAACATCCAATGTGGTATAACAACTGCCTAAAATAGACAAAACACTTCTCGACTTTTCGATCTGAGGGCCTTCGTCAGGAGAGTTAGTATGATCACTGATAGTTCACTATCATACTAACTCTCCTGACGAAGTCCCTCAGGTCGAAACGTCCAGAAGTGTTTTGTCTATTTCAGGCAGTTGTTATACCACATTTAATACTAAGTTGTTTAAAGACGCTGCCACGCTGCTCCTTGGCTATATAGAAAACTATTAAGTTGGAAGTTCCACCTATATATATATTTATATGATTGTCCGTAATATTCTTCGAAAATACTCTCCCTTTTTGTAGATTGCGATAATATATTTCATATTCACTATTCTGCTGCTAATTGCGTCCGGAATACTCGCTGACAACGCCAGATCGTATAAAGTCTCAGGTCTATGTGACACGTGGAAGGCTGGGAATAAAGACATCGAGTGTAACATCCTTGTTGTCGCTGTGGTACGTATACGTAGGTGATTGACTCCGGTGAACCCTGGTGAAGACTGGAACGCTAGTCGCTAGCTCTTTGACTTTCCCTCATTAATGAGTCAAGGCAAGATGGCGGATCACGAAGCCTTTTTTGTAGGTATGATCCAGGCCTCTGGCGGAAATCTCAAAGAAAAATCATAATTGCTGCCATTTTACCTACGAAATTTCCGCGTGGAGGCCTGGATCATACCTACAAGAAAGGCTTCCTCCGCCATTTTGGCTTCACACTTTCGGCGGAGCTAGCGTTCCAGTCTTATTTCAGTTCACTGGATTGACCGCGGTGGGACAATTGGGACCATTCGATCCATTGGGTCTAATGTCTTCGTTTTCACAGTCTCTGGGTTCAGATCAAAACCGGAAGCCAGAAATCCTGGCCTGCGGTTTGTTGAACGGCCGCGCCCCCGGATTGGGTAGAATTGGTGTTGAGTGGGGCGATATGTAAACCAATGTTTTGTACTGGAAATTCAAGCAATAGCCAGCTTCATAGGATAAAATAATGCAGAAAATCGTCCAGGCCGATGACCTGTCTTTACGATGTAATTCTAGCCACGTTTAAACAACCTGCACTGAGGAATGACTTGGAGTTTAGTAGCGACTGTTCACTTTACCACCCTGTTTCATCATTTTTGTTTAGATTTTCGCCTTCGCTGCTTTCGTGATGTATTCTTTGGATACTTTATTTCATTTCTGGTTGAGCATAGTCGCTGAACCTGATGCGAGCGATGAGGAGACTGCTGAAATAGAACCGAAAGACGAGTCCCAGACAACAAACGGCGCCCTCTAGGATCCGCCAGGATCGTCAGTCCACGACGATATTTAACATAATAATATCTGTGTTGTGAACTGAAATGTTTAATTGATCCCAAGCGTTCGACTGTATATCAATGTGAAAAATTTCTATTCGGTGTGGGATGAAGATAAAAAATATTTTGAAAATACAAAAGCAACTGCTATTCAAAGAAAATCCGGCAAATCATTTATGGCGGCAAAATTATATTTGTTCTTTCATTTGTGTCGTAAAGTTTCTTAAATGTCTACACCCATGCACCAAATAGAGTCTTACAATAGCTTCAGTTTCATATACATGAAGTAGAACGTTCAGTCATACAATGAATATTTCTCCTCATAGCTCGGAAAACCTAAAAATATGGGTTTTTAATCTCCCTTTCCAGGGCTATAGTTAATTAGTTTGGCCGACATGGAATTATACGGCAGTATAAGATTGCGACATTGTTTAGAACTTAGAATTAATTTTCGATGCTGTGTGATTTGTAACTTCGTATTTACCGAATGTAAAAATATTTTGACTATGGCAGGTACTCATTTTTATTTAGAAGTGTTTTTTATTTTTAACGGCAAACACTGGCATAATATAATATCGGGTAAAAAGTAATATTGTATGTAAATTCAGTTCTTTGACAAGTTACAAAAATCTCCTGCCGGGCCTGCTTAGTTACAAGTTATAAACAGTGTGATAGATATATCTACGTATTCATTACCGCGCCCTAAATCTTGCACCTTTGATCGTCTAAAGTTGGAACTGACAGATATTGATTGAAAGGTATGGACATAAGATGCAATGTTTTTTATCAGTAACTTGTACATGCATCGATGCATCGTAACAAATCTGTGACAGACTTGTCGGCTCATTATTAATGTTTATACTAGCCCTTTGAAGAGGGACAAGCAGACAGGGTACATAGTAATAAAGTTTTGTAATGAATTATCGAATGCGAAAAAGGGACACCATACAATAGTAAATAATTTGCCTTTCCATTACTAAATACGACAAAGACTAGCATGGCTTGCATGAGAATGCCGATAATAGCCTTTATTTCAGATATTTTATTAAAATTCTATAATATACGGACACGTCGCAACATGAAACGATTCAAAAGTCCGCTCTGTTAGTGTTAGTTACAGAATAGATTGACAATTTGACACCTAGATTGGATATAGCAAGTAGTTTAGAAGCAAATTCTATTTTAAGGTATTCAGAGCATCAGTTTTTTATTTTTTGTAAAAGTTTTTACACTTTCAAGCAAATGAGAGAATCCCGTATCGACTTTTTCATAAACCAACCGTTTTGTTTCCTTAGTGCAGTTTCCTTCTGTGTAAAATTAAGCTAGGGTATATAGCTAATATATGATTTTCGACCGGCTTATTTTCAACCAGAAGTTTTGAGCTGAACTGCCAAAGCCATAGCGCAAACACTTTGGCTTTAATCACAACGATCACAACAATAAATCCGTGATAATGAGATCGGAACTCGTTTCGCTTGCTTTAATCAGTATGATACATGACAAAGGCCAAATCTGCATGTCGCCAGTTTCAATTTACGAGCAACTATATGTATATAAGGTGCATATGCTTCCTTCCTGCAATGCCCAGAAGACTTTAAATATTTGCTTTAGAAGCATACAAATAAACAAAGAAAAACCAGTCAAAATAGCGGTCTTTTTAGAAGCCAAATTTATTATGCATTTAGGTGAAAACTTTCGTTATTGTTTCGTTATGTCGGGCTCGTTATAAATAATATAGCAACCGTATGTAGATGGAGAAATTCTGTTATGACGACGGCGATTTCCACCTGTTATCAGCCGTTGTATATAAGTTACCGACTGATTTTAATACCGAATATTCATTTCTACATACAGCACGTTATATAAACTAGTGCTTGCCTCAAAATCGAAAAGCCAGCTATATAGCCAAGGTCAGGATCGAAGGCCGAAGGTTCGATGCCTGTCGGTGGGCCCAAGTTTCATATTTTGGCTTGATCTTAGGTAGAATTATACTAACATTACCTCCACCGTTAATCTGCGGATTAAATAAGCCATGCAAACATCTACATTATTGAAATACGGCTTAACCTATCACGGCATTTCGACATTGACTGCATGATTGGCGGCAACTAAAACAATGTAGTTCAAAAGAGTTGCCACGTTTATTAACAATTTTTTTTTTAAGAATTAGGGAGAACTATATATGATGCATTTGCCTAGAGCTTAAGCTCATATTTTAATGTCAATATGGAAACCTGCCCAGATTATTAATATTGCCGGAATAGCTAGCCTCTTTTTAATGCAACGAATCAGTAATCAGGTGATCGAGAATTATTTCCGCAAGCGTTGCCTAGCTACCATGCAGCATTCAGCAAACGATAGCGTCTTTAGAGTTTGTATTGAGTGCTTATTGGCGTTGACTTATATCAACAATCGTGGTCTTCCTGATCTACACATTTAACTGTTAGCCAGGATAGTTGCAACTGTGAAAAAAGGTGATCGCGTCTTCCCTTTTCAATTTCCAGGCAGAAGATATGGGACAAATCGAAAAAGGCTTGAACTACTTAAAATCTATTCCATTTATTCTGAAAATAATTGAATTCGTAAGTATTGGCACTTTTGCATCTCTTTTTCTCGCAGATATTGTCTATATAACAGAATTAGCTTGTGGTGTACATAAATGGCCTTAAATCAAAATGAAAACAAGATCTAGATTCCTCGAGTCGTATAGCTATACCGATAAGTCGAGGAAACATACCTGAATTCGTCGAAGATCGTAGCCTTTATCTCGCTCAAAAGAGCAGCAGGTCTCATGCATAACATAGCAGGCTTCGGTTTTAGACTGTCCATGTCCTGCATGAATATTGAATTAATTGTAATACTCAATAGAGCTAGCGGAATCATGCATTCTCTGAACGTACGAACATTTTTCGGGGAAAAGGAGATTCGACAAATATGTTGTATTGCATTTATCAAGCACCGCTCGAACCCGATGATTGATCATGCATCTGTTTTGCTATACATGGGTATATATTGACGGGCAATGAAAGCAAACACGGGCAGGCGCTAGCGGCATTCGTTGTCAGTAGAAAAAGTTGGCCAAGATTTCGGCTTTTCCGCCCGTTATTTTATTATCTTTACTGTTTGAGACTATGTATACATGTAATGGCGTTGCCATTCTTACACCTTTCGCTTGTCATGGCAACGAGAGGATTTTTGTACACAAGACGCCCAAAGCTAAGGTCTTACACTTGAATTTTAATACCATTTTCGGTGCCATCTTCTTCTCTAGATAGATGGAGAGTTAGGATTGCTTTGGGCGGGTTGTACGAAAGCTAGGTAGCGCTGGTGGTTTTTCTATCGCTCTATAGAAATTATACGCTGTTCGGTATAAGTTGATTAAACCTTATATAGTATTCTTAACTTGGACTAATCAAGATCCTCTTTGATAAGTGTTAGCTCCAAAGCTGTAATATTATTGTTTTTCAGCATTTTTACATCAATTGAAAAAATCGCTATCCGGTTGATCATATAGCGCTACTATTAATTAAACAATAAAATTACAGCTTTGGAGCCAACAGTTATATCAAACAGAATTCGCAATTTAGGAAAACTAAGTGTTAACCCGGGTTATACTCGATTTCCGGGTGAATAGCGCTATTCAGCTTTTGTACAGGCAAATTCAAGTCTACTTTTCGCGCAGTGCTGGCCAATCCAATCTTTCTTACTTTTCGCCCCTCAACGCACGAAAGCCTGGGTATAGCCTGGCTGCATGATCTTGCCATTCATTGTCTCTTATGAATTTTGATGCCGAATTTTCACGTGTTTAGATTGTGCTACTGATTGCATTTGCCCTGGCTGGACATTTTATGAACGAGGCTGTGACTAATTTCTTCGCTACCTTCGGTAAAAAAGGGAATATCGAATTCTTCTTATTCGCGACGATTGTTGGATGGCTCATTGCAATAGTTCTACCAATCCTGTTCTTCATCGGCATCCAGGAGAAAGTCTCAGCAATACCATGGACACTTGTCGTAAGTAATAAGAAAGAGAGCATTTACAATTATCCTCCCTTTTGCCTCGTATTATGAAGCTTTGGTTCTTTCTGATTAGGATAATCTTAAAAGTCGTCGAAATACTGCTTGCGTGAAATTTATTCATAAATTGAGAAACGCTGAACAACTTAATAATAATAACTCACTCTCTTACATTCTCGATGGAAGGAACTACCTTGCATGGTGGTCATAATTATAAGTTAAGATATAAATCATCAACGAGACCCTTTGCGAACACCGAACGATTCAAAAACTTTATAACTGTTAAATATTTTTAATATGTTTATATTTTTCTTATATGTTGGACATTAGGTTCTAATTATTCATTCCGTGTAATTCAGTTTCTACTGCAATACGGTTTATTAAACATGCACTATTATCATTATGGTTCTTCAGTTTCCGAACAATGAGATAGACCGAAATAGTGGCGATTGTATACTTCCTTTTCAATACCACTGGACTATACCGTCCTGAAACCATCCCCAGCAGAAAAAAAATCCTTTCATACATAGAAAAAAATTCCAGAAACCTTGGATCGGTGAACTAAAAAAATTCTGGAGTCAAAATCAGAATCACTTTAGGCTCATAAATAGTTTATTCCATCATCTTCGACTGAAATCCAGCAGCTGTTTCAGGCTTCAAAGTCCGTTTGCAAAATTAACAGGCGATAGTTCATTAAATCTTAATGATATTGTTCACATCGATGTATTGAAGCACGAAATTTTGGTAAAATTCTCTTAAACCGTCCAGTAAAAAACCTAATAAAAAAGAACCAGTTAAAGAGTTCTGTTTGCAGTTTTTAGGAGTGCAATAGCCCGATTCAACTTACAATCCGAGTAAGTAAATGAAGGACAGCACCGAATAATCTGTACGGTATTATTCTCTATTTAGGTCGCCATTCTTTCAGCGGTGTGGGCAGTGCTTTTAATCATCGCTTCTTCGTTATTGGCTGCGGCAGCAAAACATTATGAGGACAAAGAGGGGATTCGTGGAAAATCTGTATGCGAACTACTGGATGATGCCAATGAGGATTCACAATGTGGACAACTTATTGGAGGAACAGTAAGAAGCATAATCTAGCTTGTTTACACCTACACAAATTACACTTGCCGTCAGTTTTACTGTGATTATATAGTCTATGCAAGTGGCGGGTAGGGGTGGTGAAATGTGTGTGTATATGTCGGGGGTGGGGGGAAAATGTGTGTGTATATATCAGGGGGGAGTGTTGGTCCTCCATCTGTTTCTCTTCCCCGTTTATCTCACACCATAGCTTATCTGTCATGGAAAGTGCATTTAACGGTTCGCCCACTCAGTTCCAGCCTTTCTATCAACTCGTATTCAGATTTGAACTCGCCCTTTTCTTTTCCGAAATCCGAATATTGTAAATACTCCTTACCAGGATGCATTCGGGCATATAAAAGAGTCTAGTTTAACTCTGACCCAAAGAATATTAACATATATACACATTGCGGCTTTTTAGATACTGGGTTTCATCGCCACAGTGCTGTACGCAGTTGATACCATCATCCATGCCCGCATGTTCATGACAGGGGCTTCCAGCCCGCAAGCAGGTGGCGCTGTTCCAGCGTAATGAGTGAACAACATATCGGCTTCAAAGAGGAACATCGTCAACACAGGCAGGGAATATTTGACGAAGAACTTGTATATATCGTACTTTTGAACTTCTTTACGAATATCTGTTTACTGACGTTAGTACGCATGCTTCATAAAAAGAGAACCGACCGCTGAGCTCTGAACGAGTGCAGCTAGAGAAAGCCGTTTTTGTTTACAATATATTTTCGCAAAACTGTAATCTTGGTTAGAATGAAAATTTAGGTATTTAGATTAAATGGAATAAAATTGATCGAAAAAACCATGCTGTCCGTTTTTAACCACCCACAAAACGCTGAATATATGACGAGATATGGTTTGAGTGAAACCTTCATCAGTTTATCTGAAAATTAACCGGGAAACCGCAAACGAAAGGCTTTGCTAGAAACTTGGAAGTTCAGGTCACCCTTATATTTCGAAACTGAGGGTCCTTTCTTTCCGGCTATAAAAAAGTGCCCATGAAAGTTATCTCTAAAGACATTGTCCAAAGCCTTTTAATTCAAAGCATCATATTCAGTTGAAACGCACGCGGAACATATTGACCTCAATAGAAACAACCTGTAATTTTAAACTATGATTTAAATACACATGCAACCTGTTGAAAGAAAATATTCAGTCGTTCCGCCATCTACGACCATAATCTTGTAGAAAAAAAATATAATTTTTCAATGAATCATTTAATGTCACTGAGGATTCCAGTCACTATTTGACGGATTGTCGAATCAATTTATGACAGAGACGGAGCAAGATATATACTCAGTTATACTTTTTTTTTAAGAAAGGCACCTGCAAAACTAAACTATCGCTATCAATTAATATTCCTAGTTACGAACATTCAGTAGTATTACTAAAACTTTGTTTATAGAATCTTTACCACAAGGCGTCTACAACATTAGCAGCTATAGCAATAAGACGTTTCATTCAGCGTTCGTGAATTTGAGACAGCTTGTATTCCGTCTAAACCATAAATAATTTTAATTCAAACACTCAATCATCCACAACAATGTTGGAAAGAATTGAAAAAGGTTTGGACTATGTGAAATCTATTCCATTTGTTCTGAAGATAACAGAATTTGTAAGTAATAATTAATTGATAAAAGTGGGATTTATAACATGCAGTGGCAATGAGCGAACTATAATATATAATTTGAAATTCTATATATATGATGTATGGAAATGGCTTGATCTTCCATGAAAATTAGTGTGTATATTTTCCTATAACTGTGTGTAATTAAGTAACTATAAATACAGACATCCATAAACTTCTAAGCAACGTGCAACAGACTTAGATAAATCCTTTCTGGGAAATAACATACATGAAGCTTTGAGAAATGAAGGTACTATGAATGCTTAAATGCTAGATAAACTTATAAAGTAAAATAAATTTTCTGTTAAAGAGATACTCCTTGTGGTTATGATCATATACGTTATTCCATACAGTCGTCCTATGTTGCTCGTGCATTGAGAACACTCGATAATAAATTGGGCTACGTACATATATCTAATGAAATCAATGTACTATATATGGTTTGCGGTGTTCGTGTAACTAAAGGTGTAATTCAACCTGCAGTCTACCATCTAAATTAGTCGTTCATCTGTCTGTACATATTTTATACCATATTTTGTACCATCTGATAGTCAAGGCTGAATAAATTGAAGGAACTTAGTTTTCTGCATATTTTAGTACGCAATGTTGACCTAGATGTTAAAAATAAAATTTAAAAGCATTTAAAATTTTCCGTAGCTACGTGTACGTGCGTATAAAGAACGCGTAGGCCTATAGTGGAAAGCAGCCTTGAGGCCAAAAACGACCCGCTATTTGCTTTCCATGGCAACAGAATGTATAATATATTCCTCATGCACGCAAACATATGACTTTAGAGTACTATGCCAACAGGGTGATAGGGAAAATACATGCTGATTTCTTTCGCCGAAATATTCCTCATTTTAATACAATGTGAAATATTCCGTATTTTAAAACATGATTGTATATAATTGCGCTTCGGAGAAAGTTTAAAAATAAGTTTGAATTCAGTGTAAACTCAAAAATTTTGCAACGAAATATCGTAAATTGCGGAAGAATAAACCAAACGCACTAATTCCGTGTATATTCCTTTTAAAAAGTTTTCTTTTTAATGATATATAAATTCATGTGTTTAGGTCGTCTTATTGATTGCATTCTCTCTTGCTGGGCACTTTCTAAATACAATGGACTCCAATTTCTTTGTCCTTTATGGAAAAAAAGGAAGTATAGATTTTTTCCTATTTGTAACGATTGTTGGATGGCTCATATCGATAGTCTTTCCAATCCTCTTCATTTTTGGCATCCAGGAGAAGTTCCTACTTGAAAATCACTGGACACTTATAGTAAGTAATTTTCTTCAACAAACTCATTCGTTATTTATGCATGATGAAGGTTGTCCGTAATCATGCAGCCGAATGTACCAACCTTAATTTTCTAATCTATTCTGACCGACTTTTTTACCCAAACGCGTATCTTCTCTGCTTGCTCGCAATTGGAATGTTCGTGACAAACATTGAACATGGAAGGCGAACAAACTGAGATTAGCGCAGCTATTCGCGTAAATAGAATAAATATATTTTATATTTACGACATATGGATCTCTACATAATTGCGATTACCACTTGCATATATTGGTATACAGCCGTATATGCTAGATATAGCTTTATTACATGTTTGAGACTATGGCTTTTAAACAAAAACATAGTTCGTGTTTCATTTGCCGTATACTATAAAGTACGAAGTTCCCGTATTCAAACTTATGCTAAGTCAATCTATATGCAAAAGTACTGCAAAGCACCGTATGATATTAGTATTCTGATTATTACTACTGCTTTGCAGTAGTAATACTTACGTGGTGTATACCTACAACTCTACAAGCGAATTTACTTATCAAAATACTGCTTGATAAGCAAGCAACAGGTGGCTACCTACCCGTCTGTTTTTCGAATTTTATTTCCTCAAAACTCAACATTTTGTAATGGCTTTTGTCACGGACAACTGAAGCTCGGGGGCCCCCGTTCTTTGACACCCTCGCTCGCACTCCCCAGTTACACCATGGAGGCGCTTGGGGAGAGAGGGACAGCAAAAATCCCCCGTTTTCCTGTTTGATACGAAACATTTTGGGAAATTACTGCATGCCACTAATATCTTATATTGAATTGTCGTGACTATATTGCACAATTTTCTTTTCTTTTTGGGGTTATACGCGTTATACCCACTGGGAGAACAGAAGACCCGAAAGTGCCGAGCAACCCACCCGCGACCCCGGGGCCGGCTCTCCACCTCCATAACCAGTCAATAGTTAGCGTAATAGGATTAAAAAACAAGATTTGTATTTACAATTGTAGGTCGCCGTTGTTTCAGGCGTGTGGGCCTTGCTTTTACTGACTGCTTCTGCGGTACTGGCTATGACAGCAAAAAAATATGATGATGAGGACGAAGAAGTGAGAAGAAGTGGCTATTTTTTTTTCACTGTCCACTCTGCGTGCAAACTTTTAAACAAGAATAATTCGAATGCAACATGTGGGCATCTAATTGGAGGAGCGGTAAGATGCAATAAACCAGGCTCGAAATATTAGCCTGTAGCAATAAACCGAATATCTCTGTGTGTGTCTGAACTGATATGCTTGCATTCTAACGTTGCATGCTTGTCGACGGCAGCATGGGTATGGGCAGACCTGTCCCCTTGGCTATACCGCATATGAGTTTCATACAAGTTAGTCATTCATAATTTCATCTTCATTTTCGGCTTAAGGTTATGCAGGTATAATTACGTCTTTCCGTTTAAAAATTTGAAAATAGGTTCGCCGGCAGATCTGCACGTCCATGCAGATGTATTTGATTTGTACCTTTCAGTTCCCTTTTCGCTAAGGTAAAATGCATGAATGTGCGGTATTCTAAAACTCTGCCCTCTCTGCTTTAAACTGCTTCGGTGTCCTAAAATCCACTGAAAAGCAAAAAAAAATTGACTGGAATTATGGCTCTGGCGGAGTGAGTTTTTCTCAACTTGGATAAACAAAATGAAGTCACTTCTACAGCCAGATTTATGTTACAATATACATGGCTATTTAGTGCCTTCGGGTACGGGCTCAATATAGAAGTTTATGAATATAAATTGAGTTAATATTATCGTCTTTTTAGGTTTTTGGTATCATCGCCGCATTGTTATTCGCTGGCGATACGATCGTCCATGCCTACATGTATTTAAAGGGGAGACCTGGTCCCATCCCACAAGCAGCGCTGGGACATAATCCCGTTATTCCGACAGCAAGTGTCCAACCAGCAAATGTCCAAACAGCAAGTTTCCAACCAGCTCCTCCTCCAGTCTATTAGCTAACACTTGTATGAAAGATCTGATGAAGATTTTTCGTATATATACTGTTGTATACTTGATGACAAACTTGGTGACTTCTTAATATATATTTAGTATATAAGGTATAGTTATATATATACCATAGAAAGTATATAGTATTTTCTGTATATAGTACAGAAAATCAGCGTCAAACCGCAGACACAACAATCGTATTCAGAAGGCTCACACACGCTTGTGTTTGCACACAATATAGATGTACTCTCAGAACTCTTTCTATTAAACAATTTGTTATTATTCGTAGGTTTTAATATATTAAGATTGTTGCGTTTAAAACTAATAATAAAGACTGTTTCTCAGCATATATAGGTTTATTGAGAAACATATTCTCTTCCCAGCACCGTAGGCGTTGTCTGAGAAAACAGCTTAAAATATAGGATGCCCTTTTGTGAGTTCTTTCAAGAAGCCGAGGAACAAACGAAAAAGTCGATGCTTCTCTACAGCTGCTCTATCGATCTATAGGTCGGCAAACAGTGCCCGAAGTCTGTGGTTGCGAGGATTTTTCATCTTATATATATTTCTCCTGTATATATGTATTCTTATATATAATAAAACCTGAAGGCTACTTTGTTTATATAGATGAAAAGCGACAGCTGTTTTGTAGCGAAATTTCTAGTAATGCTGAATTTATCAAACCAAAAACAATTTCATTGGTCACTATTTTATCACGTGATCTCCTTTGTAAATTTCAATCCAATATGGAACAATTTGCCACGCCGTTACGTTGCCAAGGATAATTCCGAAAGGCCAACAAACAATCCTCTAGGCATATATGCCGTTGGAGGCATACAAAGTTATCAATTTCAAATTCAGGTATGTTATAAGTATCCAATCATTTCAAACGTGCATACAGAAAGATAGTGTACAAGGTCCAGGGGTTGCTTGGGAATTATAATAAATTTAGTTCGAGTGAATCGCATAGACGCGTAATTTGAATACGTTATATACTCATGCGATAACAAGAAATAAAACGAGCATATTGAAAAGCACTGCATACATGCATGGCTTTCAATGTTAGCGTTAATATGCTTGTCTTGTCGATTGAATCTCCGAATAGCAACTACTCTGGCCAACGAGTCAAATCCCATCGGATAACTAGATCAGTAACGAATGACTACTTTTAACTCGCGAAGTTTCCGCGAAATTCTACAGTTTCCATTTTCAATTCACTATAGAGACCGTTACGACAACGGAAATATTTAATATATATACTGTATAAACTATAGTTTTTTACCTCGGCTGAACAAACATTAGTTGATTGCTTTGACCAGCGCCTATATATATATAGAAATGATAAAATAAGATATATATCTTAGAGTCTGTGCCCTTTTGGCCAAATATGAGTAAAACATGTGAGAATTGAGTGCATGTTAGGTTGAAATATTGTGTTTAAAGATCATTAGATGACTAAGTAAATGAATACCCACAACTGGACATGCTAAAACCGCGGAATAGATTGTTGAATTATATATAATTTAAGACAGAGATGGAGGAGAATATATGCCATGCCAGCCTATATTTTTTAAGAAGGTATCTTCAAGACAAACTGACTCGTTATCCAAATAATATCCCTAGTTACAATTGAACGATATAACCAAAACTTTGTTTATAGAATTTTTCTTTTGCCACAAGTGACCAATCACAGAACACGTTTCTCGTGAATTTGAAGCCGTTGATCGCTGAAAAATACTCCGTTTAATTCAAAAATTATATCCAGACAAGGAAAAGAAAATGATGGGGAAAATTGGAAAAGGTTTAAACTATGTGAAATCTATTCCATTTATCCTGAAAATATCACAATTTGTAAGTGTGTTAGTCTACATGATTATAATTTATTCGATTGATAACAGTGTAAAAAAACGATATATGGTCATATATTCGCCGGAAAATGGCAAATATACGACCATGCATGGTCATATATTCGCCGGAAATTGGCAAATATACGACCATGCATGGTCATATATTCGCCGGAAAATGGCAAATATACGAACATGGTCATATATTCGCCAGAAAATGGCAAATATACGACCATGGTCATATATTCGCAAGAAAATGGCAAATACGACCATAGTCATATTCGAAAGAAAATGGCAAATACGACCATGGTCGAATTCGCTGGAAAACCACTAATTCGACCATGGTCGAATTCGCCGAAAAACGACTAATTCGACCATGGTCGAATTCGCCAGAAAACGACTAATTCGACCATGGTCGAATTCGCCGGAAAACGACTAATTCGACCATGATCAAATTCGCCAGAAAACGACTAATTCGACCATGGTCGAGTTCGCCGGAAAAAGACTAATTCGACCATGATCGTATTCGCCGGAAAACGACTAATTCTACCATGGTCGAATTTGCCGGAAAACGACTAATTCGACCATGGTCGTATTCGCCGGAAAACGACTAATTCTACCATGGTCGAATTCGCCGGAAAACGACTAATTCGACCATGGTCGTATTCGCCGGAAAACGACTAATTCTACCATGGTCGAATTCGCCGGAAAGCGACTAATTCGACCATGGTCGAATTCGCCGGAAAACTACTAATTCGACCATGGTCGAATTAGCCGGAAAACGACTAATTCGACCATGGTCGAATTCACCGGAAAACGACTAATTCGACCATGGTCGAGTTCGCCGGAAAACGACTAATTCGACCATGGTCGAGTTCGCCGGAAAACGACTAATTCGACCATGGTCGAGTTCGCCGGAAAACGACTAATTCGACCATGGTCGAGTTCGCCGGAAAACAACTAATTCGACCATGGTCGAATTCGCCGGAAAGCGACTAATTCGACCATGGTCGAATTAGCCGGAAAACGACTAATTCGACCATGGTCGAATTCGCCGGAAAACGACTAATTCGACCATGGTCGAATTAGTCTAATTCGACATTCTAATTAGTCTAATTCGAAAACGACTAATTCGACCATGGTCGAGTTCGCCGGAAAACGACTAATTCGACCACGGTCGAGTTCGCCGAAAGCGACTAATTCGACCATGGTCGAATTAGCCGGAAAACGACTAATTCGACCATGGTCGAGTTCGCCGGAAAACGACTAATTCGACCATGGTCGAGTTCGCCGGAAAACGACTAATTCGACCATGGTCGAGTTCGCCGGAAAACGACTAATTCGACCATGGTCGAGTTCGCCGGAAAACGACTAATTCGACCATGGTCGAATTCGCCGGAAAACGACTAATTCGACCATGGTCGAATTCACCGGAAAACGACTAATTCGACCATGGTCGAGTTCGCCAAAAAACGACAAATTCGACCATGGTCGAGTTCGTCAGAAAACGACTAATTCGACGATGGTCGAGTTCGCGGGAAAACGACTTATTCGACCATGGTCGAGTTTGCCGGAAAACGACTAATTCGACCATGGTAGAGTTCGCCGGAAAACGACTAATTCGACCATGGTCGAGTTCGCCGGAAAACGACTAATTCGACCATGGTCGAGTTTGCCGGAAAACGACTAATTCGACCATGGTCATATTAGCCGGAAAATGGTAAATACGACCATAATCATATTCGCCGGAAAATGGCAAATACGACCATGGTCATATTCGCCGGAAAATGGCAACTACGACCATGGTCATATTCGCCGGAAAATGGCAAATACTATACCATGGTCATATTCGCGGGAAGATGGCAAATATACGACCATGGTCATATATTCGCTGGAAAATAGCAAATATACGACCATGGTCATATATTCGCCTGAAAATGGCAAGTATACGACCATTGTCATATATTCGCCGGAAAATGGCAAATATACGACCATGGTCATATATTCGCCTGAAAATGGCAAATATATTCGCCGGAAAATGGCAAATATGCGACCATGGTCATATATTCGCCGGAAAATGGCAAATATGCGACCATGGTCATATATTCGCCGGAAAATAGCAAATATACGACCATGGTCATATATTCGCCGGAAAATGGCAAATACGACCATGGTTATACTCGCCGGAAAATGGCAAATATGCGACCATGGTCATATATTCGCCGGAAAATGGCAAATATACGACCATGGTCATATATTCGCCGGAAAATAGCAAATATACGACCATGGTCATATATTCGCCGGAAAATGGCAAATACGACCATGGTTATACTCGCCGGAAAATGGCAAATATGCGACCATGGTCATATTTGCCGGAAAATGGCAAATATGCGACGATGGTCATATTTTCCGGAAAATGGCAATTACGAATATGGTCATATATTCGCCGGAAAATGGCAAATACGACCATGGTCATATATTCGCCGGAAAATGGCAAATATACGACCATGGTCATATATTCGCCGGAAAATGGAAAATATACGACCATGGTCAGTATATTTGCCGGAAAATGGCAAATATGCGACGATGGTCATATTTGCCGGAAAAGGCAAATACGACCATGGTCATATATTCGCCGGAAAATGGCAATTATACGACTATGGTCAGATATTTGCCGGAAAATGGCAAATAACCATGGTCATATTCGCCGGAAAATGGCAAATATACGACCATGGCCATATATTCGCCGAAAAATGGCAAATATACGACCATGGTCATCTTCGCCGGAAAATGGCAAATACGACTATAGTCATATTCGCCGGAAACTTACTGCTTATAAATTATATATGTTATTTTGTTTTCATGACAACCGAATGTTTACGCTTCAAGCACGCAGACGTAGGGCTTTTGAATTTTAAATATGAAAAACGTTTTAAAAAATTAATTTGAACAACTTACCTTGAAAAAAACCCCGAATTTAATGAACTCTAAGGAAACATTCCAAATTGTTGCATGCTGATTTTGGCCGAGCGAAGATTCAACAATTTTCTCGATTCATTGCTCTAAATTGATATGTTTAGGTCGTCCTAATTATCGCGTTTTCTCTCGCTGGGCATTTTCTGAATAAGTTTGATTGTATATTCTTCGCCTCTTATGGTAAAAAAGGAAATATCGATTTTTTCCTGTTTGCAACGATTGTTGGATGGCTCATATCGATAGTCTTTCCAATCCTCTTCATTTTTGGCATCCAGGAAAAATGCCTTGAAGTCCCATGGGCACTTGTAGTAAGTTTGAAAAACCGTTCATAATGAGTCCATAATCAGTACAGCCAAAAGTACCATATAGCCTTGAATAAAACGAGCGTGTACATGTGACTTTTTAGTTATTCCAAACGCGTATCTGCCCTTCTAAAGGTGCTGTTACACAATGCAATTTTCTTTGCAACTTGAAATGCAAATATAATTTTGAGGGATGTGAATTTGAAAAGAGAGTTCGAAATGCTAAGGAAACGTTAAGAAATGTTCGTATTTGACAACTTTAGATGCCTCAGGAGTAGAATTGCACTGCAAGTTGCAAGGGAAGTCGCAAAGGGTAACGGCGCATTAAGATACGGCTTACAAGCGACATATTAGTGTAGGCGTCTCTGGTAGATTCTATTACATTGTCGTTGCTCTGACCGACTTAGAATTGTGATAATTTTATTTTCTCTATCGGAGTAAACGCCCAACAACACGGGACCTGCTCCTCCACTGTACGCAAGTGAAGAATGAACGTATTTGTATCTAATTTTACAATTATAGGTCGCCATTGTGTCGGCGACGTGGGCGGTGCTCTTACTCATCGCTTCTTCAATATTGGCTGCAGCAGCAAAACATTATGACAACAAAATGACGTCATACTATAATGGCAAATCTGTGTGTAAATATATCGAGGAGTTTCAAAATGACGTAAATTGCGGGCATCTCATTGGAGGAACGGTGGGTAAACTGATACGACTGGAATGATAACTAAAATAAACACAGCCCTAAAGCGCTGGAAAAGGCTGTCCACGTGACTCCTTCTTCTCCGGCCCCCTAAGAGAAGGCCCTAAGTACGAGGTTGAGTTTTTTCAGCTTGGAAAAACAAAATTGCGTCTTTGAAATCACCTCTACACAAATTTATTTCTTGGCAATGTCTTTTTAGGTACTTGGTTTTATCGCCACATTTCTATTCGCCATTGATATGGTCATCCATGCCTACATGTCTTTAAAAGGGAGATCTGGATCCTCTTTGCAGGAGGTGGCGGCTTATCCTGTGGCGACTGTGCAGACCTCAACTGTAGAACCAATTCCTACTTATTAACACTGACTTGCAAGCTAATTGCGAGGAATTTGCATATAACGTCAGTAATTGAGAACGAGTTTGATGACTTATTCAGTTAGCTTTAGTGTGGATGAAAAGCAAAAAACCGCAGAGATACAACTATATTCTGAAAATTCACGCTATAACTCGTTTAGTTTACTACTACATCGATGAAAAGTTGCGAGAAAGTTAGCTACAGAATATGTAGACGATTGCTTGTTTAGAAAACAAGCTTTTTAGTGGCCAGCATAAGACACAATCAAGCAAACTTTGCCTTGAATTAAATAAGACTCTTAAATACTCGCTTTTTTGAGAGAGAGAAATTGCACAGATTTTGCTGAAACATTACAACTTTTGCGACGAAAAATATTTAGCGGCTATCTCGAAAATTCCAAATTCGCCGATGCGTTACCTGAACGCCAATCAATCGATGAAAAACAAACAAAAATCTCATTTCATTGCTCAATATTTTATCACGTGATTGCGCATTCGCAATTTGCACTCAAAAGAAGGGAGCAAACACGAGACAGTTTGTGCCACACGCGTTGCCGGGGAAAAGTAATAACCTCAGAGACGCCAACAAAAAATTCGTAAGGCTGCGATCGTAAACTACGTAGTTACAAAGTTATTCGCCAAAATTCAGGTATGTGAATATCCAGTCATTCAGTCAGAAATGCATTTATGACAGATTAGCTTATAAAGTGTTGCTAGAAGCTTTTAAATTTAGCTGAATTAACCGCATATAGCCGGGCTAAAAAACTGTTCAACTTGCATAGCTTTTAGTCTTATGCATGCAGGCATTGAAAAGCAGTGCGTATCTGATTGACTTTCAAGCCTGTTTTGCCGTTACAGCTTTCATTTGGCATAAAGAGTAAGTTTTCATGATCCGGCCACACGAATCACGATGCTTGTCTTGTGGATCAAAGCTCTAAATAGCAATCGCTATGGGTTCGGTTCTACGAAGGACGGATAGCGCTATATATATCCACCCGATAGTGATTTTTTCAACCGTTCTTGAAGAGCGATAAAATTTTAGCCTTGGAACGAGCTGAAATTATTAAAGAGGATCCTCAATTCGGGAATACTAAGATTTAATCAAAGTTATACCCGACAACGGGCGATTTTAAAGCGATTGAAAAACCACTATCCGGTGGATAGCGCTATCAGGCGTTCATACAACCAGCCACTGGCCAACAAGTCATGAACATGGCAACTGTAGCATAAGATGAGAATAAAGTATCAGTACTTACAATGATATTGGAATTTTCACGGTTTCCAAGTCCTAATTTAACCCATGCAATCTCAATTTCACTTGATGCCGTAACGGTAAGCAACAGAAAATATTTAATATATATATAAATACCAGTTTTGATATCTCTGAACAAACAAGTATTATATTGGCTTATTATTACTTAGACCGGCATTTGTCACATAGTTTATGTCCTTCTGACCACAGAAAAACCGCTGAAAGTTCTGAAACACATGCAACTGTATAGTCATATCTTCTTAAAACTTCTCGAATATTTTTGTGCATGGCTCGCTTTTAGTATTGAGGAACAGACCAGACCCCGAGCGGACCGCCTTAATTAAAAACGGCAGCAAACGCCATTATAACTAGACTATATAAAAAACAAGACGCCTGTTCCGACGTTTAGACGGGTTTTTACTATCAACTTTCCCGTCTAAGATGAGTTTCCCGTCACTGATATGAATTAGGCTAATAAAGTGTTGCATAACATGTCAATAAATGTTTTGTATTTTAAGGTGACGTCAACATGCAACCTCTAAAGTTAGTAGCAGTTGTGCTGAAGATTGCCGAAATTGTAAGAACGCAAATTTCTAATCCTAGGCAATGGGATGCATTGTTTTTGCTGATCTTTCTAATAAAAGTTGTCTATGATTATGATTGGTTTTGCGACTAATTAGCCGACACGAGAGCTCTATGTGACAGATGATCGAAGGATGACAGAGCGGATTTCACCTCGTGATCTCCCTGAACCCCCATCCAATATTTTGTGAATGATATTTAAAGCCTAATTTGTTATTCAAGTTCTACAACGCAAAGAAAAACTACATCCCATCGTATCCCATTTGATCCCGACAAACTATATTCATACGTAACTCGATTATTTTATATTCACTATGAACTAGTTTATCTTGTCAGCAAATCGCGAAGGCATTTTGGGACTAAAGGGGAGGGGGGGGGGCAAGAAGGAGCTTCGTTTGGGAAAGGGGGGAAGCTTTAGTCTAACATGGCTCTGCGGATTCAAACGTTTCCTTCAGAAAAAAGCACTAACCAAATAATCTCAGTTACACATCTCAAAACATCTCAATTACCGGGGGCGGATTCCCGGCACTTTTGAAGGGAAAAAATTCGACTGCATTTTTAGGTGTTTCTTCTGGCGGGGACAGGAGTCGTTGGATATTTCATAAAAGAATATTACGATGACACCAAGAAACTAAAATACGGATACGACCGCCGGGATATTGGTGGATTAGAAAGATATGAATTTTACCTATACACCACTGTCATCGGAATAATCTTCGCAATTATTTCGTTTGTGGCGCTGATTTTGGGTCGCTTGGAGAAGAAAAATAGCGGAATACTTGCAGTAAGTCTTGCCTGGAAAGGCTTTGTTTTTGAAGCTTCAAATGTCGGTTTATGCTCTTCTAAATTACTGAAATAATCCTAGTTTAACCGTCTTTCAGATGGTCGCCGTTCATGCATTGTGGGCACTGCAGCTAGTTGTTGCAACAGCATTGCTTGCTAAAATTCTGACCACATTCGAAGAAGTGAAGACTATCATTGGCTTACGCGTTGTAGAGAAATCCCTTTGTGATAGTTTAGATGAGAGTGAGAAAGATTACCAATGCAGTCACCTTATCGGCGGAGTGGTAAGTATAATTATATAAATCTCTGACGAAATGATTGCCTTCATAAAAGCAAATTGACAAAAAAATGCTTTGCATGGCATTGCGATGAAGATGATTATCAATCATTCACATAATATAATGATGATTGATATAATGAAGACGATTATGTGATGATGATGATGATGATGATGATTATCATTCTAAGATGAAGATCATTCATTGTCTATAAAATACATCCGTGAGCGCTATTCAATTTAACGTCCATGAATTTTGAAGAGAATAAGACACCGAGATGCTCGTATATATTTTATAACTATAACTTGACACTGCTTTCTCAGCAAAGTTAGTAGTACCCTATGCATAAACAGTTCTATATAATAATACAAAATATATAAATACAATAATACCCAATTCATTTTTCTCCAATCTAGGTATGTGGTTTTTTCGCTTTCATTCTTTTCTGTATTGACACTGTTGTCTACATCATTTGGTGCAACAAGTCTACTGCTTAGAAGAAAGAGTTTCCAAGCTCTATTTTGTGTATTTTTCATTATTATTTTGTCTTTTAAGACGAAAAATCTCTTTGTACGTATTTTGTCTCGCTCGTTCCGTCTATTAGTTTGAGAAACACATTTTCTTAAGCATTGTTTACGCTACACTCGATCTATGGGCATGGTACGGCTAAAATGGGTACCCGTGCTCATTTCATCCATGCTCGGCCTTTGTTTTGGTAGCCTGAACACTAATAAAATTGGGTACGGGTAAATTGGGTACGGGTACCCATTTTAGCCGTGTCGTGCCGATAAATTGAGTGTAGTGTAAACGGGGCTTGATACACGAGTACCTGTTTTAGCCGTGCCGTAATAGAGAGTTTAGGAACTACAACGACAACGGCAACTGCAATGGCAAAATATATTCACCTAATATTATGGTATTCAAAGAGAATATAATTTATATGAATTACTCAGAATTAGTATTTACTTGATTTGCCTCTTCAAGTTTCTCCTTTCTCTCAAACAGTTATTCAATTATTTAATTACTATAAAGATGTTCCAATGTAACCAGGGAGCAGCGTGGCAGCGTCTTCAAATACCTAGCATCAAATGTGGTATAACAACTGCCTAAAACAGAGGCAAAAACACTTCACGACGTCTCGACCTGAGGGCCTAACTCTCCTGAAGAAGGCCCTCTGGTCGAAACGTCGAGAAGTATTTTTGTTTAATACTGTGTTATTATAATAACTCGTAGTCATGCACCGTGAAATGACATTTTATTTTGTCTTTAATTAAGGATCAATGTCATTGTTGATGAGCACGTTGTGATTGCCGTGCCGTTGTATTTCCTAAACTCTCTGTTGAATATTGTGTAAACGGGTCTTATTTACGCGTTGAGCCTTAATCCATCGGTAAACGAAAAGTATATGCAGTGATGTGCTATCGTTATTAATTCTATATTTATATCGATCATACTGATCAATGTCACCTAAACGTTGTTTAGTGAATCACTTGTTGACTTTTTGTCATGATTCTGAACTATGCTGATACGCCGGTGTCCCAGGAAATTTCTAGGAAAATGAAATATGGCCCCCCTTTCGGAAATTTGGCCCCTCGAAGACATTTACTTTAGAGCTATTGCAATGAGTTCGAGAATCGCGAAGCTTCTTCTAAAAGCAAGATCGTAAATGTTTGTTTGTACTCGTACTTAGTATCTACTGTAGCTAGAAACACCGTGAACTAATCACACAGTCATTATGAAGGATGACCTGCACGTCAATCAATCGTGGGGGAACAAACCAAAAACATAACTTCTATTGAAATTTTGCATGAAAAACAAAGTCGAGCAAACATGAAAGTTGAACAATTCCAACCTCGCGGTTACGCGATACCAACGCGTAAATAAATAGAAGTAATGCATTCTCTCAGCATTGCCACAAACATGAAAATGAAAATATACGCCTGATATATAATTGGCTATCTTTAAAACCAGGAACGGGGAATCGAGGAAGGGAACGAGGAAGGGAACGGGGAATGATAAAACCAGGAATGCGAAAAGCCGGAATCTTTAAAACCAGGAATGCGAAAAGCCGGAATCTTTAAAACAAGGAATGGGAAAAGCCGGAATCTTTAAAACAAGGAATGGGAAAAGCCGGAATCTTTAAAACCAGGAATAGGAAAAGCCGGAATCTTTAAAACAAGGAATGCGAAAAGCCGGAATCTTTAATACAAGGAATGAGAAAAGCCGGAATCTTTAAAACCAGGAATGCGAAAAGCCGGAATCTTTAAAACAAGGAATGCGAAAAGCTGGAATCTTTAAAAACAGGAATGAGAAAAGCCGGAATCTTTAAAACAAGGAATGCGAAAAGCTGGAATCTTTAAAAACAGGAATGAGAAAAGCCGGAATCTTTAAAACCAGGAATGGGAAAAGCCGGAATCTTTAAAAACAGGAATGAGAAAAGCCGGAATCTTTAAAACCAGGAATGAGAAAAGCCGGAATCTTACGGCCGGAAGTTTGTAACTAAATTAGTTACAATTTCCGCGCGTAATACAAAATATGCTAATTTGACATGGCTATATTTTCCGTATTTTACCAAATTTCGCAGCCAAACTTAGCATTTCCACTAATTCAAGTACGCTCAATTCTTTTATCTGTTATATGGAACATAAACTGCATTCTTTTGTGGGAGAAGGAATGGATAATACATATATAATTACACAAACGATGAAACGAACACAAGGACTGACAAGGTTAGTTTGTAAACAGTTAAATTTGTTGATTTGGTCTCATTCATAAACCTACAAAGTGGAGCTTTGCGCGTTGCTATCTACCGTTTAATATCTACATTGCTATTGAAATTGAATAATGTTTGGTTGGAAATGAAAACTTTTTGGATCCAAATTTGAATTTCCAGATTTTCATATGAATTGCATACTGCATGATATAAAATATGCAAGAACAACTTCACTAAATACACAATATATTTTACCTTTTCTATATTCAGTACATTGTATTTACAGCTACTTAATATATCAGTATAAATCTATGCGAACAACAATTTTGCTCTATTTAATATATACATACTAAGCTTATTTTGCAATATATATTTGTCATAGTTCATGGTAACAGCTTTTCATTATTGAATCAGATTACCCCTGAACAATGCACTACACTTTTGTTGTCCCAAATATAACATGATTTTGCTTGTAAGTAAAGTTGTATAGAAAATAAAAATATTTTAGTGCATTTTGTACCTTAATTAACTCAGATTATAATTAAACAGTTACCATTCTCACCCATGGTTTTAATGACTGGAGGCAGATTAAAAATATACCATAATAATCTGTAAGTAACTAACAGTTGCAATCAATTAAAATCTTGGCTCTTTGAGAACAACTTTATGTTGGGATGGAATTTTGGAATATACCCTAGGTCTTGTTTAGAAGAGTATAATTTCCAACCAGCATTTACTTTTACAAATAATTTATTCAAATAAAAATGCTTTAGAAATTGTGTAGGGAAAACATAGCTGTGGTTTTCTAGGCTAGCATGATTCAATATGAAAAGCTTTTACTATGAACTATGACTATACAGGGTGTCTCAAAAAAAAACGCAACCAGTTAAATATGCAATAATATTGTTCGGGTTTGCACCATAGTTCAGCTAAAATGACGTTTAGCATTTTCTTAGCATTTTAAATGAAGGATTAAGAGCCATTTTCAATTCCCAGAGGTGCACTTTAGAGCTGTATTAATGTTCTTGCATATTTAAGCGGTTGTGTTTTTTTTGAGACACCCGGTATAGTGCAAAATAATGTATTAAGTGCAGCAAAATTAATTGTTGTTTGCATATAATTATACATGTATTATATATTCCTCCAATCCTTCCTCCACAAAATAATTCAGTTTATGTTCCATATAACAGATAAAAGAATTGAGATATGTCGTTTAATTTTGGAATATTACCAGTACATTGTATTTGCTGCTACTTAATATAAATCTACTCTACACTATGAAAACAACAATAGGATATATACCAAAATTCCATCCCAACACAAAGTTGCTCTCAAATAGCCAAGATTTTAATTGATTGCAACTGTTAGTTACTTACAGATTATTATTGTATATTTTTAATCTGCCTCCAGTCATTAAAACCTTGGGTGAGAATAGTAACTGTTTAATTATAATCTGAGTCAATTAAGGTACCAAATGCACTAAAATATTTTTATTTTCTATACAATTTTACTTACAAGCAAAATCATGTTATATTTGGGACAACAAAAGTGTAGTGCATTGTTCAAAAAGTGTAGTGCATTGTTCAGGGGTAATCTGATCCAATAATGAAAAGCTGTTACCATGAACTATGACAAATATATATTGCAAAATAAGCTTAGTATGTATATATTAAATGGAGCAAAATTGTTGTTCGCATAGATTTATACTGATATATTAAGTAGCTGTAAATACAATGTACTGAATATAGAAAAGGTAAAATATATTGTGTATTTAGTGAAGTTGTTCATGCATATTTTATATCATGCAGTATGCAATTCATATGAAAATCTGGAAATTCAAATTTGGATCCAAAAAGTTTTCATTTCCAACCAAACATTATTCAATTCCAATTGCAATGTAGATATAAACGGTAGATAGCAACGCGCAAAGCTCCACTTTGTAGGTTTATGAATGAGACCAAATCAACAAATTTAACTGTTTACAAACTAACCTTGTCAGTCCTTGTGTTCGTTTCATCGTTTGTGTAATTATATATGTATCATCCATTCCTTCCCCACAAAAGAATGCAGTTTATGTTCCATATAACAGATAAAAGAATTGAGCGTACTTGAATTAGTGGAAATGCTAAGTTTGGCTGCGAAATTTGGTAAAATACGGAAAATATAGCCATGTCAAATTAGCATATTTTGTATTACGCGCGGAAATTGTTACTAATTTAGTTACAAACTTCCGGCCGTAAGATTCCGGCTTTTCCCATTCCTGGTTTTAAAGATTCCGGCTTTTCTCATTCCTGTTTTTAAAGATTCCGGCTTTTCTCATTCCTTGTTTTAAAGATTCCGGCTTTTCCCATTCCTGGTTTTAAAGATTCCGGCTTTTCTCATTCCTGGTTTTAAAGATTCCGGCTTTTCCCATTCCTGGTTTTAAAGATTCCGGCTTTTCGCATTCCTTGTTTTAAAGATTCCGGCTTTTCTCATTCCTTGTTTTAAAGATTCCGGCTTTCCGCATTCCTTGTTTTAAAGATTCCGGCTTTTCCCATTCCTGGTTTTAAAGATTCCGGCTTTTCCCATTCCTTGTTTTAAAGATTCCGGCTTTTCCCATTCCTTGTTTTAAAGATTCCGGCTTTTCGCATTCCTGGTTTTAAAGATTCCGGCTTTTCCCATTCCTGGTTTTATCATTCCCCGTTCCCTTCCCCGTTCCCTTCCTTGATTCCCCGTTCCTGGTTTTAAAGATAGCCATATATAATTATACCAAGTTGGTAAGTGAATGTAATAAAGTGTAGTGGGAAATACAAATACCACACTCCCAATATATTTCTCATATCTTTTAATCCATCTTGTAGCTACCTAAGTTAGTTTACTGTTGACATGCATTATATAACTTTACACAAGGCGTTTTAAGTAATAGTGCTATGGGTCAATTCCATCCTAACGCGGCAATCAATCAATATCAATTAAGACGCACTCATGCATTCATATGAATTGCACCATATTCTAAAAGAGTCTCCCCTCCCCCATTGTGATAGCATTTCAATACTATTACCAGAGATTTAGGAAGATAAATATTTACTAAAAGCTTTACGTTGGACTTTAATATCATCTTCCGAATAGATAGCATTTCGATAGATTTTTGCTATTCATGCAGTTAAGTTCGCTGGAAGAATTCGAATTTTTTGAATTTTCGATTTCAAGATGGTTTTGTGTAAAAGCGCTATGAAATGAGCAGTTTCATTGTGTAACAAATACCAGCCCGAAATAATTATGATGATTGAATTTCTGTATTCAAATAAGTTTTGGTTGACTGCCATAAGGGGTGGAACTATCTTTCAAAAGACAGATTAGATCAATTACATGTTCACTCTAGTTCTCATCAAATCCAAACCATATTATAGCTCTTAAATCATACATGCACAGCCTGTGGGAATGGACTTTTATGATTATTTAAAAGATCAAATGAATTATAATGAATTATCAAGAAATCTCCATCCTTTCACAATATGTTCCCATGAATACATGGCCTGTTTCCCACGAAATCATTGATTAACATAACGGTTCATTGTGTTATATGAATATGCAGTTCTAAGAAGAGCACTTTACGAGACACTTCCGGTTCGAGTACATTCGTTGCTTCGAACATATTAATTATGGAAACGTGGTAGAATGAGAACGCGAAGGTGATATAAACATCCGCGTTTATCAACCGTTCAACCGTATCTGACAAAAATGGTCTTTCTGTAAAATGTCATCATGTTTGAAATGTAATCACTACAACTGAGTCGCTTCTAAATTTTATTGACACACAATTATAAATAATTCTTCACTATATTTTGTGTCCCCGTTAGTTAAGTCAACACCAATCTTATTCTAATTACCAATCATGTGATCTCCTGCAAATTTTTAGAAAAAAATCACAAGCGTATATCTCTTTTTTCCATCTTAAAAGTAAAAGTTGTTCCTATATTTTGAGTTGGAAACAGTGTTCCGGTGTAACCGGGTCCAGTGCAAGGTTGTTCATTGCTAAATGCAGTGCAGCGCATGATGTTACCTATCAGTTGTCAGCATGGGGTAAAATGGGATCATTCGGAACGGAATATATTATGGAAAACATAAAAGAATGGCTCAGAACTAGATGCCACGTAGTCTCATTGAACGATCAAGAAGTAACCTACACTCTACAAAGCTTTATTTGGCATTGTAAAACAGCACATATAAACCTCACATTTAAATCAGGTACGTTAATATATCTCCTACAATTATGCTACTAACGTTTTAAAAAGTGCAAATCATGATTTTGCAGTTTCGAAAAGTCAATAATTTAGGACTTTTTTGCGAAATGTGATTCACCAACGTACACAGCATGAATATGAATGGGCGTTAAAGAACAAATATATATGACAGTTATTTAACTTTTTCGTGCCCAGATGCTTGGTTAAACCACCATAACAATTGCAAAAAGGTTACTTATGTGTTGATCTACGAAAGTACCAGGTTCTCTGACACATTTATCGATATATCGAGAGCAAGATTTTCTCGAGAGTTGACGGTTTGCGTTGAGGGCGATTCCATGAATTATAGCCACGTGCATGCACAGATACTATTTCATTCATTCACAGGGTAATCTTCAGACGCTAAGAACAACCATTCGGTCGAACTTTTAAATTTTAATGCAAACCTAATTCGGTTTTATTTTCAATAAGCAATATTATAAATTAATGGTGACGCCCAGTTGCAGATTGGTTTATTACCAACTGAAAATAGCACACAGTTAAAGTTGAAACATTTTGCGGGAGGCAAAGTATATAGAAATCTATATACTTTTGTTTCGACTTTCAGTTCAGGAGAAAATCCATTTTGAACTACAGCCGAGTTGTAGTGTGTACTTTCATCTTTATATACATATGCGCCACATGAGGCTAAGGCATCCAAGCATATCTGCTTGTAAAACGAGTCTTTGGCAATCAAATTTTACCAATGATGCATGGCGTGCACTACGTCAGTCGTACTTTTCAAATGTGTACAGCAGTTGACTGGACTGGTGAGACCTGAATTTCAGCTCTCGACGAAGCTCTGATCCAGATCCGTTCGTTTCAAGCCTGGTTAAAATGGACCACTTTCTGGATTGATACCAATTTAGTGAAATATTCACGAGTATCAACCAATTATACCCAGGGTCTTTTACCTATCTTTTGTGATTGAATGGAAAGCGAATATCATGATGACATGAATATTGGTTGCGTTTTTTTGACACACCATGTGGCAGAAGGGGGGAGGAGTACAATTGTTTACTAATTTGCAGACGTACATTTGCATGAGTGTGCTTATAATTACGCTTAGCAGGAACTGTCAGGCGTTGAAGACTGGTTTTCATATGAAATCTAATGCGTCATAACTTTACGCTATAGACGGCTATTACTCACGCGAATTTGTACAAGCAGACAATTTCGTTTTGGAGTACTTTTACTTCTATGCATAAAGAGTCCGCTTGAATGGCTCTAAATGCATCGCATCAAGCATTAAATTTGCACGCCAAACATAATTGTACAAATTTCATTCAGGTTTTTAAAATACACTTAATCAATGCTCCCGAGGGAAATAGTTTTGTTTTCCCAAGAGTCTATATGAATGTCAGTTCGAGGAAATTTCCCGACGTAATGTACATTAAGTGCTTTGCTATATAGAAACCGGAAAACATACATGTTACAGAACAATTTCATTTCAAAAGAAACACTTATTTTTTACTTTGTTATGACAATAGGCGGGCAACAATTTTTCACTTGTTTCCCTGGCGGGAAACATTGCATTTATTTAAAGTCATGTGACTACGAATGAACCAATCACATTTAAAATACACAGCACCTATATAACAATCATATTTATTTTCTTTAGAGCAACATGAAGACTGCCCCAATTGTTGCAGCTAATACACAAATTGTAAGATGAATTAAAATAACAATTAAATTCATACAATTGTAAAAAAAATGAAATAATGATGATGGTGCATGGATTCCAATTACGTTCCTGTAAGCGTTTGCGTCAATTGAATTAAATTCAACCACAGAAAAAAGTAGTGTAAAATTACCTCAAATAAAGTTACAATGGCTTAAGAATAACACTAAACCTCTTAAAACCCGGGGGATTGCACATAGTCACTCAAGCCATAGGCGTACGACTTGCATGGTTGGCTGAGGCGGCAGGCCGCGGTTTGTTGGCAATTTTCGGGGAAAAAACAATTTGGATTTTCAGGCACAAAAATCAGACTATATGCTACGTTCTATATGTTACTACATACATCAGGCAAGACTTCATATATGCCTCAGTTTTAGCGCTGATGGTGTTAAAAGAGAAGCGTTGGTCGCCTTTACGAGACGAAAACAACGATATTGCCAGGAAATTTGTATAAAATGCAATCTCGTAACCAGAGCCCGCGATCCATCGCACATGAACTTCGCGCATCTTCTTTCCCCGACATATTAAAATTTTGAAATATTCCTACAGGGTGTACTTCTGATTGGAACCGGTTTTGTTGGTTATTTCTTTAAAGAGCTTCGCGATTATAACTCTGGAAATTCTATATTAACCGATGACGATGCTTATGATCGTGGAGCATATGGAAGATTCGAGTTCTACCTGTTCTCCACCTGTATTGGAGTGATCATATCAGTTCTTTCGATTTTGGGAGCAGCTACAGGGATAGTTGGGAAAATGGGTGCAGGTTTAGCCGTAAGTTGAAGCGAAAGCGTTTTCTCTATTGCACGAGTTCAACAGTGAAGTTGGTTGACCACAGCTTTTGTCCAAATAGTCCCAGTCCTTTCACGCCTATTACAGTTCACCTGGATTTGATAACACTGTTTCATGATTATATATATATAAGTAATACAATCACCATGACTAATTTCAGATGGCAGCGGTTCACGCATTATGGGCACTGCAACTACTGGTCTCAACAGCTCTGATGGCTAAAGTCCTGGCTACATACGAAGAGAATGTATTCCAATGTGAAACTTGGGAAGCGCTGAAGTTAGATCTCAACTGTAAACATCTGATTGGTGGAGTTGTAAGTTACAGCTAATATTCACTTCTTTAAAGCCTGGTTCGACCTTGCCGAAGAGTTTAACGTCAGTTTACATTTACAGTTTGCTAGACGACCAAGACGAGAGTGAGCGGATATAAGCGCAAACGGCCTTTATAAATATATTTATCACAAATGACATAGATTGTAACGATAGTTGACGTTGGATGTTGATGGTTGTTTCGATGCTTTGAGCATGATGCGACACATGAGATTATAATGGTGATGTCGTCAATTATATACAAGTCAATAGTCATGATGTGTGATCGTTATGATGACTACCATACATTAATCTGACTACTGAACTAATTTGTTAGCATTTATAGCAAACATTGTTTGACAACTCAGCATTTGAAATGCTCTCTGGAGAGTTGAAATCGTAGTGCAACATCTTTGATACAAGTGCTTTTTTATTTGTTTATAGGTATGTGGTTTCATCGGAGCTGTCATCTTTATGGTGAATACGGTCGTCTACCTTTTTTGGTCGAGAAAGTCAACTGAGTAGAAGTTGGCAATAAGATTGCAGACGCCATACTCCTTCACTTCAATTTTTAACGATTCTTCTCAGAAACTATTTCTTAATCTACACACTGATGTGGAAACGTGCATGACTTTGAGGTATATCTCGTGAATTCACCGTTCGTATATAGAACCTAGTGCATGAAGTAAAATGTAGCCTGGATTAATATAATAAAATTTTTCCTGCATTAAACTGCATTTCTACCGAATTTTGTTTTCCGTCCAAAAAAGGAAGATATATGCCAGTGCTTGGGAACAAAACCAACTAGATAGACAATTCTGATGACAAATGAATGTTCTGACGGTTTAATAGAAATCAACGATACGTTCAGGTCTAGATCTAACAAAACACCAACTTGCCCCTATGATTCACATGAGTGGATTCCCATACGATTTTCAATCGACTTTAAGTCGCAATTATTTGCGGACACTCGGTCACTGCCACTGTTCAGGTATCAGTCTGTGAGGGTATTATAAAAATTTCACTCAAGCTAACCTAGCTAATTCGCTCCCAATTCAAGGAAATCAATTTCATGTGACTTTGCCAGGCAGTTCCAAGAATAATCCCTTGCAATAAACTTCACAAAAGTGTGAATGATGAACAGCCAAGTACTTGTCCAAGCCACTACAAATCCAAACCACTTGGAATAAACTAGAAATAATTACCCATGCAACGCGTGCTTACATGCACCATACAGCACTTAAACATGTACAGCCTGTGGGATGGACTTTTATAATTACTTAAAAGATCAAATGAATTATCAAGAAATCTCCATGCTTTCACAATATGCTCCCATGAATACATGGCCTGTCATTGATTAACATAACGGTTCATTGTGTTATATGAATATGCAGTTCTAAGAAGAGCACTTTACGAGACACTTCCGGTTCGAGTACATTCGTTGCTTCGAACATATTAATTATGGAACGTGGTAGGATGAGAACGCGAAGGTGATATAAACATCCGCGTTTATCAACCGTTCAACCGTATCTGACAAAAATAGTCTGTCTGTAAAATGTCATCATGTTTGAAATGTAATCACTACAACTGCTGACGCAATAAACTGTCATGCGTCGCTTATAAGTTTTAATGATGCACAATTAAATAATTACTCACTATATTTTGTGTCATGCACCCATTAGTCAAGTCAGCACCAATTTTATACTAATGACTAATCATGTGATCTCCTGCATATCTTTAGAAAAAATCACAAGCATATCTCTTTTTCCATCTTAAAAGTAAAAGTTGTTCCCATATTTTGAGTTGGAAAATAAAACCCAGTAAAACCGGGTCCAGTGCAAGGTATAGTTCATTGCTAAATGCAGTTCAGCAAGCGTTCGTGAGCTCACCTATTAGTTGTCAGCATGAGGTAAAATTGGATGATTTGAAACGGAATATATTATGGAAATAAAAGAATCGCTCAGAACTAGATGCCACGTAGTCTCATTGAACGATCAAGAAGTAAGGTATAAAGCTTCATTTGGCATTGAAGACAACACATATAAACCTCACATTCAAATCAGGTACGTTAATATACCTCCAACAATTATGCTACTAACGTTTTAAAGAAGTGCAAATCATGATTTTGCAGTCTCGAAAAATCATAATTTAGTACATTATTGGACATTATTGAAATGTGATTCACCAACGTACAAAGCATGAATATGAATGGGCGTTAACGAACAAATATATATGACAGTTATCTAACTTTTTCGTGCGCAGAAGTTTGGTTAAACCACCATAACAATTGCAAAAAAGGTAACTTATATGTGTAGATCTACGAAAGTACCAGGTTCTCTGACACATGACTTGAATTATCGATATTTCTTGAATCATCGGGAGTTGACAAATTGCGTTGAGAGTGATTTCACGATTTCAAGTCAAGTGCTCAGATACTATTTCATTCATTCGCAACGGTAATCATGAGACGCTAGGAAAGACCACTCGGAGGTCTGATTCTATGACTTTTAAGTTTTAATGCAGATCTATTCTCATATTCGATAAACAATGTTATAAATTAGTGGTAACGCCCAGTTGTAGTTAAAACCAGCTGAAAATCACACATGTTGAAACACAGTAAAATTGGTGGGCGTCTCTATCTATAGATTTTTTTCAGTTGACTTTCAGTTTTACGAGAAAATCGATTCTGGACCACAGAATTTTGTGTACTATCACATCTAATAATAAATATGCAGAACATGACGCCAATTAAGGCATCCAAGCATATCTGCAGTCGTTGACAAACCTATCAAAACTTATAGTGCATGACGCACATGCATTTATGTTTAAAAATGAGTCCACGTCGTATTTCAGAAATATTTAGTTCAAGAGCAGTTCAAAATGTAAGCAAATGTTTGTTTCATGAGCGGAGTGGTCAGACCTGAACTCCGACTCACGACAAAGATTTAATCCAGATGACAGATCTCTTCATGCCTGTTTAAAATGGACCACTTTCTGGATTGATACACATGTAGATATGTCATACGCCCAAAGATTTTGTGTTTCCTTCATTGGAAATATATATGTTTATATGGTTATATAGCATCCCGCCATACTAAATTTCTTTGAATGTACATATACGGGGGGGGGGGGGGAGCGTATGAAAAAACCCCGCGAGATCACTATTCATGAATAGTCGATCTTTGTGTAGTATTCGGATGGAAGGCAAATATCATGAAAATATTTAGTGTTTATATGTAATAGAAATTTGTCAATTGACGTTCGAAGTTGGGGCCAGGTTAGTGCTTCGCAATAAGTGTGTGAATAAGATTTTACGAAAAACTCGTGGGTGACCAGATTCACAATGATCTGCCAGACAAGTTTCCCGACTTTGTTGTCGAGTTTCTTGTGCTTAATAAATGCATTCAAATTCGGCTAAACATCATTGGATAGGATTGTGAAAAAAATTTCGTCTCTCTCGTCCTCACGAGAATATTTACCATATTTATTTTTAGACTCAACATGAAGATTGTCGCAATCGCAACAGCGTTTCCACCAATTGTAAGATGAATAGCAATCACAATCAAAGTTTTATCTTGATTATTTACGAAACGGAAACAACCATTGGTAAATATGCATTTCGACATATTAAAACTTCGAATTTTTCCTGTAGGTTGTACTTCTGGTCGGAACCGGTCTTGTTGGTAATTTGTTAAAAGAATTTCGCGATCTTAGCGAAACAGACAATGCCTATGATCGTGGTGCATTTGGAAGATTCGAGTTCTACTTGTTCTCCTCCTGTCTTGGAGTGATCATATCAATTCTTTCGCTTGTGGGAGCAGCTACTGGGATAGTTGGGAATAAGGGTGGAGCTTTAGCCGTAAGTTGTAGCGAAAGCTCTTTCTAAATTGTATGAGTTCAAAATTGAAGTCCATTGACCACAGCATGTGTCGAAATAGAAACCCATTCTGCGGCATTTAATCAATTATATCTTTTGTTATTCTTTATTAGACCAGTTAAAATTTATCATTGTAGATTAGTTATAAGATCTATAGCTCTGACATAACTTTAAAACCAAATAAAAATATATTTTAAGAGATATTAGGTTGTTTCAAGAAGAAATGAATTTTTTATTTATGACAACTAGTTCCAGTCCTTTTCAGCGATTTTAGATCACCTGGTTTGGTAATACTGTTTCATTTGCAGACTATATAAGCATTACAATCACTCCGACTTTTTTCAGATGGCATCGGTGCACGCATTATGGGCACTGCAACTATTGGTTTCATCAGCTCTAAATGCAAAAGTCGTGGCTGAATTCGAGGGGGAAGAGGAGCGCGGCTTTGGCAGAGAAACAAAATCCACATGTGAACACTGGGAAGAGTCGAAGTCAGATCTCAACTGTAATCATCTGATTGGTGGAGTTGTAAGTTGCAGCTAATATTCACTTCTCTAAAGGATAGAGAAACCTTGCCGAAGAGTTTAAAGCCAATCCCGTGTTAAATTTTATTCAGCTGTTTTGGTTTTAGTGGCGTAGCCAGCCTGACGATTTTGTCCCGCTATGTAAATTTCGAGTTACTATAATTATTCATGTCTTTACAAATCTATTGTGTTCACAGTCAGTGAAAACTAAAATATTAGCATAGCGGGACACATCGACAGGCTGCATGGCTACACTGCAAAAAATGCATTTTCTCATTTGAGTAAATGTTACTCAATTTTTGAGTAATTGTACCGATTACTCAATAATTTGAGTAAATTTTACTCCTCATTCGGTAAAGAGATACTTTACTCTCTCTTGCGAGTAAACGAAAACTCAAAATGTTGAGTAAAGTGTTAGAGTAATTTTTACTCCAATTTTTGCGCACTCTTTACTCAACTATGAGTAAATTGATGAGTAAAATTTACTCAAGCTTACGCAGGAGATTTAAATACTCACAAATTTCAGTAAATGTAAAGTTTTACTCTTTTCCTGAGTAAACGCAGCATTTACTCAAATCATGAGTTATGTACAATGTGTAAAATTTACTCAAAATTTTGAGTAAATACAACGTGTATCAGTTACTAAAAAAACACGTATTCTTTACTCAAAAAAAAGAGTAAACTTTACTTTTACTACAAAACTATGCCGGCCACATATATCTTTCCAGTATTTGGGGCTTATTTTGACGGCTAAGTTATTAACAAGGCCAACAACATTATTGGTTCATATATTAATATCACATAATACCACAAATTAAATATATACAATATATATATATATATTATAATGAGCCAATCATGTTTTGCGTTTCCTTCGGTATGCTAATACAAGCGTACGGATATAATTAATTATAATGCGCTAATCATGTTTTGCGTTTTCTTTGGAGGTAAATACTAATACAAGCGGACGGATATAATTAATTATAATGAGCCAATCATGTTTTGCGTTTCCTTTGGCGCGACGATTCAAATGACTCCAATTTCATTGTCAGTTTCAAATCACCGTGAGCTTCAACGTGCGGTAAAAGCTTGTCTTTGTGTCTTGGTATATTCAAATATTTCTTTGCTCTATAATTCCGCTGAACTGAGAAAAAATGTTCACAGTGGAGGACGTTCACTCATGGCTTATTGCAGTTGGCTTTGGCGAGTATTGCCAGACGTTTAAGGTATGTTTTTGAGCTTGTTGTTAGCGGGAGATGTGGCGCGCAAATACTCTGTAATTTACTCTTGTTGTCAAATCCAAAGTACAATCGCGCACAAAATGTAGATATTTCAAATTTCATCACTATATAAAAGATAGCATATGCATACACTACCTTTAATTGTAAATCCCCGAAAAATCGCCGTGACATTGGCGGGATTTAGCCTTTAGGGGCATTGCATATAGATACGGCAGAACGTCGATGTTGGACACCATTGTTTAATGGTTTATATGAGAATTTCGAGTGCGGCTTATTTGGGGCAAACTCTGGAGCCTTGTCTTATTTTCGCTCGTATAAATGGCCCTTATGCTTATATGAAACTTAGGCAGCTTATATACTGTTTATATACTGTAAAAATGATATTTTGATTGTAAGCAGTCTCCTTGTTTGATCTTGCATGAATTTGTATTGAATAATGCATATCAAAAATTCAATTTCAATGGAGAGGCCACTAAAAATTGTGTTCAGTTAATAATATAAAATTATGTATTTTGGAGCACTAATAGTAATTTACTTATGGTTTTCAAAACACCAATTCACAAAAGATTATTTATACCTTTGACCAATAGATCATTCAAGTTATCAGGTTGCACATAAAGTGTCAGTTATATATATATTGGCTTCATGAAAGGTCTTATACATAGAACCTATTACTTTATTTACTTAATGACCTCAGAACAAAGGTCTCACAGCAAGTATAATATATTGATTTTTTGAGCACACATGCTCTTAGATATGTAATAGCTTTGGTCTTTCATTTTCATTGGACAACATAAGCAATAAAGGTATATAAAAAGAGCATCAAACATTAGAGTCAAATTACTGTCACATTTAAAGGTAACCATGTTAAATAATTTTACTAAAAATTGTGTTTGGCAAATTATGAATTAAGTGACATTGCAGTTTATTGTTTTGAATATTGGCCCTGGCATTGCTGTTTAACAGCTTTTGTGTAAGGTGGCTTAGACCGCCTTTAACCATCAGCTCACTTGGGCAGCACATTTTGTGTTGCCCATCAGTGAGAATTGCAAAGACAATATTCAAGACATGTATGCATTTATGTTGATGCAGTTCTGCTGCTGTGTAAGGTGGATTCCGCCTTTTACCAGTACCTCTTTTGAGTGGCTTGTCCGCTCATGAAAGAGGAGATATATAAATGAATACACTCTGTAATGTAATTTAATACAAGGTTTTCTTTTAGACTGAGGTGAAATGACAGTTTTATATGGGGCTTATACATATTTTTTATCAAATTTGTATTTAATTAATAATTTAACTAAAAATTGTGTTTGGCAAATTAGGAATTAAAGTGACATTGCAGTTTATTGTTTTAAATATTGGCCCTGGCATTGCTGTTTTACAGCTTTTGTGTAAAGTGGCTTAGACCGCCTTTAACCATCAGCTCACTTGGGCAGCACATCTTGTATTGCCCATCAGTGAGAATTGCAAAGACAATATTCAAGACATGTATACATTTATGTTGATGCAGTTCTGCTGCTGTGTAAGGTGGATTCCACCTTTTACCAGTACCTCTTTTGAGTGGCTTGTCCGCTCATGAAAGAGGAGATATATAAATGAATACACTCTGTAATGTAATTTAATGCTAGGTTTTCTTTTAGACTAAGGTGAAATGACAGTTTTATATGGGGCTTATATATATTTTTTATCAAATTTGTATTTAATTGCACAAAAAATTCTGCAACTAACACTCAACAGTACTAAACATCTTATAAAATACAAGATTACATTTAAGTAATATATTTATCTTTATTACATGACACTTACTCTTTGATATGTGATATGGTCTAAAGTGTTTGAGAGAACACAAGCTGCACCATCGCAAAAATAAACATGTGGCAAAATGAAAACTATAACTTGTTTTATTATTTATGACTAAATAGGTTACGTACCATGCTAAATGATTTCACTAAAAGTTGTGTTACTCAATATAAGTTGGACAGAGACATCGGCGATGAATGATAAAGAAATGGCGAGTTCACTAAGTAAGATCAAATACATGTCTTCTCCGAATCAAAAGAGAGAAAAAAGACAGGAAGAAGACAAAGAAAACAAGAAAAAGAACGAAGAAAAAAATGACTTAATTGGTACTGTTTTTTGAGGCGAGTTTCTTTTTACTTGTGCATTAACATTATAGGCCAGGCTTGATCCTGGCTGCTAAGTAACAAAGCAATTACGAGGTCTTTATTTGCCTTACCGAGTACAGTACCCATTTGAGACAAACACCAGGGCGTTGGGTGAAAAGTTGCTTAACGCTCAAGTCTTCTGTCAATATAAGTCTATCTGAACGATATTTTATCTATCTTTTCTATAGGACGGAAGTTTCGAGAATGCAGCAAAAGAATGTTATGCAAGCGGTAAAGCTTCATTTTGCAAACAAGAACAATTATACATTATACATAGCAAAGTCTCTAGGTTATCTTTCTTCATTTTTACCAAAATGTACGTCATTTGCAAAATAAAGTTTGTCCTCCAGATGCCAACTGTGACATCATGAGTTTTGAATTAATGACTGCATGTCATTTTACTATATTATTGACAATGTATATACCACTTTAACAAAACTTGAGGCTGTGATTGATTGTATATTCTGATTGTATAACTGCAATTCGTGTGCTGCAAAATAGCAGGCCTGTTGTAAATTAATTTTTAAAATAGACGATTTCATTGAACAAGTTGTTTGTGTGCATTTTTTGTCTCGATCTACATTATTATGTAGTGCGGTGTATTCTTGTTATTCTCCTTGTTTCAAGCATATTTTTCAAGTTTTCACATTTTTTTTACTCAGAATTACGAGTAGCTGTCGTCAAAGTAGCTGAGCAATTTGGAAATCCAATTGGAAGTCAAATTACGCAAACGTTCGAGTAGCTTTACTCGTCTTTTGAGTAATTCCCGCGTTTACTCAAAATAAGGAGTCACTGTGGAAGCAATTTGTCCGAGTAACTGGTACTCGTTTTTTGAGTAGAAACTACTCTTATACTCGAGTAAATTTACCGAAATAATGAGTAGTTTCTACTCAAAAAATGAGTTCTAGTTACTCAAACAAATTGCTTCCACAGTGACTCCTTATTTTGAGTAAACGAGCGAATTACTCAAAATTGCGAGTATTTAACGGGGTTTACTCATTTAATGAGTAAATAAGGGTACATAGCTTTTGAGTACTTTGTACTCTTTTATTTGAGTAATATTTACTCAAAACAAGCGAGTAATTTTTACTCAAATATTTTGAGTATGTTTTACTCAGTATAATGTGTCACTGTGGAAGCAACATTTTACTCAATAATTTGAGTACAATTTACTCAGGATTTTTTGCAGTGTACGCTATTGTTTGGTTTCAGCAAAAATCGCAAGTGCAAACGGACCTTTACAATCTACAATGCGATATCTATATATCAAAGCTAGCTATACATATATAGACCAATTTCACTTGCTACTTATATCCACTCATTCTCGTCTATTAAAAGAGGTCAACTAGCGCTAACCTTGCTTTCAACAACTGGCCCCAGGGCATTCGTAACTAGTCACTCGTTCACAATTATCAAAAGAAGATCGCACATAAAATCGCACCTAAAATTGCAAGTGTAAACGGGACTTAACGATTGTGAATAGTGGTTGTTTGGATGCTCTGGGAATGATAGGGTATATGAGATGATAATAGTGATGTCAGCGAACATTATTTTGACAATCCAACATTTGAAATGCTCCCTGGAGAGTCAAAGTCATGGTGCCTAGGCTATCTTCGATACAAATGCTTTTTTATTTGTCTAGGTATGTGGTTTCATCGGAGCTGTCATCTTCATTGTGAACACGGTCGTCTACCTTCTTTGGGCGAAACAGTCAACTGAGTAAAAGTTGGCAGTAAAATTGCAGACGTCATACTCGTTCACTTTTTTAACGATTCTTCTTAGTTCTTGGAAACGAGCATGACATTGAGGCATATCTTGTGAATTCATTGTTAGTATATAGAACCTAGTGCACGAGTGTTTTGCATAAATGTGGGCATATAACCCAAGTCAAATGTAGCCTGGATTAATATAATACAATTTTTTCTGCATTAAACTGCATTTTGTTTCCCGTCCAAAAAAGGAAGATATAGGCCAGTGCTTGGGAACAAAACCAACTAGATAGACGATTCTGATGACAATGTTCTGACGCTTTAATATAAATCAACGATACGTTCAGATCTAGATCTAACACGGAAACACCAACTTGTCCCTATGATTCACATGAGTGGATCCCAATACGATTTTCACTCGACTTCAAGTCGCAATTAACTACGGACACTCGGTCACTGCCACTGATCAGGTATCAGTATATCAGGGTATTATTTTCCAACCAAGCCAAATTCGGGCAACAAATCCGTCTAGTCCTATGTGCACGAAATTTCTCATACCAATGATAGCATCCTAAACAAAATATCTATTTCGACTTCGTCTATATTTCAGGTGATCATTGCTATTTATAATCAGATACAAGACTCACATTGATTATACGACAGCAAAAGTTGGATGAATTCGGGAGTTCCTACCGCAGATTCCTGAAATAACCTAACTTACTCGATAAATATACACCTGTTTATAAGTTTGATTTGTAGATGTTCGGCATTAAGCGAAGGGTAAAGTGTTTACCGGTATTACAACTTCCGTGGCTTGGTTTTTAAAAACATCCACGGCCCCTAATATGCAAAGGAATCAGGATGGTTTAAGATTTCGCGAGAATACGATTTGCCTATACGCATGTTAGTATATGTGCATCAATTTTCCACCAGATACCAAGTTATGGTAGGAATTGAGAAGCGAGAATTTGGAATGTCTAATCTAGAATCTGCAATCTCACACGGGCGCTCAATATCAACATGCACGACGTCATTATTGTCGTCAGATGTTTAGCGAAAACAAAGAGTTATCAAAATAATCAAATACTGATAACAAGCCACAAGCACGCAGGATATCCTAAAACACACCTAGAAGTGGTTTGAAATATTAAGCCATTATTGGTCATGGTATATATGAACGGCGTGAAATTGCATGGACATAAACTAGTAAAATCTTAGTATTATACTGTTTCCACGTAGTCTTCGATATATATAGCTTGATATTTATAGATAAATCTTTTATCGCTTTCATCACAGTGGAACTACAGGTAAAGTACTTTCCACATCATTAAACTGTGCCTTCATTACATTGTGATGTGCAAGCCAATATATTCTTGACGTAAACAACAAGGGCCTAGCTCCTTCTGGGAGTGATGTATATCGTCCGGTTTTATTCGGTTGTGAAAGTTATAAGTTGTGAAAAGAAGAAGACTGCGGGAGCAGTGATCATAAATACATCAGTCCTAAACATACAGTTAAAATTGTTTATTTTACAACGCAATAAAGTGAGCAATCCACATCTACATCTTCGAATCACACAAGAAAAAACAAAACTTGGAGTGTCCGGGTATGTAGCTGCTATACTATCGTTGTTGTACGTGATATTAACACTTTTTAACAATTGAAGAGTGGCAAAAGTGGGTTTTTATTCTGTTTTTCTGGCTCTTATGCCAAATATATTGTGAAACTGAAGTGCTATATACATATACGACATATTGCCCTTATCACAAGCGGATTCTCTGTTTCACGCGTTTCATATTGCTTGCACTCGATGTTTTTATACTAAAACGTGTCAAACCAATTAAGACGTCTCGATATATAAAGTGCAAATTCCCAATGTTATTGCCAATAACTTAGCTCAATGGGCGACTTTGCTTAGAGATAAAATAATTGTTATAATTTTTTCACAATTGTTAACTACGATTTACATGAACAAGGTTTAGAAAATTTATAAAGCTTCTGTCATATGACTGCGGTCTTGGACGTAGATATATTATTTATTATTATATATTATACTAGTAAAAGCAATTTGATTGGCTAATAGTTGACAGATAAATCAAGCAATCACGCAAGCAGATAACTGAGTTATCTGCAAGTGAGCCTGCGGTGGTTAACAAGCGGTATTCATTAGTATGTATTTATGTATTAATAATTGATGTATTTTTGGATGTTGATATTAATAAAGTTTTTTATTTGTTAGTACTATGTTTACTATTCTTCAAATGTATGATAAAACAATTATTCAATTCGGTTTTTGCGATATGCAGAATTTGAAATTAATTTCATGACAAAACGCTTATCTTTCAGATATTTCGTCAACATGAATTTAGTGGCAGTTATAACAGCGACGATTTTCCAAATTGTAAGACAATATTTTATCTTAGTAATTTAATGTAATGCCGTAGTAATTTATTCTGCACACCCCCAGACCCGCCACCTGGTCAATTCAGATTTATTCACCTGCTCAAATTTGTTCTCAAAAAATACGAAGAAAACAATTCCTTTAGAATATTTTCAGGTGATCATAAAATATTCAACTATTTCAGGTATTTCTTCTGGTAGGAACCAGTCTTGTGGGTCATTTCATGAGAAAGTATCGCGATACTTATGACAAAGAAGACAAAGCCTATGATAACGGAGAATTTGGAAGACATGAATTTTACTTGTTTTCCACCGGTTTCGGAGTGGTTATTTCAATTTACTCTCTTGTGGGTGCAATTACTGGAATGATAGAAAAAAAAGGAGGATCACTCGCCGTAAGTTTCATGCGGGACACTGTATAGAAAAGATCTGAGTCTTAGCTAGAGGCAAGGCCGGTGCAGTTATTGCAGTATTGCATTCTTTGTGCAGTATATCGACGGTCAAGTATGTAGCAATAAATTTGAATTTGCGTGTGCTGAGTCGCGTTAGTTATCCGCGGGCCCAAATTTTTGAACTATGGCTGCATATGCTTTAAATTCAATACCCTAATGATGTGTGCAGTATTCAAAATTCTTCAGAGTAGGCGATGCAAAATGAACGGTCTGTTTCATGCATAATGAACTGAATATAACGCAATGAAAATGGTACATAATGTACCTTTTTACTGGAGTTGTCAAGATTTGTGCATTCTGATTGGTTTAATGAAAATGTAAACAAATGTGCTGATTGGTCTAAAACGAAATTCCGTGTTGTTACTGAATATGTGCCTGTTGTTAAAACACTCGTTCTGGGGCAATTAATTGGTCTAGTATTAGTCTGATCAGTCTAGCTTTAAACTTTATCTATTAACTATATAAAATGGTTGATATACGCCTCTGAGTTGTGCTCTCATCAACTCGAATGTGTGTTGGTGATTTACGGAAGTTCTTTTTATTTCAGATGATCGCAGTTCACGGTCTTTGGGCAATTCAGCTGTTGGTTTCATCAGCTTTACTTGCCAAAAACTTAGCCACATTTGAAAAAATGGGAATCCCAGGACTATAGGTACAAGCGTATGTGACGCATTAGAGTCGGCAAGTGCAGGTCTCAATTGCACCCAATTGCTCGTTGGCATTGTAAGTTACATTACTATTGGTAAAATGTCGTTAGTAAACGACTTAGGAATGGACGACTTGCGCTTTAGACTAATTTTTGATCGAAGTAACTAGAAGAAAATAAATCATCGCAGCTAGAAAGATCTTACTTAAATTTACTATGAAGTCCTTAGATTAGCATGCTATACAGCAAGTTAAATTCAGTCAGTCAGTAAAAAACGGTAAGAATCTGAATTTTAAGAAAGTTTAGAAGTTCGAAGTTCATAGCTTTTGTGTGCAACCATGCGCCCTCTCCCCTTAAGACTGCTTTCCAGTTACGCGTTTTTCATACGCACGTACACGCACGTAAAAGTCTAAATCCTTATATATGTTATCTTTGAAAGGACTAAGTAAATAAATCGAAAGAACTTAGTTTTCCGCATGTTTTAGTATGCACTTGTAGACCTAGATGTTAAATAATAAACATTTAGAGGCATTTATAATTTTCCGTGCGTGTACGTGCGTATAAACAACGCGTAAGTGGAAAGCTGCCCTTAATTACCTTTAACGTAAGTTCTAAAACAAAGAAAAGTGATGCTTCGATATTATATAAGTTGGATTTGTTTTTGCCTTAATGAGTGTTTTGCTTTGCATATAAAAGGTGTCAATGACTAGTGCACTATGGTTATTTCTTCGTTACAGAAAAATTTTGAGATCAGTGAGATGACCCTGTGTGTATCGATATGAATCTAAGGAGCTGAAAACTGATAACTGAAAATACTCTTTATTGCATGATTTATATTTCGTTTATTTTGTCTAGGTATGTGGTTTTATGGCGGCCGTCTGCTTCGCTGTGAACGCGGCCATCTACCTGCATCATTGGGTGGGAAATTTTGTTTGAACGGACGTAACCAGACATCGCCTTTGATATTTAATCATCTTTATATTTTTAGCAATAAAAATTCTCTTTAAAACTAGTACTAAGCTGCCCGTCAGTGTTCGTAAATTATATCTAAACAAATCAGCTTGAATTGGAATCAGGGCTTTGGATATGATTTTAGAGGCTTGTTAATTCAAATTCAAAAGAAATTTAAATTTAAACAACTAAAAAGACGCTAACTAGTTCCTAGTGTAGACAGGGAGGATATAGTTGGGACAAAAGGAACTTGTAGTGCTGTTTTGGTCAAGCGTGGCGACAGTTTTAGTGCTACTGAAATATGAATTACTATATGAATAAACTTATTTGTCCGACTTTTAAAAGTTGCATGCCTAGTAGGTAATAATTCTGGAAGTATTTGTATATGTATTTGAAATGATTGATTCAGTCTGGAACTTGTTTCGCGATGCTTTGCATTTTTAAATTTTGTACCCATTTTCTGATACAAAACTCAATGAGATCTAAAATATGCTACGGGCACCATTCTTTAGCCAAATATACTGACAGTGAAAATCTCATAGACTACGGGCTTACCGTCTCTCAATAATGGATCGTAAAACTACCACCACGCATTTCTTAGATTATTTTTGTATACTCGACGAACCTAGTAAAAAGGTAGTCAATTAATATCACAAAATAAAGGAAATCAAGAACGAATGATTTTAGACATACACAATAAAAATTAGTGCATGGTCGGTGGTGATACCGGCATATGGATATACTTGACCAGTTGACCGAGCTAATTTTCTAGCTGAAAACGAAAAATCTTGTTCCCTGTGACTGCCATTTCCTCTGGGGCGATGAAACAAAGGCTCTGGAAGAAATCTTGGCTTCCGATGTGTATTGGGATTGTAGTTTATTACAACATTCCAACGGCATGAACGACCAATCAGAATTATTTCTGATCAGTTTTGATTATATCAGAGCCTCTTTTCCTCGCCAGAGGAAATCGCAGACCCGAGGAACATAATAAAAGCTGGAACGCTAACTTGGCCGCCATCTTTGATGCCAACGTTTTGGCATGCCCGAGTTTTTTAACGTTTAAAACAGACGTAAAGAGTAATTATCTAGTTATCTAGGAATGTCTAGAACCATGTAAAATATAATCATTTGCTAATTTTTATAAAAATGGAACGAGAAACTGAGTCAAAAACTTAATTTTTGGCTTCAACCAACTATTGGGCCGAACTATAGGAGTTCTCGTTCCAGTTGATATTACAGTTCACTGGTGTGGGCAGAGTGAATACCCTGGGAACGATATTAAGGTACCCACACACCTGCAGCTTAATTTCAAATCTAATGTGAAATTTGAGATGACCGATTCCTTGTATCGTGAAACGAGCTTTACCGAAACCTGGCACTCGTATAGCGAGACATGGCAATAGACCTTATGCATAATGGCGTAACAAGCTGTGACACCTGCACCTGTCTTAGTAGTCACGGACGGAAATTTTGAAGTTTGAATTTTTCGCCGTGACTGCTTGATACGTCGTCATTATGCATAAGGTCTATTCGCATACATTGCAAAAAGTATGATACTAAGAGTCTTGGGTATATAGTGTCGCAGCTTCTCGCAAAAATAATTTTCATTGGCTGAACTTTACGATGCATTTCTGTTTCAACCAATAGCATAGCTTCGTTCTTTAGAAAGCATAGAAAAGCATTATCCAATTGGACGGAAGCTTCCGAGCGCTGTAACATGTCCCAGAGTCTTTAATAGACGTCATCATTCAATACTGTTGCCAGAGACGTGCCGGGCGGAAAGCGTATTCGAAGTATAAATATTAAAGCCCAACATAGTGCTTTCAGTAAAGCCATAAGAGACAATCAAACCATTTGAGAATAATAAGAATATATTTGGTAGTAACGTTTCGTCTTAACTTAAGACATCTTCAGACTAAATGATAAATTACATGATAATTTGAATATGTAGACTAGTAATATATTTACAAGGCATCAATTTACAAAAGGTGATAACTTGTTCTTACGTTGTCCTTGTTATCACCTTTTGTAAATTGATACCTTGTAAATATATTACTAGTCTACATATTCAAATTATCATGTAATTTATCATTTAGTCCGAAAATGTCTTAAGTTAAGACGAAACGTTACTACCAAATATATTCTTATTATTCTCAAATGGTTTGATTGTCTCTTATGGCTTTACTGAAAGTACTATGTTGGGCTTTAATAGTTATACTTCGAAGACGTCATCATTTTCATTAAGATGCGTGAAACACAGGGTAGGTAAAAATATCTATATCATTTATTCTATAGATCTGTGCATGGGTTTAACCAGAGCAGAGAAACATTTAAGAAATGAAAAATATTTTCCGCGTTTATATACAGTTATGGAAACACGTGGGGGAGTTTGGGAGAACGAGAAATAATCAGTAAGAAGGAGCCCTTAGGGCGAGTTTTTCCACGTTATTTCGAGTTCTCCCAAACTCCCAGAAGTGTTTTTATAACTGTATAGAAACACAGGAAAAAATGTTTTCTATTTCTTTTATAATACAATTCAATAAAAAGATTTTATACATATATTACAATTCGATTCAATTATAAATTCTCATTACATTACTTCGCTTGTCAAGTTCGGCGGGAAAAATGCCCTGTTTCTATATACAGTTATGGAAACACGCTTCTCGACCAATCAGCACGGGCGTACTATAAATGTTATAGTATAATAAGGATTAACATACATCTTATCTGAAACTAAGGTTATGGGGGCGAATCATGCTTTGTATGCGCCGATGCCAATGTTTGCCATTTTAAAGTGCTCTTTTTTTATCTATCGCGCGCGATCACGAGATCGTCACATGATTCATCATTTGGTTTTTATAGCAAGAAGCAAGGAGTGGCTGCAGTATATACGCATATAAACACTGGCTGAATAGTCTAACAACTGCTATCATTTTTGCAGCGATTACATTATCAAACATTGAAAAGAATCTGCGCTTCGCTTTCAAAGAATTTAGGTATGTGAGTTTTAAGTCACTATCGTATAAAACTATCGTATAATATCGTATAATAATAGCCAACTTGCATGGTTTTCGTATTAGCCATATTTTATTGCAAAAGTGAAACTCATGATAATATTCTACTTGAACGTTTCGAGCTTGAATTTAACGAACTATTTCAGAAGTTCAGTGAACCCACCTCGATTCCACAGTATAACATACTTATTATAAGGTGTAGTGATTCATTTTTAAAAACGATATTGATTTTGTTTAAAATTGCAATGATTCAGGGCTAGCGAATTAGTGTCCCAAATTGGATCACCGCAAATTTAGAATGCTATAATTAAGCCTAAATCGAAAACAATCGACCTTTACTCTTATAAACAAAACGATAAAATTCAATGTTTTGTAGAAGTACTCCAAACCGAACAACTATACGGTTTTATACCACCCACAATTCACCGACGTGTGTAAGAATTTCTCCCCGGTTTAGGCATTGTAAAGCTTTGTTATCTAAACGACATGATAGGCAGTAGATTTTTCAATGAAGGAACTTGTAACCATAACAATTTCACTCACAATGTTTGAATATATCTAATGTCTCTTGAGTACTTTCACTTTGAGCTCGATTGACGCGAATCATCAATTTTCGAATCGTAATTAGCGGACTAGTTTTGATCACACCAGACTGTCACACGCGTTAATTGGAATGTATCAAACTAATGCCACAAATAATATATAACAAATAATATATAACAAAACATATATACAATCATACAATAGTATACCATTGATATAACGATATTCAAAATGGCGAATGTCAACAGCGTTTCAAGTCACTTTGAATTCATAGTATTTCATTGAAAAGAATTTAAAATATTCTTGGAACGGCCTAACACAAGTGCATAAACCTATTATATAGCTACTTGCCAATTTCCGCCTGTACATTGTCGTCCATGCAATCAACCTCGTTAGATTATACAGACCTACTCGAAAGAGAGAGAAACCTTTTGCAAGTCAATGAAAAACGAGGTTAACCAGATTTTGTTTTGCAAAATATCAGTTTCGAATTTTTTTGGGAAAATTTTTGGATCAGTTCCAAAATTTGTTATTCATGAGATGATATTAACTTTCTTTAGTTTCCGACGACATGAAGATTGCACCAGTTATATCGGCAGCTCTCGAAATTGTAAGACTAATAATTAAATATATTTCATAATTATGTACATGACATAAAAATTACTGAAATGAATCTCATTATACGTTAAGGAGCTCCAAAATCTATTTCTTAAAAAACAGCCGAGCTGAGAGACACTCGTGGCTGTTGGTTCAGTTTCTGAAGTGTGCGGTGTCGTATTCTGCGTTTTCTTGCACGTGTGGTATCGGCGTCGGATATTCAACATGTAGCTATTGTTGAATAATTTTGTGCTGTACACTCGTGAACATTTTCTCATACGCAGTGTGCGCGCGTCCTGAGCTATCGGCTCAGCAGTTGGTGTCAATGCACGTGTGTTCTTTTCATATTTTGAATTATTTTCACAACCCATGCAAGTGGGCGGCAACCACTCAATAGTTGCTGAATCAGCACTGGTAGACAAATTAGCAGATTTTTGACCCCATATTATCCCTGTCTGTACGACGTTAAGGTGTCCTGAATGACCCGAGTCTCAGTAAATGATTTGCCGATTGCTACAAAAGTAAAATTGCTTTGAAAGTTTGAATGTGATGTTTTTTAACTTTAAATGTGTTTGAATCCACTGCTAAATTCATTTTAGGCTAGTAGTATTCGTTTCAACTGCTGAGCTGATAGCTCAGGACGCGCATATACACTGTGAGAAAATGTTAACGCTGCACAGAATGATTCATGATCAACATGTGGAGTGTTCGACGCCGATAGCACTCGTGCCAGAAAACGCAGATATGACACCGCACACTGGAGGAAACACCGAAACAGCTAAGCCAACACTCACGAGTGACGCTCAGCTCAGCGTTTCCTTTCATTATGCGCCGGGCTTTAGTTTCTGCAGTAGAGTAGCATAGCTAGCATGAGCCTGAGGATTTAGTCCCGTTGCAATGCACAACGAAATTAAGCATTTTTATAGCAAACATGTTTCGATCTAACTATATAAGCCAGTCGAAACATGTTTGCTATAAAAATTTTGTCGTTTATTCCAAATGCTTAATTACTCTTGTGCTGATCAGATCATATGAAAACAAGAAAATATTTAGCAAAGCTGGACAAAATCGTCCAGTTAAAACTACGAGTTAATGTTAGAGCGGACAGAATTATATTATACCACTGTTCGTATTCATGTTGTAGCTAGCTATATTATCCTAAAAAACCCATAGTTATGTAAAAGCCCACAGCGATCGCATAGTAACACCTAATGAATCTCTTTAATTGTGTATCCCAAGTCTGGGAAATTCATCGATCTCCTTATAATGTCGTATTTTTCACAAATCGAAATATATAGCAAGGGGGAATTTCGTTTTAAACCAATCAGCATGTTTGTTCACATTTTCGGTAACTCAATCTGAATGCATAAATTTTGATAAAAATTGCAATATATACTATTTTACATTAAGTATTTAAAATTTAGGCATTCTGATTAGCTTTGCCTAAAAAATGTAAACAAATATGGCAATTAGCTTAAAACGAAATTTCCCCTTGTTGAAATATATACAATTTGGTCGGAATTCTCGTAGGTTCTCCTTGTGGTAGGAACCGGTCTAGTCGGTCATTTTATGAAGGAGCTGCATGATGATTATGACAAACAAGATGAAAGTTATAACCTTGGTTTTTATGGCAGACACGAATTCTACTTGTTCTCCACTTCTCTTGGAGTGATCATCGCAATTTGCTCTATCGTGGAAGCAATCACTGGAATTCTCGAGAAAAAGGGTGGAGTACTCGTCGTAAGTTATAGCGAGAATTCTTTCTTGCATTAGAAAAGGACATTTTTCAAAACGAAAATTTTAGGTTGTTTTTAAAGCTCATGCATATGTGGCTCACGGCCAGGGGCGCCGTGGGTGTGCTAATATAGGGGTGGCCAAAGGCAACATTATTCCGACCAGCACGTTTTTTTCCCGACATCTTTATAAGAAAAAAGTAACGAATATTGATAAAACTGACAGGGGGTTTTCGGCAAGGACGCGCATGCATTTGCTATGACAAAGATCACGAGCTACGTCTGCTAATGAATATGACCGATAAATATTCACGTTTTACATACGCTTTTCAATTGAGTAGTTGAATAATTTTTGATACAGTTAACTGTTTGTGGGAAAACTGTATTACAGAGATTTCTAATCCAAATGCATTAACAAACAAGACGCCTGTTCTGGCGTTAACTCCGGCGCACGTGCCAGTCTTTACAGTAATATACAGTAGAGGTTCTGAACATAAACAATACAGTTCATATTCGCATTTAGATGCCTTGCGAACCTATAAATGTTCGATCGCGAAATTCAGAAGCACATCGTACTTTAAAAAGTATAGAAGTTCAATTGTTCAAAAATGTAAATAGACCGCATGATACATTCGCTTTGTCTTACACTTTGCCTTTGGAATTCGCGCTTATGTAGTATATTAAATCTTCAATCTTGTGCAAACTACGACGTGTCAACGGGCCCATACACGACCACATCATCTTGTTAAACGGCGATATAGCAGCGATATTATTAAAATAGGACCAGAATCTACATGTATTAAGTATATTCTTCCCCAATTCAATCTAAACTTAATCGAACAGTATGAAAACAACGGTTTATTTGTTCTTCTTGGAGGAATTGCCATATATGCGATCGAAATCGAATCGCGCATCGGAAAATTAGCCAAAGCTATACACCACAACTCTTGGGAGATAAGACTGGGACATACATAAATACGGTTACATACACATTTCGAATACTAGAATGTTTCGCGCCATTTCAGACTTACGACGACGAAAAATAAAAAAAACAACAAAACAAAACCGGGGCGAATTTTCAACTCCGTCGCTGGCGCCGGAGATAACGCGATACGTTATTTCACGATAGTCGATACTCTATTATAGCTTTGTAATCTTAGTGGATGAGCATACAGCGTATTCTATACGCAACATTTGTTTATAACTAAAATATAAACATATTCGCAATTGCTTCAATCCCCTCATCAGTTTAGTTCTTCCGCTGTACTGTCGTGGTACCTCTCTGTTATGATTGATATACTCCGACAACATGCAATGTTCCTAAATTTCCGACAGGTTTTAATCCTGGGGGGGCATGGCCCCCCCTGGCCCCCCCCGGCCCCCCGGCCACGGCGCCCCTGCTCACGGCGACCTTATTAGCGTCGTTTGGTTTACGAAATACTATAGAGTGCTCAATACCATATAGATAGAGCAGATATAGAAATATTGCTTACCAAAAATCGCCCACGTACTACACTACAGTGTTTCATCCGTATTAGAATCTTCAGTTCAGAACACGAAATAATAAAGAAGCGAAAACTCAGCTATGGTGGTTAAAATCAAACTGGCCAGACTGAGCTTTATATGCCTTTTATGCGTGCACGCGCCAATTGTCCATTCAATTCCGTCCCAACGGTGATATAGAACGGGTTTTCGATCGGCAATGTTTAACCATGATTGTGAAATTCATGAATAATTCATTGTCATTTGTATCTATTATGCATGGCATCAAAAAGATATTCGGCTAGATAACTCCTCTTCTTTCAATGCAAAAGTTTATTCGTTGAACATTTACAATAAAGTGGTGATTTCGTTCGTTTTTGAAGTGACGTATATCCTATAAATTTCATTCAGATGGCGGTCGTTCATGCATTATGGGCATTTCAGCTAGTGGTTGCAACAGCTTTGCTTGCCAAAGTCCTTACCACATATGAAGATAAAGGAGATCTTCCTATATCTCTTTGTGATGTCTATGATAAGTCTGATAAAGATTACCAATGCAGTGAATTGATCGGTGGGGTGGTAAGTTTTGCTATTTGTTTACATGTACACTGCAGCTCCCCCCTCACATGCACTATCCGGCTATATATATTTTACACAACAGCTGGGAAACTTGCCCGCGCTGACCAAAATAATCGCTGGCAATAGAGCCAGACCGTAGCACAGAGGAAGGGTTATAAGGCTTAAAGCGTTGGCGCGTTCATTACACGTATTTTATTCAATTTTTTCGCTGAGATATGAGGTTATTTATTCAAGTGCGGGCGATTATTTTGGTCAGCGCGGGAAAGTTTCCCAGCTGTTCTTCCACACAATTATTTGAGAGAACTGCCAGGCTTTTATGCGGCGGTGAGAATATGAGACCATGGTAATAACATTGATTGGAAATGAGGTGATAAAAATTACAACGTGATTATGATATTGCATGGTGATCAATATTTATCGATTACATTGATTATCATAATCTTAACACTGACTTATAGATGAAGAGACGAAAAGGCTATGGTAATTATATAGTTGAGTAAAAAGCATTGTGGCGAATCCAGAAAATTCTAAATTGAAATTATACCTGAGTAAAATTTATTGGTTATGAAAGTTTCCAAAGAATACTTTAGAATTTAAATCTAAATTCGCTACGGCCAACTGCAAACATTTTCAAAACTTGAAGCCTTAACTCTAGACCTTTAAAAATAGCCCATGCAGTCTTATTTTTATCGAAAATCCCCTACCATTTTTTGATCGTGGATATGCAATGGACCATTCCTCTATTAAACTTAATCCTGAACTAGGAAAATTCGTCGGTTCTGAGGTATACAGCTGGGAAGAGCACTTCGCAACTGCATGAGCAAAATTGGAAAGTTTGGAAGTGAAATGTTGAAAAATGCGCGAAAAATAATAGAAAGATATTAACTATATCGCGGTTGGCAAATTTTGTAATAATTTAATTAGTTTTACGTTCCAAAAAGCGTTACCATCGAGTTTATACAAAATTCGCACCGCGATATCTCTCGTACTCTTCAACATTTCGCTACCAAACTTTCCAATTTTACTAAGTGTAGCCGAATGCCCTCTCCAGCTGTATTGGTGAAAATTCCTAGTTTTAAATTTAGTTTAACAGGGAAATGGTCCATTGACAACATTTCACTGGGAAGGGGGGGGGGGGGAGGAGTTAAACTGCAGATGTGTACAATGCTTGTGTTGAAATACTTGTGTTAATGCTTGTGTTGTCTTTCATGCTAGTGTTAATTTTTTTTGTGTTTTCTTTGTCTATAGGCATGCGGTTTCATCGCCGCTGTAATCTTCATAATTGACGCCGTCCTCTACATTATTCTGCCGAGTGAGCAAAAGTAATTTTTATATGTTATGTATCCGTACTTGGACCACACCGCCAAATTTGCCTGCATGATTAATTTTGATATGTAGAGGTTAAACCAGGGGCGGTCGAGACATGCTTGAAGGCCAGAGGGATTATAATCCATCTCCCAGAGGTAGATGCTCCCCACATTGATAGTTTGAGAATGACTTGAAATAAAATCGAATTTCTCATCATCGCAAATTTTTGTCGACTCATACTTTGAGTAAACAGGATGCTTTCTGAGTATATTTCAGTTCCCTGTATGGTTACTATTCAGGTTAAACATGCTTTTTTATGGCCGATCTCACAAATATATGATCGCATAAAGTTTAAAGTCAACCCACACCCCGAGAAAAAATATATTCCGTCGCCCCTGGTTCAGCATTTAGTTCAGTAGGATGATTGCCATTTTTTTTTCAATAATAAACGAAATAATAAATCTAAATGTTTAGTATTTGTTGCAGTTATTATACTCCGGCGTCAGCGATGGAGTTGAAAATTCGCCTCGGTTTTGTTTTGTTTTTTATTTTTTTATTATTTTTCGTCGTCGCAAGTGTGTTTGGCGCAAAGTATACTAGTATTTGAAAAGTGTACGTGACTGTATTTATCTACGTCACAGTTTTGTCCCCCAAGAGTGGTTGATTGAAGGAATAAAGATTTAATATAAGCGCGAATTCCAAAGGCAAAGAGTAAGACAAAGTGAATGTATCATGCGGTTTATTTACATTTTTGAACAATTTAACTTCTAAACTTTTTAAAGTACGATGTGCTTCTGAATGTCGCGATCGAACAACATTTAGGTTCGCAAGGCATCTAAATGAGTATGAACTGTATTGTTTATGTTTAGAAGCTTTATATTGAAGACTGGCACTGCGCGGCACGCAGGGGTTAACGCCAGAACAGGCGTCATGTTTTTACTTTGATCGAGTAATATGTGGCTAAATTATTAGTGGAAGCCTACGAGTTGTTTTGGCATTATAAGAGGGCTTCATAGACAATCACCACAATAATGTTCCTGTATACGTTTGCATATATAGTGACAATTATTAGTTTGTTTGAATAATAATGCATACTATATTATATAAGATCCAGAATTCTTGTATTAGTTGTTAAATTTATGAGAATTAACTATACTTATTTAGAATATATAGACCTTGTCAATGAACTTCCATCTCCATTCAAGATTAAATTGTTTGAATACTACATTTCATCTTTACACACTAGTTAAGTACAGCGAACCTAAATCTTACAAAACTATTTATCCGAAGTGTAATTGTTTATGTTGTCTCAGAACACCGTTATCTCGACCGTGGTATAATTTTTCATAGTCGCGGAATATACCGGTATGATATATTTGAGCTATTTGACCTCAGAAATAAAATCTTTTTTTCAGTCTTGCTATAGGAACCTTACAATGCATGACTGAAGGCATGCACTACTTCAATATAAATTGCATATAGAAACCGTGCATTTGTGTATTATAAATTGATGCTTCGGCAGTATATAGGAATTCAATCGCGGGGAAAAAATGCGTCATTGTGTTCGTCATAAGGCAAATTGACATTATTATGCAAAGCGACCATTCTAGACAAACATGCGGAATATCACGACAAGCCAGAGCACTTGCCACGAATGTAGCACAAGTGTAAACAATATGCAAACGACATAAGTAGTTAAAGTTTGTGCGAGTATATAAAGCGAAACTTTTTCCCGACAGAGATCCCTATCGCGATACACATACAGGTGTCCACATTTCGTTAGCAAATTTCGTGGTTTTTCTCTTGCCGTTAGTGTTTAAATCTATAGGTAACTCCGAAACATATAAAAGTCGAACGTATTATATTTTGATCGAGTTTCGCCGTAAGCTATTAAGCTTCCGGTTTGAAGGTTGAAGTATACGTCACGAGTATACGTTATGCATGCCGCGCCAAAAGTCTGATATTACAAGAAGTTGATTGGTTCTTTAGTTCCGCCGAAACAATCAGACTTGCTATGACGTTCGCATCCCGTGTTGACGTCATTATGAGAAAGGTCTATTGAACTTTTGGGGTGGAAGTTGATCATCGCTATCGCCAGACGCTGCCTATGTCATCGCTTCAGAATGCTGAGACATGCTATAACTGATGCATGTACATGTGCATGTTCAATGAACAAAAAGGTGACACGCGCTAAACTATATAAGTGTCATCAGAGATGGAAAACTCGCATTATTTGAATCACTTTCTCACAGCAACAGTCGAAGTAAAGTTGACAATATCTAATTCCATCTACAGTATATACAGAAAAAGTTAAAGATTTAATACTGAGGTATGTCATTATCGTTATATACTGCATATGTGTATATACCGTTTCTTGGCGAGGATAGAGTGCTGAAAATGTATGAATTTTAGTCTGTTTTCACCAAAACTTTAACATTTACCCTTATATAAGGATCAAAAACAGTGATCAAAAACATGTATAAGGACCAAAAACATGATTATATTATAACACATATATGCCCATTCAAGAACGCGAAGCTATACATAGAGGGTCTTCATGTTATATAGTATCATACTGGTGTGCAGTTGACTTATTTCACAAAAGCGATTTGGATAAAATCTACAGTCGTTTGGCTCCCTTTCATTTCTTTATATAGTAATTATAATTCTTGTGCATCAAATTACAGCGTGTATTTGTCAAAAAGTCCTTTGACTTTCAAGTCGTATAACATAATGAACATGCAGATAAACTGCATATATGAAGCCAACGGTTTTAAATAATATTGCTGCGCTGGATATACCATGAACATTGCTATCCGTGTACTCTCACACGCTATAGCTGTGATTATAATAATACAATGCCATGCATTAATTCACTTCTACTGTGTACTACCCTACTTAAGTTATTATTGTTCAGCTTTCTAGAAGTGAAATAGGAAAATATCTAATGGGTTGCTTTGTATTTATCGGAAATAGCGTCCTTCCTTAGTCAATGGATGCCTTTAACAATGACGACGAATACTGAGTACAATCAGTATACATGATTTGTCATTCCGGAAAGCGTTGGTGCGAAAATTTTATGTTACGCGCTTTGAAGATGCCGCGAGAAGAAATAAGCAAGTTATAGGCCGAATTAAATAACTTGTACTATAAATTTTTCATATATATATATATATATATATATATATATATATATATATATATATATATATATATATATATATATATATACACCCATTTGCAAAAACGTTGGCCGCAGATAGATAGATAGATAGATACTCGAAGTCTAATTAGAATTGCATATGATTACATTTGCATGGGATTTCTATAATATTACACAACATGCAATTCTAATTAGATTTCGAGTATCTATCTATCTATCTGCGGCCAACGTTTTTGCAAATGGGTGTATATATATACATATATATATATATATATATATATATATATATATATATATATATATATATATATATATATATATATATATACCATGGAACTTTTTTTATAATGACGTCAAACGAGGAAAGTATGATGTTACACGAAGTTTGATTGGCTCGATAGTTTTGTGGAGCTAATCAAATTTCGTGTAACATCGGACTTTCCGCGTTTGACGTCATTGTAAGAAAGGTCTATTGCTCTACTCGATCGATCTCTGGTATTTTTTCGGTGCCTTTGTTTGTAACTTTCAATATTCAACTACCTTCTGGATTTCTAACATTTAGGTTCGTTCAACATGAACCAATTAAAAACAGCTTCAATTGTACTCAAGGTTGTCCAAATTGTAAGTATACAAAATTTTTAGTTTTATTCTTTCAACTTTGTGTAACTAAATGACCTGTGGAATGCAAATTTTTGTATGCGTCAAAATAAATGTCTGTACAGAAGTATTTGTAAAATTTGTTGACCTTCTATTAGCCGGTAAAAGTTAAATATATATCGAGTTTCTTGACTTGCTTGCAGATGGCGCTTGTGGTAGGAATAGGCTTTGTGGCACATTTTACAAAAGAAGCGCACGATTCACTTGCTAAGTATTTATACGAACTCGGGAGACTTGGACGATTTGAGTTCTACCTGTTCACCAATGGGGTTGGAGTGGCGATTGCCTTTTTTGGATTGCTGTGTACTCTCACTGGCGTCCTGGAGAAAAAATTCGGCGCGTTCGGGGTAAGTATGTAGCAATTTACTATATGAGTACATCACCGCGATTTTTCAAATTTGTGGCGAGTTGTTTTTGTCGAAGTGAAAAATAAAGAAAAAAGTGATTTTTTACTAAAGTACTTTATCTAAATGCACAAAAGAAGTCGGAAAAGACTTTGCCTTAAACTTTTTTGAGATAAATACTGCGTTTTTTACTTAATTTCGTGAAAACATTGTTTTAATTAAATCGTACTAAAACGATAATGTCGAGATATTTGTTTACGTTCACAAGACATGTATTCTCTACAACGGATTATTCTTTTCAAAAATCATGATCACTTTTGCAATTATACCGTAAGACAGTTATCCACCTGAGGCTATATTCACCGATATATTCGAGATATTCACCTCGTCTTCGGCCAATAGTTGTTACAGGTAACAAATCGTCATGGGTGAACCAAACTTGAACATTTTTTGTTATAGTATCTAATATTAATTATTTTCATTAAATTATCTTCAGATGATCACACTGCAAGCATTGTGGGCGTTCCAGCTAATGGTATCCACCGGTCTGCTAACTAAAATCTTGACAATATACAGGAAAAAAATATTTAGTCAAGGGATGTCAAAGTGCGAAATCTGGGATAGATTATATGGACTAGACAACCTGGAATACGATCTCCACTGCAGCCATTTAATCGTCGGCGTGGTTAGTTATGATATTTTTTCTTGAGGAAGGAGCCAGAATTGAAACTGTGTGGGTTTTCCACTAGGCGGAATTTTTGATTGAACGAAATTTCTCAATCTCGTTCCCAGGGCCTTTTGGGACTTTATAGGAGGGTTGGGGACGGGGGGAGGAGAGAAGAGGAAAGGTTCTGGGATCGGCCGTTCAAAATACCCACATTTCGCGGGTATTTTGAATAAGCATAAATTAACAAAGGTCGTTGGAGTCTTGTTTTCTGCCATTTACCGCACTCTTTGATCGCACCTCAATTTATTTGCTTATTTCGGAATAGGGTGTGTTTTTTGGCGATCTTTACCGATAATCGCCGCCTGGCACCTGCCTAAAATCTAAACGAACGTTCATCCGCGAATTCCAGAGGCGGTGGTGTTCGTTTACATGTTTTATTAATCTGGTTATTTTTGGCTTCAACTGAAGTATTATGCTGAACTAAATATAGGAGATAGGGTTCCAGTTAATATTACGATTCACTAGTATTAGTTACGTGTATGTTATACACTTCTTTTTCTGCTTTTTTAGGCCTGTGGATTCATTGCAATGCTCCTTTTTGCCAAAGACGCTGTTATTTCATTTATGTTTTTCCGGCGTTTCAAAGAGAGTAATTTGAACTGACATCACTTCAGTCTTTCTACGCTTTTCCATTCATAAAGATATGCTCTCTATGATAGACACTCTGCGATGAGCAAAAAGCAAAAAATGCTTTGCTGGATATTGTTATGTATACTTGATTTTGTCGAATATAATATATAGCATGAAAATAATTTAATAAATAATAAATAGTTGCCACCTTCTGTGGAGACTTTAATCTATTATAAATAATTTAAGGCGAATGATGGCGGCCATGATGAAAAGGCCCAACGGCGAATTTGTCGTTGAAAAATGTTTTAAGAGGTTTTATAACTTCTTGTTGTGGTTGACTGGAAAGAAAGTATTTTCCAGATCGCATAATTCATTATCAAATAAATGTCTGTTATGTGTACGAAATTTGCAAATGAATTCAGTTATGTTTGGACCATTTTAACATGGATGCCATGAACCTCATTATCCAAAAGTAAATTAATCAAATCTTGTATGTTGTGAATTTTACAAAGCGCATACGAAAATACATTTGCTTTATATAGTCTACCGATTTTTTTTTGTCCAAGTCCACTGTGTTAACTAAGATGCTAAAGTGATACTTCACATCAACATTTAACGAAAAACGTACGTATTTTATGTATGTGCATGTGTGTAGTCTTTACTTTAGCAGTTGGCCCTTCTTTTCTTTGATCTTGCATTACACTGTATCTTAAATAAACACAAGCTCTCTCGCTAAGCCTTGATAATATGAATGAACTATTTACTAAAGAGTCAGAAATCCACATTGCATGTACTTAATATGTGAAGCGAAGATTGTGGATGAAGTTGCTGCGAATATTTTAACGATCGTTTTGTAGCCTTGGTACTGATCTGATAGTAGACTGGACATGTTTACTAACTGATTTTTCCTCGTGACAGCCCCGAAAACATTATTTACAAAACGTACTGTTGTAACTTGCGCATGCACCAAGGGGGCGTCAGCTAAAGCTGGGTGGTGTCAATGTCAAATTCCCTGAGCAAACAGGTCATTCTGCGCTTGCCTTCGATCGATCAGGACGTCTCAACACGTCAGCATTGTGAACCTTGCACAACTAGCGGTACTCAAGACCGTGAACAGAAAAACGTCGAAAACACAAGAAACGTCAAGAACAACGAACAGCTAACATTTAGGTAAGCTAAAAGTGCAAATATTCTGGCTTTATAGCGGTTCAACCAACCCTGACGTATATAATTCAGGTTTATTTATACTGGCTTTGGTTCCAATTTTCAAGGAAATTAAATCAACTCTGACTAAAACGACGACAATGTAAACGTTATTATAACGATAGCATTCGACCAATCGTATATTAATTTATACTGGCTTTGGCTCCAATTTTCAAGGTAATCAAATCAACTCTGACTAAAACGACCACAATGTAAATGTTATCATAGCGATAGCAATCGACCTATCGTATATTAAGACACACAATTCTGTCGTGGAGGCACACTCCCCAAAACTTAATTAAGGCTTGACCCAGAGTTTGGTCGAAATTCAGCATTCGGCATATCTCACATTGGACGTTTTTTTTTATTTAAAAAAAGTGCGAACATGTTGATTTAAAACAAGTTGCCTGTCTATATACACTAGTTTCAATAGCTTTGTGTTTACAATTCTTGGATTTGTGGGAGACGCCTAAACGCGGCGATTTTATACCAAGGTAAAACGCTATTCGGTATTTTGAAGTATGAAAGTGGAAATTAAGCCTAGTAGATGATGGCCTAGAACTGGTAGTTAATTTTAAACGATAAATCCTTTTTGATAGATTTTTAAACATTATTCTTGTCGTTAATCTATGACGCGACGCCAGGCAGTTAACGCGTTCAAACACATATGACAGGTTGATAGAGGACATTCTCGCCCATGTATCAAATAATACCGGTTTTAAATCGTAGTTCAATTTTAGAAAAAATAATGATGGCTTTGCAACCAAACTATAATGCAACAAATTCGTATCACATAATTTTAATTTCGCATCCGGTTTTACGAATGAACATATGATGGAATTCCCGTCAAAAGTGGATAATGACAGTCCAAAACAGATAAAATAAACAAAAAGCACTCGACGTTTCGAAGTTGGAACTAAGCGCCTGCGTCAGGAAAGTTACTCTGGAGAGCTATTCCATACTAAATCTCCTAACAAAGTTGTCAGACCATATTTGATGCGGAATTTTTGAAGACGCTGCCCATTCTTCTTATAACATTATATCAATGTAAAGTCATTGAAAGTGAATGCTCTCCAGTTGACTTGAAATAATAAATCTTTTTGATAGCCTTTTGACTTCCACTACCTCTGAGTTAAGGCCGATCGACACACCCCAGTGTGCATGCGTAGGCCCTTAATCTATGACGCGACGCGATGCGATAATACCAACCGTCCGCCCTATACGTATAACCCTTTGACACACTCAGCCAATTCATTAAACGAAGCTTTAGTTAGCTGCAAAGTTGATTGCAAACATTGCTTGCAACCAACTATAATGCAATAATTAATCGTGTTTTTGCTACAAACTCGCCCTATTTCACGGCAAAAAATAACCCATGAACATTTGCATTACACCGAAATCATATATATTTATCGCCCCCAGATATGTCATGCATGTTTTTAGCCAAAGAGTTTCCTCCCTTGCACATGGTAATCTCTCTGAACAATAGTTCAACAAACTTCTTAATCCAAAAACTCTCCTCTCGTTAGTTTTGTTGACATCTACTCTGTCAATTATTTGTAGTCCCAAATCTCCTAATCCCTCACATGTTATTGTTTAAGAATGTGCATAAAATTACTGGCCGTTGACACGACACGACAAGACAAATTCTGACACATTCCACATTCGGTGACATTTTATCTGCTCTTACCAATCATTTTATCAACTCTTACCAATACATCTACAGTTTTCAGCTATTAACTAACGTTTATAATTTATGTGCGGGTCAAATGTAATTAATATTTATTTAATATTCTTTTTTAGACTATTTCTTCAATATGAACAATTTAATGAAGACTATATCCATTATACTTAAACTCGTGCAAGCTGTAAGAGAAAGTTGCATGCTCATCTTCTTTATCGTTTTTCTAAAGAAATTAGTAATTCCAATATAGACATGCATGTCTTAAAAGAGAGCACATCGCAATTCAGTGGAATTGTTTGGAAGGAGAAATGTTTGGGGATACTTATTAACAAAATACAAATTAGTACTAGACTAAGTCTATATCAACCTTTTAAATACGCGATGTGTATACTTCTTGTCTCTCCAAAAACAGATTTGCTAGACCTACTGCTTTAGAAAATGGCTTCTATAGCTAGGTTTTCATTTAGTCGTGATTGGCGTGAACATGTCAAGGTGGTGGATGTGATCAAATTATGTTACGTGTTTGTGTGTGTGGTCTGCCGTCATATTTGATAAATTTTAGGACACAAAATAAGGAGAAATTTATATCCAGACTATATAGCCATCGCATCGCTGGAAATCATCTTTCACACTAAATGAAAACAATATACTTAGCAACAACCTAGCCTGCATGGTCTAACTTGAAATTTTTATTATTTTTTTCAGCTTCTCTTGCTAATAGGTTTGGGACTTGTGGGTAATTTTACAAAAGAGAAACATGATTCTGACACCGAAAACGATCTACCAACAGATCCTTACGACATAGGGCAATACGGACGATACGAGTTCTACTTGTACTCTGCGTGTATTGGGATAATCATTGCTGTTTTGGGACTTATATGTACAATCTGCGGAATGCTGGAGAAAAAACATGGCGCCATGGGCGTAAGTATATTGCGTGGTGTGCGAAACTCAATAATACTGGTTAGAGCCAGTGAACTCTATATGAACTGGAACGATGACTCGGTCGCCGTCTTCGAAGCCAAGCAGAATTGGGCACTGGTACCAGTCTATTTCTACTGTTTTCGTTATCACGGCCGACGACCCCCCAACAACAACGATAAGGACGGACTGGCACTAGTTTCCAGTTCGCCCTCAAACTGTCTTGGCAGCACGGTCAGATAACCCCGGCAGATCACCGTGAGTTATCGTTCCAGTCTTTTTGGAGTTCTCTGGTTAGAACCCGTCAACCATGGATGTGAAAAAACTGTATCACGCATCCTGGAATAGCATTAATGGCCGGTTATTATACAAATGACATTTTCAACGAATCATACTTTAAAGAGGGGTTACCATTGCTTCTGCGCATCGTTTCTGCTCATAACATTGGCGGACTCCGTGATTTATAAAGTACCCAAATTTCGCGTGTTTTGAATTTCTTTGAACACAAACTCTATCTCTTATTTATTTGGAACAAGACGCCAGCACAAGCGTTCACTCGGGCTACAGTTTACTCGCTTGAGCTTGCATAACGCCTAATTTTTGGTGTTATGGCATTTTCGTGACACCCGCGCGAGAAACGATCCTAGCACGATTTTGATTCGTTTAAAGACTTCGTGCCGCCCACGCGTGGTTTTCGGAAACTCGCAACGCAAAAGAAAAAGCGAGCCCATTTTCCCAACTCGTTCTACAAACGGTAGCCCTAGTAAATATAGCAAACAGAAATGGTAATAAATATTCCCGGAAGACACTGAGGCTAGGTTAGAGATATAATAGCGATACAATATATGAACAAAGCGTTTGTTTACATTATCGACTGTAACCACCTTTAAAATCATTGACTATAGCATGTCTTGTATATTTAATTTCAGTTGGCCGTCGTACAAGTATTGTGGGTGTTTCAGTTGTTAATTTCAACATCTCTGCTTGCCAAAGTTTTGACCACATACAACAAGGAGGGCGATTCAGGGTCGTCAACATGCGAAACATGGGACGACTCAGAAGAGGAGTATTATTGCAGCCAATTGATTGGTGGCGTGGTAAGTATGTAAGAAGACTGTATTATAAAGTATCACAAAGGTATACGCGGGCTCATATTGTCAGTGGGTGTCTATACAAAATTAGGATATGTCGGTGAAAAGGAAGGTTGTTTAAAAAGTAATTACCATAAACTGCAGTTCATGGAAAAATATTCGTTTTTCCGTTTAGGTATGTGGCTTTTTTGCTGTGGGTGCGTTTGCTCTGGACACTGTCATTTCCTTTCTCACTTTCAACCAACCTGAAGCGTAATTCTAAAGTTGCGAAGCTGCATTTGCTACTCAACTATCATTCGCGGCAATCCAATGAACATTTTATAACAAATATCGCTACGAAGTTCCTCTGAAAATTTTTGAAATCACTCTAAGCAGACTGCCACTATTAGCTCCTAAAACATTCTGACGTATTTTTGCATGCTTACGTTTGTATTGATAACATTTATGTTGATTAAATACCTCATATAACAAATATTAGTATATGTTTAGTTAATTTTCAGACTTTGCTTTCTCATATTCTGTCCATGCACTTCTTTATGTCCCATCGGTCGAAATGTGGAGAAATTGCTTGGTCTTTTTTATGCAGTTGTTATGGTTCCTCATTTGATTCGAAGTTTTTAGGATCATTGCAGAAAATGTGGCCTTATTTTCGTTGTGACTATGATTTATTATGAATAGATTTATCATGATATAGATCCGTGTCGTGAAAAGTGTTATGCACGATGGGAAGATAACGGTTACCACTCCCATCATGCATCATTACTTTAATTTCTTATTCAAGGTGCAGGTACGAGTCAGATTCTGCATTTGCCTTCCGGATTTCTCAAACTGTTCTATAGAGCTTGTGCATTGAGCGACGAGCGTAAAGTTGCATTCGGAACGAAAGTCAACAATCTAACAAGTCGACACACACAGGTAGGCAGAAGTGCAAGAACACCTGCTCGATATTAGTTTACGGTGCGAAATAGTATACGGTTGTGTGGTTTAAACAGGCTAATCATGCACTGATGCACACAAGGCCTTTACCAGCGCAATGTTCTGTTATGCGAAAACACGCTTTGTTAATCTCTGAATAGAATTGATTGAGAACATATATGTTTATGTATGTGAGGGACATAGGGACAATTTATACACATACTTGTGAAATGTCATTTTCATTTTGCAAGCGCTTATATATATTATGCAATTAAAACTATCATTATAGATAGCAGTTTGAATCAAATGAGGAAACGGTGGGCATAATTCGTGAATTTAGCGAGCTGTGGTATCAAATAAACGGATAGGGCGCGTTATTCTATACCCTTATAATACGGGCCTTTGGCGTGCAAGACGGCAACGCCATGGCGACGGCTGAAACAAACGCTTTTATATAAATGATACGCTTAAGAGTCGCCGTACGATAGTGATCTGAAGAATTAAATGTTGTGTATAAGATGCTTAAAACATGCATTGAGTACACAATGTTTGGTAACAATTCCATGTGGCCCAACTTGAGTTGAACTGCGTCTTCGACTTCAAGTTGGTTGACACTGTACACAAGGCATGAAACTCAAGATTTACCCGTTGTAAACACAGCATTGACCGCGTTTCAAACTCCTGGAAGTCCTTAATTATTCATTCTCAGACTCATTCTATTGATATATAGCCACCGTCGTTGTGTTTCATTTCCGTCCTACATGCATGCTTGGGTTCCTATTTCACAGCAATCAACGCGTAGTCCCAAGTCATGCGATTTTAAAGACCTATAGGCTATAAGTACATTAATTTTATCACTCTCAGAAAACAACAAAACCATTAAAGTAGTATATCTAAATATAGTATATAGTGTCTAGTATTGTGCATAAAGCCACCTGCTCATTGCATAATTTATACGTAAACTATCTTAAAAATGCAAATATCCTTACAAGCTGACGAGTCTTTAATAGAATTTATAGAAAGTCAATGAAATTCAAGTTATTGGATTCAGATAAAATTTGACATTGAGTACCAGATATCTCGAATAAAAAATATATTTAGAAACTTAAAGGGAACTTTCTATGCCACTATAGCTTTCAAGAAATGTCTTCTATATAAGCTGTTATGCATTTACTACGGCGGCTAAGCCTTCGCTCTAGCGAATTGTTATATCCTAATGGACCACTTATATCCTAATCGACCAACTTTTGATTTAGTGAAAAGTGATTTAGTGCATTGTAAATAATAAACTACTGGAAATATAGCTTATTTTAACCTATCTTCCCTTCTCTTAGGAAAATCGATGACCATGGATATGGGCATAATGAAGACGATTTCTATAGCAGTAAAGTGGGTTGCGTTTGTAAGTGTAATTTTCTAACATTTATATGTATAGTTCATTCATATTTTATATCAAACATAAAATATATTAGAAATTAGGACCCTTATGGTGGTTTCATGAAGACTTCTTTCAATACCTCAAAATTATCTCAAGTTTCGTTGAGTCTAGCGAGGGTAACCGGGTTGCAAACATGTAAAGGCCTGCACTTGCACGTACGTGTATACGCACTGAAATCGCACGCGTTGACAGCTGCCTTGACGGCCGCGCGTCAACGACCGGCTTAGCGACCAGTTTCGAGTCACCGGGCATGCGCCAAATAAGGCCGCACTGATAGTACGTGCAAGTGGAGGCCGGCCTTTAGGGGCTGTTTACATGAGCCTGGTTACCCGAGATTCAACGAAGCGTCAGATGATTTTGAGGTATTGAAACGAGCAGATAACATGATCCTGGTAGTCGTATAATCACCACAACAATATCATGTGCTTGTTTGGTGTCATAAAGACTTATTTCAATACCACAAAGTCCTCTCACGCTTAGTTGAATCTCGGGTAACCGGGCTCATGTAAACAGCCCCTTTGGCCTAGGTTAAACGTCGCATTTTGGTCGCGTCGAATGCAATTCAAACAATAGATAATGAGATGATAATTAAGCTTAATGAGGTTTATCATCTCATTATTGAATTGCATTCGACGCGACCAAAATGGGACGTTTAACCTAAGCCTAATTTATTAAAAAAATTGTTTTGCTTGCAGATTCTTATGATGATAGGTGTCGGCTTTGTCAGTTTCTTCACGAAGGAATACAGCGATGAACTGAGCAAAGGCAATCCTAAACCGGATCCTTACGACCTTGGCCAACTCGGACGATACGAATTTTATCTGTGCACTGTCATTATTGGTTTAGTGATCGAGCATATTGGTTTTGTGTGCGTATTACGTGGATATTTGCTGAAAAAACACAGCGCAATGTGCGTAAGTATTCATCATCGTACAGTATGTGAAAAACGAAAAACAACTCAATTCCTGCCGACCGTGAAAAAGAAAAAGATGGTTACCCAAACAAGATCTTTCGCGTAAATCCTTCTTTTTAGTATCATTTCAGACAAAATTGACATGGGACATGAAGACTTGGACAAAAAACAAAGACAAATGATCTTTCAAACGCCAGATTTAGGCTATCAACCTAAAACAGCACGCAAATCATTTTAGCGCGGTGGAGTTTCTTATAACGACGTCAATGTTGCCTTAGGTTTGATTGGTTCGTTAGTTTTTCGGAGCCAATGAAACGTAGTGTGACATTTCCATCTCGCGTTTAACGTCATTACGAAAAAGATCTATTAAATATTAACGTTGTTATTAATATTCAGCTTTGCATACATTTATTTAGTTTGTAAGGTGTCTTTTTGAGCATCTTCCATTATTTTCTTCTCAAAATTTATACTGGTATTTTGCCCAAAGCCCTAAATTCGAGGAGAGAGAATACTTCGCTTTAGTCATGGAAAGAGCGATCCAATCTCTGGGAACGAGTTTGTCTACAATGCTCGGTGTTTATTTCAGATGGCCGTCGTGCAGGCATTGTGGGCGCTCCAGCTGATGATTTCAACAGCCCTGCTTGCCAGAGTTCTGACCACATACCAGAAAGAAATATCTCCAGGTCAATCGTACTGTGATTACTGGGACGAGTTACCAGAAAGGAAGTACAAGTACACCTGTACCCAACTAACCATTGGAGTGGTAAGCACGCATGCGTGTAAATCAGTAAATGTCCAAGATAACTTATCTATACAGCGTATTCCCGGGGAACTGGAACCTGCATAATTAATTGTGTATTCGCTGAAAATATATTTACGAGAGAGCCACAATCAACTCGTATATTAAATGGAAAATATGAACGAATAATTTGAATGAAATTGTACTGCTGAGAAAATTCGGCTTGATGGATTGATTTGTATAGCGCTTATCAAGTTCTATTAGGATTATACGGAAGGATATTCGAGTAAAAGCGGAACCCGAATAATTTAATAATTATGCATGTATTCGCTAAAATTATATTCACATTGACGTAATTATTTTTCACTCTAGTTTAAAATTTATCAGAGCTATGCCTCTTGAAGTTCACATGTTTTTAAGTTTTAAGCTACTGTAAAAATAACGACATCAGCGTGAATATAATTTTAGCGAATACATAATTAATTAATTCGGGTTCTGGTTTTACCTTGGAAAACCCTTGTATAATCCTGATAGAAACTTGATAAGCGCTATACAAATCAATCTATTAAACCCAATTTTTTTCAGCAGTACATTTTCGTCCAAATTATTCGTTTCATATTTTCCATCTAATATATGAATTGAATGTGGCTCGAATTTAAAAAAAATATATATCAATATATAGCCTGCTTGTTTTCTGTTATAACTCTGTATTAATGGTATTCATGAGTAAAATTCTGTTAACCAAATTCAACTGGTCTGCGAGAAACTATATTCAGGAATAATAAACACCTAACTTTAATACATTTTAGGTATGTGGCTTCCTTGCAATGGCTACGTTTGCTGTGGACAGCATTATCTCAACGATTTTTGTTCTGAAGTCAGAAAATTGATTTGAACCTACTATATTCTTATATATGATTAGTAGAAAATCATGTGATATTATAAACAACCTGTGGACCTTAGCATACTTATGACCATAACATATTACCACAAATATCGCTACGAAGTTCTGGCAAAAATTTTTAAAATCATTAATGCTTAGTAGACTGTCACAATATTGTACATTTTGATGTATTCTTGCATATCTATGTTTGTATCTGTGTAGCGTGATTGCCATTAATTTATGTTGATTAAATACTTTCTAACTCATATAACAAATATTAAAATGTGTTTAAATACTTTCAAACTTCGCCTTACAAGTTCTGTTCCTGTTTCTTTTTTATTTTAGGAATAGCCCTTTCTTGTTGTGATTGAGTCAGCTGTAAGTTCCTATTACGAAGGTCATTACTGGGCTGAACTTCTTTAATTAAGCCATTCTTGGCTGAAGCCATTCTTGGCCAATTGGTCAAATTTGTCCCAGGAGCAAGCGCATCACATACTAATTTACGCGTTATTAGGCATCTGACTCGTTTTTAGTCGTTACAATACAGTAAATGATCCTCACGAGAACGTATATAGATCAGTGTCGTCAAAAACGTGATGCATGATGGGAACGATAACGGTAAACACTCCCATCATGCACGGTTACTTTAGAGGCGGGTACGAGTAAGATTTAGCGTCTCCTTCCAGCCTGCTAAAGCTGTTCCAGAGCGCTGTGCAACAACGACAAGCTCAAAGTTGCATTAGGGCAAAAATTTGAAAAAACAACAGAAAGTTCGAAGATCTTCACACAATTGAACGACAAATCGATACTCAGGTAGGTACAAGTGTTAAATGCGCCTTGGTTTAAACCGACTAGACATACAAGATTTTTCTAACGAGTGAGGCCCTTATCATGCTAAAACACTCTGTAAAATCTGTATAGAATTCACTGGGAACATAATTAATCACGAGGTCGAATTTATGTAACATTTTTTCACTAACATGTATGCTGGAGACAAAGATCTAATTTATAAATTTAGATATGAATTATAAGCATGTTTGGACGGCAACGCGACAAAGGATGGTTGAGACAAACTACTTTAAATAAATGTTTTGCTGTAAAGAGTTGGTGAAGAGTTGCTCAGTATGTTTTTAATCTTATGAATTTAACGAGATGAAAGACGTTGAAAACATTGGGTTAATATTTGAAAACAGTTCTATCGGGCCCAACCTGAGGTAGCGCTAGCTGCGTCTTAAAGTTTAAACGTTGTAGACAAGGCGCGAAAGATATCCGAGATTTACTGTTGTAAATATTGCCGCGTGGACGACGTCTGAAACTGCCCAAAATGTTAATTATTAATTCCTTTTAAATGATTCAGTGCATTTTTGATGGGCTGCAGAGTCGTCGTACGTTTCAGTTCTACATGCTTAAGATCCCCTTTTGCACAGGATTCAACGCATAGTCGCAAATTATGCGATTTTGAAGACATAAGATGTCATATTTATGAATTCCAGAAAACAGTCAGTAAGAAATTTTTGGAATATAAACCACATGCTGACTGCATATATCCATCACATAAAAATGCTAATGCGTCAATTTATTATCTTCGCATCAAGTCTTGACTCAAAGTCAATGAAATTCAAATTATGAGATGGAAAAGATATTGAAATTGGGAATAAATATCTTGAATCGAAAAACTAGATTGGGAAATGTACAATAACACTTTTCTTGGTATAAGTTTTCGAAGAATCGATACTTTTCATAGCTTTCCACATTCGTAATTCTAGGAATTAGGTCAGCGACGCGTGCTTTTTCTAACCACGTCGTAAACATGCATGCATGTGTCAAATTGCTTTTGTTAGCGAGTGTGTTGAAATTATATTAACGAGATAAACTATATAAATAAATGCTTATTTGGCGTAGTGGCGTAGCTAGCGTCGATGATTGGGGCTCGAATCCACTTATCGTATATTCATGTTAGCGGACAGTAAAGACAATCAGTTGGAGACGAAATCGATCATGCAGAATATCTGGCAATAACTCCCCAAAAATTCCAGAATCGAGCTGCTAGATTAATTATGACTTTCAAAAGTCGTACTTAGCTCGTACCGCTCTTAGTACTTGTATACAACTCTCAAAGAACGTAGAGCATTCATGAAGGCCAAACTTATGTATAAAACAGTAAATCAATTAGCTCCACTCAAGGCTCTCACTCAGGTCGGAACGTCGAGAAGTGTTTTTGTCTATATTATATTTTAGGAAGTTGTTATATCATGCACATTTGATGCATAAATATTTTGCCTTTTTTAGAAAATTCGTTCAACATGAAGCTGCCCTCAATAATGAAGTTGAGCTCTGCTGTTATCAAGTGTTTTAAGATTGTAAGAGAACTGTTTGTTTCAACCTCCATATCCCGAAGATAAAGTAATATTCGTTTTGCTTACAGGTTGCACTAGTGCTGGGTACTGCCTTTATTGGTATTTTTATGACACAATACACAAAAGAACTGAGCAAAGACAATCCTCAACCAGATCCTTACGACACTGGCGAACTCGGACGATACGAATTCTATCTGTGCACTGCTGTTTTTGGTTTATTAATGGAGTTTTCAGACTTAATGTTTTCAGCACGGGATTTGAAGAAAAAATATGGCGCGGTGAGCGTAAGTATGCTTGTGATATCCGACTGAAAACCAAAAATTTCAACTCAATTAATATTCCTGTCGGCCTCTAGCGAGAAAAATAGTTGATTTTCCGAACAAAATCTGCCACCTAAATTCCATTTTAGTATGAATCCCTAACCAGACAATCTTAAAAAATATAAGATGAAACATAAATTCCAATTCAAGATTGGAGCTGTAAACTTTTAACCGAAAGCCGCACGCAAATCATTTAAGCGGTGAAATTGTGACCAGCTGCATGCATTTTAAGAATTCGAAATTACCGGCAGACCTTTTTTATAATGACGCTAAGTGACGAGTTCGTTTATGGCTATGTGCACACGAGCGTCGTGTTTCGAGCGTTTTCAAAATCGTTTTTATCTCAGTTTATCGCTTTGCCATATCGCTGGACCAGGCCTACGCCTCAGATGTGAACGTTGTTTATCCCGTTTAGACCAGGTCTGAACCTTGGGATTTTGTGGCCTAGACCAGGTCTGGATCCAAGCCGACAGTGGCCTGGACCTGGCCTGGAGCACGATTTTGGCAATGTGAACCTTACCTAGTTCGACAAATTTTCAACCTAATAGTATGATTCGTATAGGATCCATACTAGCGGTACCACCACTTTTCAGCGTGTTTTGAGTCTTATTCCAATTATTTTGGCTATCCGATATCATCAACAAGGAAGACAGTGTGAAAGTAGCACATATATTACCTAAACTTGTCCTAGACCTGATCCAGGCGAGACTTAGGCCTCTATTGTAAACGTGGCTTTTGACGCCCTAATTGTCCATACGATCCAAAGGAAAATATGTTAAATTAGCTTCAACATCTATTGTAAATGAAAACGAAATTGAAAACGCTAGAAAACGTTATCATTTGCAGATGACAGAGTCGCTAATGCTCAGTGTTTATTTCAGATGGCCATCGTGCAGATATTGTTGGCTTTCCAGTTGATGATTTCAACAGGTCTGCTTGCTGAAACCTTGACCGCATACCAGAAAGAAATCTCTTCAGGCAAATCGCACTGTGAACACTGGAACGAATTGTCTAACAGGAGGGGCGAATATACTTGTACCCAATTAAATATTGGAGTGGTAAGCATTTGTATAAATAAACGTGTAAGACTATAATTTTCTATAATCCTCTATAACTATAGACAAAGAAATAAACGGCTACGATCAATTTATCATACCGAATTTTCTCATCAACACAATTTCGTTCAAATTATATTATTCGTTTCATATTTTGCTTCTAATATAAAAAATAATTGTGCGTTGAATTTTTAAAAATTGATATATTGTTATAGCCTAAAATGTTTGATTTCTTTGCATGCATATACTGTTCGCAGTTGCTACAACTCTGTATTAGTGGTATTTATAAGTGAAATTCGGTTAATCAAATTCAACTGATCAGCGAGAAACCATATTGAAGAATAATAAAACACCTAACTTTAATACATTTTAGGTATGTGGCTTCATTGCAATGGCTATGTTTGCTGTGGACAGCATTTTCTCAATGAGGTTTTTTTTCAAGCCAGACGCTTGATTTAAACCTACTCGCTATACTTGCTATATTCTTATGATTAGTAGAAAATCAAGTAATATTATAAACAACCAGTGAAACTCATATGTAGCCTTCCCATACGAATTGATATAGTTTTCGTTGTCATTTGTCAAAATCGCAGGTCAAATCAGGTGCATTTTAGAGTTGAAGCCTTGAGGGAGTCCTTCTACGTTGAAAAATATTTATTTAGGCCAAAGAGAGTCGAAGGCCCGAGCAAAGGAAGGCCTTCTTTCATCTACTTCAGACTTTGCTCCTCAGTATTTCGCAGACCAATCTCAGTACGGGCGTACGAATAAAATTATATCAAAATGAAACAGCTTTTATTAAAGTCAGAAAAGCAGTGAAGGATGGATTTTGAAGAGCAGTAGTTGGAATTCACGCAAAAATTTATGCAGATATAGCTTTTCAAAATCGGTACCGTAGAATCAACATTGTTTGCAGAGCTGCTATCATGGTATAACCACATTGTGCCAAGCATGCACATAAACTTAATGAGTAAAAATATTTTCCATAATAGAGCATGGTTAATGACCATGACATTTTACCACAAATATTGTTACGAAGTTCTGGTTAAAATCATTCTAAGACTGGCTTTATATTATTGTAGACTCGGATGCCTTCTTGCATATTTATGTTTGTATATCTATAGCGCGATTGCCATTAATTTATGTTTATTAAATATTTTCTACCTCGTATAACAAATCTTAAAATGTGTTTAAATATTTTCAAACTTCGCCTTATACAAATTCTGTCCCTGTATCTCTTTTTTGAAACAGTTTTTACGATCATTGTAGGAAGAATAGCCTTTCCTTGTTGCGATAGCGTCAGAGTAAGGCTATCACTGGGCAAAAGTACTTTAATAAAGCATTGTGGCCTCTGATTGGTCAAGCACTATGAACCCAAAACTGTCCCAGTAGCAAGCGCATCATATATTAATTTACGCGTCATTAGTTATCTGACTCGTTTCCCGTCGTTGAAACAATAATTGGAGAAACAATGAATCCACGAGAACGTATATAGATCAGTATCGTGAAATGTGATGCATGATGGGAAAGACAACGGTGAAACTCCCATCATGCACCATTACTTTTCGTATTTCAGGGGCGGGTACGAGTCAGATTCTGCATTTGCCTCCCAGCCTTTTAAAGCTGTTCCAGAGCGCTGTGCAACGAGCGTAAAGTTGCATTAGAGCAAAAAATTTGACGCAAAAACAAAATTTCGGAGATCTGCAATTGAACGACAAATCGCGATACTCAGGTAGGTACAAATGGAAATGCACCACGGTTTAAACATACTAGACATACAGGACTTTTAACGAAGCAGACCCTTATCATGCTAAAACATTGTCTCTAAAATCTGTATAGATTTCACTGGGAACATGATTAATCACGAGGTCGAATTTATTTAACATTTTTCACTAACATGTATATGTTGGGGACGAAGGTCCGATTTATAAATTTATATATGAATTATAAGCATGTTTGGACGGCAACGCGACAAAGGATGGTTGAAACAAACTACTTTGAATAAATATTTTGCTAAATAGTTGCTGTATGTTTTTAATCTTACGAATTTAACGGAATGTAAATGTTGAAAACATTAGGTTACTGTTTGGAAACAATTCTTCGGGGCCCAACTTTAAGAAACGCCAGCTGCATCATAATGTGTAGACCCTGTACACAACGGGCGCGAAAACTCTCGAGATCTACTGTTGTAAACACAGCGTGGACGGCATTCGAAACTCCCAAAAATTCTTAATTATTAATTTCTTTTCATTGACTCATTGTATTATTGATGGACACAATCGTCGTGCGTGTTCCAGTTCTTTACTTGCTTGAAGTCTCCTTTGCGCATGATGCAACGCGTGGATGCTAATCATACGATTTTGAAGACACCAGTTCATATATTTATCAATTTCAGAAAAGAATAATTTTTTGGGATATAAACCACATGCTGACCACATATATCCATAACATAAAAATGCTAATGTATATATATTTATCATCCTCGAATCGTATCTTAGAAGGTCATGCAATGAAGTTCAAATTATAGGATTATGGGGAAAATTGGCATTAAGTACCAGGCATTTTGAATCGAAAAACGAGATTGGGAAATGTACAAAAAATTTATGATTTCTTAGTACATCTTCTCGAAGAATTGATACTTTTTATAGCTCTTTCACATTCGTGATTCTAAGAATTAGGCCAAGCAACGCGGCTTACTCAAAACCACATCGTAAATACGTGTTAATTGCATGCTTTTGTGGATGTTTATAAGCTTGGCGGGGGGGTATGCATATATAATACTTATCATATTCATGCATTGGTTGGAACAAATCATTATTTACTTCATCTATTAATAATGCTATAATTTTAAAACTTTAGGTACATAATATTACTTAAATTGCAACTTTACCATAAGCTGGTGGTAACTCAGCTTTTTTCTATCCTTAAAGGTTTGGAAAAGACTCTTTTGGCACACCAGGTATATAGATCGTGTTCAAGCTATCAGCTGAGCTAACGACCTCACAAGGCAGTAAGCTCAGACCGAAAACCATCTGCAGACGTGAGAAACTTGCCTTTCGAGGCGAATTCGTTACGAAAACCTATCCGCACAAGAGAGTAACTTGCTGAGCTAACAGCCACGCCTGGTCTTTACCTCAGCTAATAGCTCACGCGTGCGGCGGGCTTTAATGGGTATTGTAATTTTCTCTAACATGCATTCCTGGAAACTTTACTTCACACAATTTTCCCCGCGCACTCTCATAGGAAAATGAAATGCTCACAATTTCACCCATTTAATTTTTTTCCCAGAATTTTCTACGCCACTAGCTATGAGAAAATGTCTCGTAAGTGATACATTTACTACAACGGCTTAGTCGTACAGTTAATATTATATCCTAACTTAAGATTCTGGTAATAATAATGCTGCTTATTTTCAATCCTTTTACCTATTTTTCTTTTTTAGAAATCGTAAACTTTTTCAACATAAATGTGCCCATATTGAAGATGATTTCGATTGGATTCAAGCCTGTTCAGAGTGTAAATGAACCAAACTTTCAAACTTATGTCAATCATAAAATTTATAAGAAATTAGCTGATTTATAAGAAATTAGCTGGTGTTACGCAAACAAATAATTATAATTATAATTATATAATGCGCGTCAACGCGCGGAGGGTAACGCAACATTAGAGACTTTTCCTAGTCACTGATCTATAAATATCTCTATCTATAAATATCACTACTGATCTATAAATGTCCAACTAAGGGACTGCGGAGTCAGAGAAATTAGGACTCTTGAAGTATCCAAGATGACCCTGCTTAACTTACTTCATTAGCGATTGTTTAACAAAGCGTTAAATATTAATTTTGATATTTCATGATATGGAAACGAGTAAATACCATGAAAAATAATCTTAAATCATCTGATTCTCAAAACCATCCTGCGCTTCGTTGAATCTCGGGTAGCCGGGCTCATGTAAACAGCCTCTTTTTGAAATTTACCTTTTTGCTTACAGCTTTTACTAGTGACAGGTGTTGGACTTGTTAGTTATTTTACGAGGGAATACAGGTTTGAACTGAGCAAAGGCAATCCTCAACCAGATCCTTACGACATTGGTAAACTTGGACGATACGAATTCTATCTGTACACTGCCAGTGTTGGTATAATAATTTCCGGTTTGGCCCTTGTGTGTATATTACGTGGACTTTTGGAGAAAAAATATGGCGCAACAAGCGTAAGTAAGGCCTAGGTTAAGCCGGTTTTCCACTAGCGATATTTTTCGCGCGAAGCGACTTTATTCTTTTGTTTTTGAGCAATTTGTTCCAGATGGTTGCAGTTGAGAGGCGCCCTGAAAGAAAAGTAAAATGTCGCTTTGCGCGAAAATGACGCTAGTGGAAAACCGGCTTTATACGTCGCATTTTGGTCGCGTCGAATGCAATTCAAACAATAGATAATTGATAAAGAGATGATAAACCTCATTAAGCTTCATTATCATCTCATTTCATTATCTATTGTTTGAATTGCATTCGACGCGACCAAAATGCGACGTTTAACCTAGGCGTAAGTTTATGGTAATAAAAACGAAAAACTAAACTCAATTCCTGACGACTTTGAACGAGAAAAAAGGTTTCCCGATACGAGATATCACGTAAATTTTGAACTATCCTGAACCCCCTTACCAGCAGTAGTGGCTACGCTTGACAATATGTCCCGCTATGCTAATATTTTGGTGTTTATTGACTGCGAAAACAACGAATTTCTAAAGATATGAATAATTATCAGTAATAACTCGAAATTTACATAGCGGGACAAAATCGTCAGGCTGGCTACGCCACTGCATGCTTACCAGACAATTTCAAAAAATAGTAATTTAAACATACGCTGACAAAACAAAGACATTTTAATTTTTCAAACTCAAGATTCGAGATTAAGCTCGAAAGAGCAAGAAATTATGGAAGCGGTGAATTTATTCCAGTTTCATCTCATCAAATCACAAATAGACCTTTCTTAATGACATCAAGCGCGAAGAGTCTAATCCTAAGATGTCACATGATGTTTGATTGGTTCGTTCGTTTTGCGGAGCCAATAGAACGTTGTGTAACATTTCCATGCGGCGTTCTACGTCATTATGAAAAAGGTACATTGAATATTTCCGTTGTTTTGAATATTCAACTCATATCTTTAGGGCGTAAGATGTCGTTTTTGTCGGAGTATGTTTCATCTTATTTCAATTTAGTGATAATCTGGTAACAGGGCTCAAACTCGAGAAGAGAGAATATTTCGCTCCACTGTGAAAAAAGCGAATACTCTGGAGATGAACATGGAAGAATTTCGTTTTACACCAATCAGGAAGTTTGTTTACATTTTCAGTAACCCAATCAGAATGCATAAATTTAGATTACTTCCGGTAAAAAGGCACATTATTTACCATTTTACATGAAGTATTAAAAATTTAGGCGTTCTGATTGGCTGCCTGAAAAATGTACACAAATATGCCGAAATTCCTCCTTGTTCTGGTGATGCGTTTGTCCATAATGCTCAGCGTTTATTTCAGATGGCCATTGTGCAAGCATTGTGGGCGTCCCAGTTGATGATTTCAACAGCTCTGCTCTTTAAAGTCTTAACCACATACCAGGAAACAACTGCATCTGGCACACCGTACTGCGAATACTGGAACAAATTGCCAGAGAGGGAGTATCACCACACTTGTGGCCAGTTAATCGGTGGAGTGGTAAGCACGTCTAACTACTGATCTATATATACTTGATCCGCTACATTGACGCGCGTGATAAATCTATTGTTTGTTTAAGACTTAAGTAATATTAAAAACACACGATGATAAATCATATTTAAATTTTATCATATTTTAAATTACTTCAAATACGCCGCATCGTTGTTGAGCAATAAATTTGCTCCATGTATGCAAATGGTAATTTGGACGAAACCTTATATCAAGAATACTAATGACTAGTAATGAGCGTGACAAATTCTATAATGTGTCATTCCAATTGGTATGAATTAATAATGATTTTTTGAAGTTAGTATATAGCATATGTAGCTTGACTAAGTGAATTAAACCACTTTTGCCTAATTCAAGGTCACATGCATAGAAAACGGTGGCAAAAGACGCTATATTTGCTATTTGCTTTGATAGTGTTTGAGATATAGAATTATGAAAGGAATGACTCCATCGATAACGCTCTCCCTGACCCGTGGTGATGATGCAAAAATTGAAGTGAGAATTAATTAAGTTAATCAGGAATTAATCGGCTTAATAATCATTATAAAATAAACTGTTATAAACAATCATCACAAAAAACACCTTACTTACTAATGTATTTAGGTATGTGGTATCTTTGCATTGGCTCTGTTTGCTCTGGACAGCATTATCTCAATGATTTTTGTGCTCAAGTCAGAAGCTTGATTTGAACCTATAATTTATATATACTTGCTATATTTAGTAATACTATATTTTATCATTATATCATTTTCTTGGTATAAACTTAAGGGAAATTATCGATATATCATAAACAATCAAACTGATGTAATTTTAATTGATATAATCGTCGAATGTAGAGTATTGAATGTGAATGTGTGTAGTGTTGAAATTCTCAAATATCCGTGTTAATTATTTTTGAAAAATTCTTTATCCTACAATTAGACAGATCAAGCCCCGGATGCTAAGCCTAGCGCCTATTGGCTACATAAATGCCTCCTTAGTAACCACGTTAGCAACAAATAAAATTTGTATTAAAAATCTTATATTCGTTTTTTAAGGAAAAGCAGTGTTTTTTTGAACTGGTTTTACTACCTTAGACATCCTGAAATGATATTTTAGGAAAGAAAACATTTGGAAATAGAAAAAACTCGTTTAAAAACAACATATTTTGGGCTCGGACATCGTGAACATCTGAAGCTTGGATTTCCCCTGCATTAACGCGCTCCTCAGGTTCTCCTCGATGCCCCCTCTAATGTTATTTATAATGTCTATGCCTAGGACGTCATGAAAAATGGCGTGGATGTGGTGTGATATATTGTGCTTACGTCATAATTAAGGCATTTTCACGGCGTCTTAGGCAGCACGTTGTGTTTGCTAAATTTGGCTAATAACAATCTACGACTGAAACGGATGACGAAGTGCACTTTGCTAGAATACACAACTTGGAAACAAGGAAAAAACACTTGATATCACTGACGTAAACGTTTACCCTGACAAAGAGAAATTAGATAATAACTTTTTTTATCGTTTGCCCTTCAAAGAATTTCGTTTCACTTCAGGAAATTTGATTGCGTGCATGCTTAAAAAGTGTATATTTACCATGTTTCTCCGAATTATTGATTGAAAATGTTATAAAATCAACTTAAACGTGTACGCACATGCAACGTTTTGTAGATCAAAAAACCCGTAAAGATGCATATGTTGTTGTTCCCAAACACAACTTCCTGTCACTCCCATTGGCAAAACGGCTGCAAAGTTCTTTTAATTGAAGGAAATTGCACTTGTTATAAACATACTTTGACATACGTGTAAAGAATGCATATATATAATTCTACAACATCCCGCTAAGAGCTCACTGGGAACTGTGAACAAAGCTGAGCGGAAAGTTAAGTAAAGCTGAAAGGAAAATTAACGAATAAGCAATTAATAATAAAATACCGAGGCTTCAACTTAAAGGTATGTATTATAACATTTTTTGATAAGCTTTTAGCAGAATACACCTACCGCAAAATCATCGAAGCGCCAATGAGATTAGACAAGATTTAACGAATAAAAACTTACTTTGGGAAGAAACATTGATAGTTTTACAAATGTATACAGTCAAGCAGTGACATTTTGTTTGAGATTACTACGAAATTCAGTGTGATATTTCCTGGGAACCTAAGAATATTTCTATATATCAAAAACAATCAACGACTAAATTAAATACGGATGATAAAGTGTATGTATATATATAATATATTCATACATATTGCTACGGAATAAATAATTTCTTAGGAAAATATAAGAAAAGTAATACCGCGGATGTCTAAAAAAATGTGCATGCACCTTTGATTGAAAATAACTTCTTAGCGAGTTAACGTTCTAAAATTCTTTACAATAAGAGAAAATACTAAGATATTATTATTAAACTAAGTATTTTATATGCATTTTATAATAGAGATATTACTTTTTGAAATCGGTATAGGTATACATTATTCAAAATACGCTGTATGAAAATTATATTTACGACTAAGGTAGTAGACATTTACGAATGTCTGTTGACATGCAGTGGCCACGTACGGCTAATGTGAACGAAATATGGATGGATACTGAATTCTCTACAATTTTCTAATTTAAGCCTATTACGCATCGCCCATGCAGCATATATGTCTCTCTCAAAGTTATTATTTCTGGGTTAGAGACTGTTGTGTTTTGTGTTGTGTTGTGTTTTTGTTCACAAATAAACGCACGCGCTGATCATAAAATAAACGAGAAATTTCAATATTGAAATTGAAATTTCGAGTTAATTGAATAGTCGGCAAGTGCATTTATTTGTAAACAAAACACGAACATAGAGTCTCTACACTTGTAATATACAATCTGAGTTCATTGATTGCTGTATTGAAGATCCAAGCTTCGTTGCAGGCTGTCATTTTTGAATAAACCATGATTTTCATGGGTTATATTGCGAATAAACCACGATTTTCATGGGTTATATTGCGAATAAATTATGAGTAAATGAATAAATTAGTTACACATTTCCGCACGTAATACAAAAGTATACAAAATTTGCCAACTTCGCATGGCTATATTTTCCGTATTTTACAAAATTTCGCAGCCAAACTTGGCAGTTTTACTAATTTAAGTAAGATCTTTCTAGCTGGGGTGATTTATTTTCCTCTAGTTACTTCGATCAAAAGTTAGTCTAAAGCGCAAGTCGTCTATTAGGCCACATGTATTTACTAGTTACAATCATATTGCATGCATTCGTAAATAAAAGAGAAAAGAAAAAGAAGCATTAAGAGTGTTGAAGTAGATTATAGAGCATGCATGCATATAATTATTATAATTAATGCAATTTTTGTCGCTATCTGCATGTCACTCTTTGTCTTTTTAATCAAAATACAAAAAAAATGGTAGCGAGATAGCGAAATGAAGGTCGAATTAATCTTTCTCACTTTTACACTTGAAGATGATTCGCCATTCTCAGAAATATATAGTGATGGGGGTAGATTAGGGTTAAACTATTATTTACTCTTCATTAGATACTCTCAAGATGGTAAACGTAAAGATTGTTTCAATTGTTTTAAAGATTTTTCAATTGGTAAGAAGATAACGTTAACTAGATTCATCAAAATTCATGATCCTAGACATGTATTAATGTATTTCATTCTTGTTTTCAGGGCCCGTTAGTGGCTGGAATGGGCGTAATTGCCTTTTTTATAAAGGAGTTTCACAGTTATCTGGAGGAAAGTTTTACTCATTTAGATCGATACGATGCTGGAGTCTTGGGAAGATACGAGTTTTTCCTATTTATAGCGTTTGCGTTGGAATAATAATTACTGCCATTGGATTGGTTGGTGTGTTCAGCGGACTTTTGGAGAAAAAATATGGCGCACTTTCAGTAAGTCTTATATATAACGGTTCTCAATAGACGTGAAATATCGCCACAAAGATTGATTACTATGTGTATCCAGTCGGATTTGGCATTGGTTGTGCTCATAACAATGCGGGCCCGCAAATTTTAAAATTTCCTGAATTTTGCATATTTCGGATTCTTCTGGAGACGGTCGATATAGTTCATTTAAAGCCATAGTGAATAAATAGTATGCGCATGAGAGGCGTTTGTTTACATTACGACTCGACATCATCTTATAGGTTGATAAATTTTAAAGGATACGCTGAAAATACTGTATAGATGACTATAACTGATGTTTTAGCTGCCATTTCAAAACATTCCCATATATCTCGTATAACAATACGAAATTGTAATTAAGCATGATCACCGAAACTTTGACGGGCCTTAAAGCAACAAACCTTGAAACTTTTATTTCCTAGATGACCGCACTGCAAGCACTCTGGGCATTTCACTTACTGGTCGCAACATCCCTTCTGGCTAAAGTCCTGTCTACAAACGAAGAAACATTTCAGATAGGTATTTCGTTTCGCCGGTTACCTAGAGCCACTTCGTTATGCAAACAATGGGATGAATTAGACGACTACAAGAAGTACGACTTCAATTGTGGCCAATTATATGGCGCAGTGGTAAGCTATGAAATGTCATTATAATACAACATTTATAGTACGCGCGTGTTGATTGGTCGAGAAGCGTGTTTCTACTTAAAAAGAGTTATTAGTCGCCGATGGCGATTAGAAGCCTATATTTACTAAGCCGAAGGCGACTAATTGTTTTAGTATAAATTTTGAGGTGTTTACAAATAGCAATCAACCCAATTTCATGAAGATTTATAATTACTTCAAATTTTCTTTGATCCGTCTGACAGATCATTCGTCTGAGTATAAACATCAGATAACCTAGACGAACCTAGATAACTATGTAAACGAACATGCCAACGAAATAGAATCACGCGTTTAGAAAATGCACAGGAATCATGGGAACGAATGTGTATGGCGGTGAAATTATTTATCTGGCAAAAGAGTGCACAAGAGCGGTTTTAAAATGTGTACCAACTACAATATTTTGTGCTTCACCATTATAACATGCGGAATATATTTTTTTCAAGGTATGTGGTTTCGTTGCAATGGGATTATTTGCTGTGGACACGTTCCTCTCGATGTATGCTTTCATTTGGGCTCACTTGTAAACAGTTTGAACTGTATTCTCAATACGTATGCTATATATCAATAGACCTTTTCCCTTTTAGCTTTCAAGCGCGCAATGCGTGGCGGTAGTTAATTATCCAGGTCAATTTGAATTGTGATTTCGCCATGTTCAGAAGCGATTTAGTTTACCAATAAAATCGAAATACATTCTCTAGCTTTTATGGTGTTTTTATTGGCACAGTAATCAAAAGAATTTTTTCGAAGTTGTTTTGTTTATTTTTTTTGGGGGGAGGGGAATTACCAAACTCTTAGTTCTGCCTTTTGCTTGCCTGTATCTAAGTGGATGCTACTAAAAATAACCTGCTATCTCTGCATCAATGCTTGCATTAACGTAAGTGATCATGCGTAACAGTCAGGATGCTTTTAGAATTTCTTTGGCGACATGTATACTGCTTAATCATTTATCGTCCAACTAATGAGCATATTTTTTTCTGACAACTCTAGATTGACAAGAATAAATTACGACGATTTGTGTATTCTTCTAGTTCTTGTGGGCAAATTTATCGTTGTAAACGGAAGACCGTTCTTGTTCTACTAATACAAATTTTCTTAAAAAGTATATACATGCAAACTATGCACTTATTTCACAGGAACATCTTCCACCCAAGCTACATATCTATACCATGTATCACCTGTGTGCGAGTTAAGTTATATGTACAGAGTACGTTTTTCGGAACACACCAGCCTCGTGTGCCCTGGAGCTTTCAATCACTATAAATATATGCACACTGCTGGCTTTTACATAGATCAGTGGCTAAGCTGAGCGAGCGTGCAGGGAGTTTTGGGAAAGACGCGACGGAAAAATGGAGCTTGCTTCCCTGCGACCTCCCCAAAAACCCCTGCGCGCTCGCTCAGCTTAGCTACTGATCTATGTAAAAGTATGTATGGTGTAGTGTGCCAATATTTATATATATAGTTATTTAAAGCGCCTGGGTACGAGGCTGTACAAATGCGCATGCTCATTAATAAATTTATGATAGCTACGTATACATATGTATACAGCAAAAAAACAAAACTCGACGTTGAATTGTCATACAAAACCAAACGAGACCACAGCAGAAAAAGAACAGCCGGGATTATACAGAGAAACATTGAAAATTGTAGGTGTGTATAAACATAAAATCGAGTCATTGACATATTGTCGCGATGAGCGTGTTGGAAAATTGAAGGTGGTATCGAGAACAGTTATATGAATACGATCATTATATAATGTTAAAAATTTCCTTCATGCACGCGAACCTATAATAGCAATGTAGTGAAATCCTAAAAACACTTTCAACTGTAAAATCAGTTCAGGGTTTATATGAGTATATGGGAACTGTTTATACATCTATATACTTTACTTTTGTTTTAATTTACTCTAGACTTCAGAATGAATGTGAGTTGCAATTTTACATAATATAATTCATTTTCAAAACTTATTCCGGTCAACTTTTCATTATCAGTTTGCGAGCACGTATGAGGCGTGAAAATGAGAAATGAACAATTCAGCATGTGATTTATATTTGAATCGTCACTCGATAACTATGAAACTTTCGTAGATTAACACTTGACGTGCACTGGTCACTAAATGTAAGATATCGTTCCTTTTACAACATATGTACAATTAATTGTCCATTAAGGAATAATTTCTCACTATATAGGCTAAAATATTCGATCGAACAAAATCGCCAAATTAATATAATATTTTCAAAGAGCGCCATTCCCAGAATTATGGTGTTGGGGTTAGGTTAAAATATTCTTTTATTCTTTCTCTTCATTAGATACTCTCAAGATGGCAGACGTAAAAAAGATTGTATCGATTGTCTTAAAGTTTGCTCAAATTGTAAGAAGAACATTATTTAGCTACTTCAAATCAACAGACATTGTAAAAAAGAATATATTGAATTTGATGATTTAATCCTTATACAGTTTGAAAGAGCAATTAGTTAGCTTTCCAATGATACCTTTCTTGAGTTCATAGCCACAAGAATTACTTAAATATTTTGAAAATGAAAATTAGTGGTCGATATTAAACTTGCCTGCATGATTAAAGGCAAAACAAAGCAAATTGGAATTTATTATGAGCTTTGTGTGCGCGCCAATGGGATTAGTGAGCTTAAGCAAGCGACATTTTTGAAAACAGGTACGTTGACCGGAAGTAAAGTTTCACCAATCACAATCCTTGACACAGTCTTTTGACGTGACTCATACCGTTTGGGTTGTCGAAAACGTCACTTGCTTAAGCTCGCTATTGTCTGTTTAATTCCCAGCGATCAAAGAAGGCGGTTTCGAGCGCATTTAATGCATTACGCGATTATAACGAAAATTCGCGATTTCGCTTTTCTGAGACAAGCTGTTTTTTCTTCTTTGTAGTGCCCGCTGGTAATAGGAATGGGCTTTATGGCTCATTTTACCAAGGAGTTCCGCGATTTCATGACAAGTTTGGGCGGTTCTTCTTTTGATCCTTACGATGCTGGCGCTTTTGGAAGATACGAGTTTTACTTATTCAGTGTTGGCGTTGGGATTGGAATTGCTGTTCTTGGATTGATTTGCACTTTCAGTGGATTGATGGAGAAAAAATACGGCGCACTTTCTGTAAGTCTGGTGGCACACTTCTACAAATATTTTACATCGTAAAATTCGACGCTTCAAATTAGAATTTGAAAGATAGCTACACCATGCAAAGTCCATTTTAATGCCGATTCTACTTGTGTTACTCTTTCAAATAGCGTATACAAACTTCAAATCTTGTTATAAAAACGCCTAACGGACCTAATAGGATTGAGCAAGTATATCGTATGCACTGATACTAACAAATATTCTTGAATATGTGTGCTAATGCATGGTGAATCAATCTAGTAAATAATTAATCGAAAATTGTGCGCACAACAAATATACGTGGAGTTTTCTACAAAAATTGATGATTTTACGACACGCCTGTTCTGGCGCGCGTGCCATTATTTTCAATGTTCGATAAGTTCACCGCAACTATTGCGAGACAAATTAAACTTTAACGTAGAGAAATACGGTGACAAATTACCTTCTGCAAACGTCTGGTGAAGCGGCAACAAATTAGCCGGTAGCTTGTAAAATTAATTCAAAATATGTTTCGCGCCAAAACACACTTGCGACCACTAAAAATAATAAAAAACCCAACAAAAATAAAATAAAAGTCGCTTACGCCGGAGTTATAACTTATTATTACAATTATCCTATAGATGACCGCACTGCAGGCGCTCTGGGCATTCCACTTACTGGTAGCAACATCTCTTCTGGCTAAAAGCTTGTCTACATACGAGAAAGAAGAAGATCAGGGAGAGACTACGTCGCCATGCAAAAGTTGGGAAGTTTATGGCAAGGATTACGACTTCAACTGCGGTCAAATATATGGCGCAGTGGTAAGTAATGTCTATAGACGCGTCAATCGGGACGGAGATTTCGAGATGATGAAAACAAACGCTTTGAACTGTTAAATTCTTCAAATATAATGACCGTTTGCGTATCTCACACATATTGGTTCGGTTTGAATGACTATGAGCTACAGAGTTTTTATCCAGAAAAATCTAAAACTAGCGAAAGTCACTATAGGGCACGTTTTCGCAAAGGCCACATTGAAAAATGGATACATTCTTGTGAAAAAATTGGGGGCACGTACCCTCAGTTATGTCGTCCCTGACCACACTTATAAATGTGTATACTACCAGCCATGCACGTCGTTTATATTCACCTTCAACTGCATTTGTTGAATTCAGCAAAAACAAATGAAATAGCATTCTTCCTTTACATTTGGGAGAGAAATTTAGAATTTTCTTTCTTTTATACATAACATGTGGAAAATTCTTTCTTTTAGGCATGTGGTTTCATTGCAATGGCATTGTTCGCTATGGACACGGTCATGTCTATGGTTGCCTTTAACCGGGTTCATTTGTAACTCAGTTTAAAAATCGCTATTTCAATAAATATATATGCATGCTCTTTAATGAAATAGCTCGATGATATACTGTATACAACATAGTTTAGTTTACATCCGGTGTATTTGTTGGCACTGTCTAGCCAACCTCGTCCCAAGGGTGAAGTTACTGCACAGTTTAGGCAGAATTGTTTAGAAACATTAAATTACGAACGAATAGTTAAGTAAAATAGAGAGGAATAATTCCGTGTAGGTCAGCTGGAACAATGATTATCATACTCACACTTGAAGTAAAATGATAATTGCAGTTTCTGTTGCGAGCTTATATAAGTGGTTTATTTACTGGTCAGTTTGAATGTATTAATACCTGATTAAATATGCGATATAATGGATTAAAAATCTTTTTTGTCCAGTGGATCAAGTAACTAGTTAAATGCGGGGGGTGTGAAGGCTTGGGGGGAAACACGCGCTCACAGTACTCTACTTTGCTTCCCATGCACTTTCACAGGTTACGAACGTTTACGAACGGCATTCATTTGTCGTATTAATTTTTAACCCGATATACCTGAAATGATCGGAACATATTGTTTGAATTTTTCCTTTTGTTTAAGAAAAGAAAATTTAGCAATGTAACTCAGTTGTCCGAATACTGGTACAGTCCGAAAACTGGGCGACATACTGTATATACATTTAATTTAATTTTTAATTTAATAATAACTTTGCCAATGTAATAACAATAAATTGACACGGGAGCCGCAACAGCTAGTTGCCAATTACCGCGGACCGAATAATTACTTAACACAACAACAAAGCACAACATAACAAACATATAACAAAGAAACAAAGTTAATATAACACCAGACCAAGAGTGGATAAGATCGAGTAAATATGAAAACTAATCACCTCGATCAGTCAATTTATAAAACTGAATGAAATAGAAATTCACGTCGAATATATATATATAGGTTAATAGACCTTATCAACTCTCATTCTCGTATTATCTAACAACAGGGATTTGGACACGCAAGACTACGCCCAAGTTACATTTGCATATCTTTGAATGTTCGAGGATTTCCGAGTCTAATTTATAATAATATCTTAGCAAGACTGTTTTGAAATAACTATAACTGTCCGTATCAAAATCCAACTCATCCACGAGTGCGTTCCATATGCGGCATGATCTGATAAGAAATGACTGTTGGTAGGTTGTGGTCTTACATCTAGGAACATCATATTTAGTGTTGTTACTTGATGAGGATCTTGTTTTTCTACGTGAGTTTTGGATGACAGGGGAAACAGTCGTTTCGATCATGCCATGAGTAATTTTGAAGAAGAAGGTTAGGTCAAGGTATTCATGCCAGTAGGATATAGGAAGAAGGTGTAGGGTTTGCAATCTTGTGTTGTACGTTTCATCTGTCGAAAATGGAAGGTTGAGGATATATTTCGTTGCACGTCTCTGTGTTCTTTCTAATAAGTTAATGAGTTCAATGGTTTGTGGTGCCCAAATCTGCGAACAGTAGCCGTAGTGAGAACGAACTAATGCGAGATATAATGTCCGTCTTGGTGCTGAACTCGAGATAAACATTGTGTTTCTTCTAATGTAGCCTAGCAACTTGTTAGCTTTAGATGCCTGTTGATGAACTTGTGCATTCCACGTAAGGTTGGACGATACGCATACTCCAAGATCCTTCTCAATTTTAGTTCGATGTAATTGGTGGTCGATTAAATTGTATTCAGATGATATTGGTTTAATCTTCCTGGTTATACGTTGCTGCTTACATTTCTCTTTATTAAAAGTCAGACCAGATGTAGATGACCAGTGTTCCAGCTTTTTGAGATCTTTCTGAAGTAACGTAGAATCCTCCTGGCATTTAATGTTAGAGAACAATTTCGTATCGTCAGCGAACATTGCTACTTGGGACGTATTGACTGATTCAAAAAGATCATTAACATATAACAGAAACAAAACTGGTCCAAGAATTGATCCTTGTGGAACACCTGATGATACAGGAAGAGTGTTTGAGGTGGCACCAAGTACTGTTACACGCTGGCGACGGCCTGATAAATACGATTGGAACCATTTCAGTAGACTACCTCCAAAACCGTAATTTCTCAACTTGATTAGTAAAGTCTGATGGCTAATCCGATCAAAAGCCTTAGACATGTCAAGATATATCGTATCCACTTGACCTCCATGATCTAGAATTCTACCAACGTAGTCCAAAACTTCTAACAGATTTGTTACACATGATTTACCTTCGAGAAAGCCATGCTGGCATTTGTTGATCAGCTGAAATAAATTATGTTTGATATTCAAGAAAATTCTGCGTTCTAATACTTTGGATTTGTTTTTTGTACCACATTATCCATTAAGATCCAACCATTGTTGCTTCGTGGAGTCCACGAAGCTTAAGTTATGCGTTCAGATGAAGTTTTTAGGGCTTCTGCATATTGTTTTTTGTGATCTCTGCGCCCAAGGGGATAGAACTTGCTTTAATCAGTGCATGTGGAAATGCTTACACACGTATTTTCCTCATAACGGCATAAACTTAACATGGCAAGCAAAGACGAATTTTGTAAATTCTGTAGCCTAGCTACAAAATACAGATGTATTGATTGTAAGGACGTAGTCTGTAATCGTTCAGAGTGTTCTGTGCCAGAACTAGACGAAGAAACTGACGATTAGATTGAACATGCTTGCGTATCTTACTGCAACGATTGCTTTTTCACACCAAAACAACAACCGATCAAACAAATTGACAGGGACAATGATGAAGACGATGTTGAAGTTGAAAGCCAAGATTATTCTTGCAACATCCGCCAGCCCCTAAACGAAAGTGGAAAGATCAATAACGGGAGAAGACCAATATGGACATCTGAATATTTGGATGACATGGTTGACATCTTTACCAACAGCGCACAGTTTAAGCGAAAGCTGATATTCACGAATATCAAGATGGCCAAGAACACCGATGTTTATCGGCTCGTTTTGCAAAAGATAAAGGAGAGACAGGCCTTATTTCCATTCAACATCAAGCAGGTCCGGAACAAGTTTAAATGGTGTTTTGGTATATGCAAGAAAGTGGCGCTGACTATCCAAACAAAATCTGCCATGCAGCGATTCATAGAAGATAAAGGTTTTGGAAAACGGTTCTATGCTTTATTCCCATTGATAAAAAGTAAAGATTTGTGCTAGCCAGATCAAGCTGTTGAGCTATCGGCCTCAAGCAGCAAAGCCACATCCTCGTGTTTCAAGAACACTCCAGAGGGTGATTTAGAAGAAAACGATTCTGAGGACGATGACATACAGAATCCGAGAAATATCGATCTAGGGCAAATCTGTTTGTTCCATCCAAAAAACGCAAAAGAAAGAATGACGTGGCGGAGCAAGTCACAAAAGTTGTCAATATTTTTGAGGCGACTGTGAAAAATGATCCAACCAAGGAACTTCTCGCATTCATGAAGGAAGATGCTGAGAAATCCAGGCAAAGTGAGTGGGTATAGTAATCACCTCGTGCTAGTCGGTAAAGGGAAATTGCCAATCTTCATGCAGGCTGGCGATATTGCTTGCTCCATTATGGTAGCTTTGGTCAAATGGTTCTGAACTGTGCCAAGAATCGTGATAACGATTAAACCAACTTTCAGAATAGTTTGCTGTTTGCCCATACAAAATTCCACCAATTCGACCATTTTTTGGTTCCTTCGAGACGGCGACATTGACGAATTCGAGGCTTTGTGCATGGGCTTAATGAACATCATTGTAAGTAATGACAAACATAACTGAAGAATCTTGCTCCTTCTTGTTTTGATACTGGGCAATATTCGCAATTGCTTCTGGCGTCTTTCTCTTCTTATTTTCAAAATTTGCTTTAAAATAATTGACTTCGTAAAAGCCGCCACAAATGCTTATGTAAATTAGTCAGTGTTAATAAAAGCGACTAATAAATTCGACGTCCAAACTGAGCACGTCGAACGTCGCATTTACGTCGCACAAAACTGCGGTTAAATGCGACGAGTTAAATGCGACGTCTAATCTAGGCCTTAGCCTAGTCCCAGCTTTAGTTAAAGTAATAATCTCTCAACTGAAACCGCGTTGTTTACGCCGGCTTCAACGGCTAGCGAATTCCTTTTTTCGTTTGTTATTGAGCTGTCATGCCAGCCTTCTGGGACTTTCTGGGCAAAAGAATGGAGTCGATAAAAACAACCTTAATAAAATTTAATTTCATCGTGTTTAAGAAAAGCACACACACAACGATTTTATTCAATCGATCATTCAAGGTTTAAAACGGTGTTATTATCAGATCGCCAAATTTTTATAACAACATGCATGTATTTATCCATTAAAACTGCTGTTGTTCAGTGTTATTGGTTTCTGCAGAATGTTAAGTTATAAATTCAAGTATTGTGCCTAACTACAGACTGAGTAAAAAAAACTGACACCTTTGAAAGTCAAATTAGCCGCGAACTAATGGCTAGAATTTGATAATTCCCATTGTGTACAATCAACAGGACGTGGTTAATTAATGCAAAAGTGTTTAAACCGATTAAACTAATTCAACGTGGCGCGTGTGCTAGAAAAACGTTTGATAAAACTGTTTGTTTTTTTTACAGAGCTTAGAATGCATTTTAACACCCGAAGGGAACAAACTTTATGCTTTAGGTTAATTAATGATTCACTTATTAATTATGCTTCGTATATCCATGAGATATAGGCACATTACAGCCGCTATGCAGCTAATTTGAATTTCAAAGATGTCAGGTTTTTTTACTTCGAACCAGAGTATATTTTTCGGAATGCGCATGCTCATTAATAAATTTATGTTTGTATGAATATATATAGCTACGTATACATATATGTAGCTATACATGAGCAAATCCCATTAAACGAAAACTCGACGTGGAATTGTCAGACAGTGAAACCAAACGAGACCATAGCAGAAAAAGAACAGACGGGATAATACAGATAAACATCCAGGTTTAAAATTGTAGGTGTGTATAAATGTACATAAAATCGAATCATTATTGCTATTGTCGCGATGAGCGTGTTGGAAAATAGCAGATGGTTTCGATATGCAGTTATACGAATACGACTATAATTATATAATGTTTAAAAATTTCTTTCATGCACACGATCCTATAATAGGAACTTTGTGAAATTCTACAACACTTTCAACTAAAGAATCAGTTCAGGCTTTATATATGAGTATAGTGAGCTGTTTATGGATCTATTTACTTGACGATTTTAACTTTTCTTTACTGAGTTAATTTAGAATTAAGAGAAGATATTTTTCCGGCTATATGTCGCGTAAAATATGCTCCGTAATATCTTCATGCAAGAGTACTAATATTTGCAACAATAAAAATGTTTTGCAAACCTAAAAAGCATTTACAAAGTATGTTTACTGTGTAATCGCAAAATATTGTGAAAAAGAAAAGATTCCTCGGAATACGCCGAGAGGAAAATGACACTTCAATCTAAGCTACTTTTGTATTTATCTCAGTAATAATGGCGTCGATCTTTCTAACATTTTTACATAATATAATTCCTTTTTGAAACTTATAGATTAAGGTTATTTATTATTTCTCTTCATTAGATACTCTCAAGATGGTAGACATAAAGATCGTTTCGACTGTGTTAAAGTTTGCTCAAATTGTAAGAAAATTATACAGCTATTTCAAATCAACAGAAAGTTCACAAAAGAATATATTGAATGTGATGATTTAATCCTTATACAGTTTGAAAGAGCAATTATTTAGCTTTCCAATGATACCTTTCTTGAGTTCATAGCCACAAGAATTAGTTAAATATTTTTGAAATGAAAATTAGTGGTCGAAATTAAACTTGCCGGAATGATTAAAGACAAAACGAAGCAAATGTGAATTTATTATGAGCTTGTGTGTGCGCCAATGCAATTAGTGAGCTTAAGCAAGCGACGTTTTTGAAAACAAGTACGTTGACCGGAAGATAAAGTTTCACCAGTAACAATCCTTGACACAGTCTTTTGATGTTACTCGTGCCGTTTGGGTTGTCAAACGTCACTTGCTTAAGCTCACTATTTGTCTGTTTAATTTCCAGCGGTTATAAAGAAGACGGTTTTCGATTACGCGATTAACGAAATTTACGATTTCGCTTTTTCTGAGACAACCTGTATTTTTTTTCTTTGTAGTGCCCACTGGTAATAGGAATGGGCTTTATGGCTCATTTTACCAAGGAGTTCCACGATTTCACAACTCAACTATACGCAAGTATCGACTCTTCTTTAGATCCTTACGATAATGGCAGTTTTGGAAGATACGAATTTTACTTGTTCAGTGTTGGCGTTGGGATTGGAATTGCCGTTCTTGGTTTGATTTGCGCTCTCCGTGGATTGATGGAGAAAAAATACGGCGCACTTTCTGTAAGTTTAGTGGCTTATATACTTTTACAACATATTTTGCATCGTAAAATGCGACCCTTCAAATTGGAATTTGGAATTTGAAAGGTAGCTACACCATGCAAAATTTAAGTCCAATTAAATGCCGATCCTTTTTTGCTCTTTCACATAGTATGTAGCGTACAAATTATAAATCTTGTTATAAAAACGCCTAACGGACCCATTAGGATTGAACAGGTATATCGTATGCACTGATACTAACAAGCATTCTGGAATATGTGTGCTAATGCATGGTGAATTAATAAGTAAATCATTATTTTTAAAAGGAACTGATGCAGGTTAACGGATCGAAAGCTCTGCATACAACAAATATACGTGGAGTTTTCTTCAAATTGATGATTTAACGACACGCCTGTTTCAATGTCGATAAGCTCACCGCAACTATTGCGAGAGAAAACTTTAACGTAAAGAGATATGCGGTGACATATGATCTTCTGCAAGCGTCTGGTGAAGCGCGTATGTCTGGTAAAGCCCTGGGTACAAATTAACCGGTGGCTTTTTAATTCAAAATATATTTCGCGCGAAAACACACTTGCGACCACTAAAAATAATAAAAAACCCAACAAAAATTAAACAAAAGTCGCTTACGCCGGAGTAATAACTTATTATTACAATTATTCTATAGATGACCGCACTGCAGGCGCTCTGGGCATTCCACTTACTGGTAGCAACATCTCTTCTGGCTAAAAGCTTGTCTACATACGAGAAAAAGGCGTATGAGGGAGGAACAATGTCGCTATGCAAAATGTGGGATCAATCAGAAGGTTACAAGGATTACGACTTCAACTGTAGTCAAATATATGGCGCAGTGGTAAGTAATGTCTATAGACGCGTCATATTCGTGACGGAAATTTCGAAATGATGTAAACAAACGCTTTAAACTGTTAAATTCTTCATATCAATGACCGTCTGCATATCTCACACGTATTGGTTCGCTTTAAATGACTATGAGCTATAGAGCTAAAACTAGCGAAAGTCACTATAGGGCACGTTTGCGCCAAGGCCACATTGAAAAATGGATACATCCTTGTGAAAAAATTGGGGGGCACATACCCTCGGTTCTGTCGTTCCTGACCACACTTATAAATGTATATACTACCAGCCATGCACGTCTTTTATATTCACCTTCAACTATATTTGTTGAATTCAGCAATACAAATTAAACAGCATTCTTCCTTTACATTTGCGAGAGAAATTTCCCTGTTTTTATACATAACATATGGAATTTTTTTTAAGGTGTGTGGTTTCATTGCAATGGCATTGTTCGCCATGGACACGGTCATGTCTATGGTTGCCTTTAACCGGGCTCAATTGTAACCTTTAAAAACCACTTTTTCAATAAATTTAAATGCATGCTCTTTAATGAAATAGCTCAATGTATACGGCATAGATTAGTTTGCATCTGGTGTATTTGTTTGCACTGTCTATCGTGGATAGGTATGTATTCTACAAAATATGGTGAAGTTATTGCACAGCTTAGCCGGGCAGGATTGTTTAGGAACATTAAATTACAAACGAATAGTGATTTTAAGTTCAATAAAATAGAGAGAAATAATTCCATGTAGTATGTTATCATATTCACATTTATTAAGCTTATTGGTGACTTATACGTGAAACACAGTGTAGCGAAATAAAATTTTAAAATTGTAATTTGTTGATTGATTTATTTGCTCTACTATTGTATTGGTATTGAGCACTATATATATATATATATATATATATATATATATATATATATATATATATATATATATATATATATACACCCATTTGCGAAAACGTTGGCCGTAGATAGATAGATAGATACATACTCGAAGTCTAATTAGAATTGCATATGATTACATTAGCATGGGATTTCAATCATATTACACAATTCTAATTAGATTTCGAGTATCTATCTATATATCCATCTGCGGCCAACGTTTTTGCAAACGGTTGTATATATATATATATATCGGTTGTAGCGGTTGTATATATATATATATATGATCGGCGATTTTCTTAAGGTATAGCTCTGGATGTCTGAGAATTATTTCACATATATATATATATATATATATATATATATATATATATATATATATATATATATATATATATATATATATATATATATATATAGTGGATCTAGGACCGAATGTCAGCGTTTTCTAATTGATCGGCGATTTTCTTAAGGTATAGCTCTGGATGTCTGAGAATTATTTCACATATTGCCAGTTCCTCATGCTGGTAAAGTGTTGTTGCTACAAAGAGGCCTGCAAAACTTATGGGGCGACGTAACGTTACCAGTATTAATAAACAGGTTGAAAACGCGATCTACTGTCCTTGACGAAACAAACAAATCGACAGCAACTCTGGTTGAAGACCTGTTATAAAATAATTTCTGCCACACAATCCCCCATCTTATATCGTCTGAATACGGCTTAGGCATTCTACAACAAAAATATCTCAACTAAGCAATTGCCTTGAAGCAATTTTGCAGCGTTTGCATGCGTAATTAGATATGACACGTGATGGAAATATGTGGTCACATGTCACAACTATTTCTATATATGTATATATTTTCGGACAACCTTTCCTAGATCCACTATATATATATATATATATATATATATATATATATATATATATATATATATATATACAAAGAATTAACTGTAACGAAGAGTTCACAGAACTTGACAATGGTTGAAGAGCGCTCAATATATATATATATATATTTGGACGTGTGTTTAAATACCATTTTTCTCGGTAACGTAAAACTCTATGTAACTCTATATAACTATAATGTTCATATAAAAAAATATTATTACTATATTGTAATTATACAATAATGTTGAAATATAAATCCTTGTTCCCTTCATCTATATAGAAATATATTTCAGTGTAATAGTTTAGTATATAACTACAAGACGAAATTGTCTTTATTCGAACCTGAGTGTATTTCTCGGAACGAGCATGCTCATTAATAAATTTATGTATGTATGTATATTGCTACGTATGTAATGGACATGTCGCAGCTCTTGGAAGCTTTTGTCCATTCGGATAATGCTTTTCTATGCTCTCTAAAGAATGAAGCTATGCTATTGGTTGAAGCAGAAATGTATTGTAAATTTCAGCCAAATGTATACATGAGCAAATCCCATTAAACGAAAATTCGACGTGGAATTGTCAAACAGTGAAACCAAACGAAACCATAGCAGAAAAAGAACAGACGGGATAATACAGATAAACATCCAGGTTTTGTAATTTTAGGTGTGTATAAATGTGCATAAAACCGAATCATTATTGCCAATTGTCCCGATGAGCGTGTTGGAAAATAGCAGGTGGTTTCGAGAACAGTTATATGAATACGGCTATTCAGTATATAATGTTTAAAAATTTCCTTCATGCACACGATCCTATTATAGAAATTTAGTGAAATTCTACAACACTTTCAGCTATAAAATCAGTTTAGGCTTTACATATGAGTATATGGGAACTGTTTATGGACCTATTTACTTGACGATTTTAACTTTTCTTTTATTCAGAATTAAGAGAAGATATTTTTCCGGCTATATGTCGCGTAGAATACGCTCAGTAATATCTTCATGCAACAGTACTAAAATTTGCAACAATAAAAATGTTTTGCAAACCTAAAAAGCATCTACAAAGTATGTTTATTGTATAATCTCAAAATATTGTGAAAATGAAAAGATTTCTCGGGATACGCCGAGAAGAAAATTACACTTCAATCGAAGCTACTTTTGTATTCATCTCAGTAATAATGGCGTCGATCTTTCTAACATTGTTACATAATATAATTCCTTTTTGAAACTAATATAGATTAAGGTTAAACAATTCCTTTATTCTTTCTCTTCATTAGATGAGATGGTAGACGTAAAGATTGTTTCGATTGTGTTAAAGTTTGCTCAAATTGTAAGAGAATTATATAGCTATTTCAAATCAACAGAAAGTTCACAAAAGAATATAATTATTGAATTTGATGATTTAATCCTTACACAGTTTGAAAGAGCAATTATTTATCTTCCCAATGATACCTTTCTTCAGTTCATAACCACAAAGTATTGATTAAATATTTTTATAATGAAAATTAGTGGTCGAAATTAAACTTGCCTGCATGATTGAAGGCAAAACGAAGCAAATTTGAATTTATTATGAGCGCCAATGCGTGTGCACGCCAGACAAATGAGACAATAGTGAGCTTAAGAAAGGGACGTTTTTAAAAAGAGGTATACGTTGACCGGAGGTAAAGTTTCAGCAGTCACAATCCTTGACACAGTCTTTTGACGTTACTCGTGCCGTTTGGGTTGTCAAAAACGTCACTGGCTTAAGCTCACTAGTGGCTCATTTGTCTGTTTGATTTCCAGCGGTGAAAGAAGGCGGTTTTCGATTACGCGATTAACGAAGTTTACGACCTTGCTTTTCTTAGACAATCTGTATTTTAATATTCTTGTACGTTTGCATGGTGACAATCGATAAGTAATTAAGCTTGTAGGTACACCACGTAAGTATATAAAAAAATACAAAGCTTTCGGTCCGTTAACCCGGGCCTTCATCAGTGCAATTGCAATGATGAAGGACCGAAAGCTTTGTAGTATCTTATGTACTTACGTGGTGTAGCTACAAGCTTAATTACTTAACCTGTATTTTGTTTTTCTTTGCAGTGCCCGCTGGTAATAGGGATGGGCTTTATGGCCCAATTTACGGAGGAGTTCCGCGATTTCACGAGAAGTGGTACCCCTTCTTTAGATCCTTACGATAATGGAATTTTAGGAAGATACGAATTTTACTTGTTCAGTGTTGGCGTTGGGATTGGAATTGCCGTTCTTGGATTGATTTGCGCTTTCAGTGGATTGATGGAGAAAAAATATGGCGCACTTTCTGTAAGCCTGGTAGCACACTTTTACAAAATATTTTGCATCGTAATATTCGACCCTTCAAATTTGAATTTGGTATTTGAAAGATAACTACACCATGCAAAATTTAACTCCGATTTAATGCCGATCTTAACTTTTTTGCTATAGCGTACAAATTATAAATCTTGTTAAAAAAGCACCTAACGGACCCATTATAGAATTGAACAGGTATATCGTATGCACTGATACTAACAAGTATTCTTGAATATGTGTGCTAATGAGTAATGCATGGTGAATTAATATGTAAATCATCATTTTTAAAAGGAACTGATGCAGGGTAACGGATCGAAAGCTCTGCATACAACAAATATACGTGGGGTTTTCTTCAAATTGATGATTTTACGACACGCCTGTTCTGGCGTTAACTCTGGCGCGCGTGTCATTATTTTCAATGTTCGATAAGTTCACCGCAACAATTGCGAGACAAAACTTTAACGTAGAGAGATACGGAGACATATGATGAAGCACGCGTCTGGTCGTATGTGCGGTGAAGCCCTGAGTACAAATTAGCCGGCATAGCTTTTAAATCTAAAATATATTTCGCGCCAAAACACACTTGCGACCACTAAAAATAATAAAAAACCCATAAAAATAATAAAAAACCCAACAAAAATAAAACAAAAGTCGCGCTTACGCCGGAGCAATAATTTATTATTATTACAATTATTCTACAGATGACTGCATTGCAGGCGCTCTGGGCATTCCACTTAGTAGTAGCAACAGCTCTTCTGTCTAAAAACTTGTCTACATACGAGAAAAAAGCATATGAGGGAGGAACAACGTCTGTATGCAAAATGTTGGATCAATCAAAGGATAACAAGGATTACGACTTCAACTGCGGTCAAATATATGGCGCAGTGGTAAGTAATGTCTATAGACGCGTCATTCGAGACGGAAATTTCGAGATGATGTAAACAAACGCTTTTAACTTTTAAATTCTTCAAATATAATGACCGTCTGCATATCTCACACGTATTGGTTCGCTTTGAATGACTATGAGCTATAGAGTTTGCATGTGTCCAGAAAAATCTAAAACTAGCGAAAGTCAATAATTCATTATAGGGCACGTTTGCACAAAGGCCACATTGAAAAATGGAACAATTCTTGTGAAAAAATTGGGGGGCACGCACCCTCTTGCAGTTCTGCCGTCCCTGACCACACTTATAAATGTATATTCTACCAGCCATGCACGTCGTTTATATTCACCTTCAACTGTATTTGCTGAAATCAGCAATACAAATGAAATAGCATTCTTCCTCTACATTTGGGAGAGAAATTTGAAATTTCCCGGGTTTTTTATGCATAACATGTGGAATTTTTTTAAGGTGTGTGGCTTCCTTGCAATGGCATTGTTCGCTATGGACTCGGTCATGTCTCTGGTTGCCTTTAACCGGGCTCATAAACCTTTAAAAACCGCTTTTTTAATAAATAGAAATGCATGCTCTTTAATGAAATAGCTCAATGTATACGACATAGTTGTATCATAGTTGTTTGCATCCGGTGTATTTGTTGGCACTGTCTATCGTGGATAGGTATGCATGTATTCTATAAAATATGGTGAAGTTACTGCACAGCTTAGCTGGGCAGGATCTTTTAGAAACATTAAATTACAAACATAACATTTTCTGTTGCG